TCGTACTTGCCCTGCCTCTCTAGCACCGACCCAAGCTTGCTGACGCTGGTGAGCGTGTAGGGTTGCTCGAGCCCAAGCGCCTTCTCTCTTCCTTCCAGCGCTCGTCGATGCATCGCTTCCGCCTCCTCGTACTTGCCCCGCCTCTCCAGCACCGACCCAAGCTGGCTGACGCTGGTGAGCGTACCGGGGTGCTCTAGCCCAAGCACCTTCTTGTACCCCTCAAGCGCTCGTCGATGCATCGCTTCTGCCTCCTCGTACTTGCCCCGCCTCTCCAGCACTGTCCCAAGATGGCTGACGCTGGTGAGCGTGTCAGGGTGCTCGAGCTCAAGGACTTCTTCCCTTGCCGCCACTGCACTTCGCCCAATCCACTCCGCCTCTGCATACTGCCCCATCAGCATCAGGTACCACGCTGTGTAGGTTGCGATCGTCGCTCGATTTAGCCTTGCATCGTTATCCTCCATGCTATAGCCAAGTACCTTCGTGGAATGTGGAAGCAGAGTCCGACAAGCCGCCCACGTCTCATGCTGCCCGCTTGGAAACTCTGATGCCATGATTCGCAGCGACGCCTTCTGCCACACATCGACTTGGCCATGTCCTTGGAGCCACTTCCTGGTCGCTAGCTGCACCAAGCCGTGCATCTCAAGCAACTGCTCCTGCATTTGCTTCCCTGACTGCTCTCCAATTTGCGCCCTGATCAGCGAAAAGTGGAACAACGTTCCCACAGCCTCAGTGAACTGCAGCTTGCTTCTGCCCTCGTACAGCACGTACTCGGGAATGCCATGCCTGTCAAACATGGTCATCAGCGAGAGCAGGTCCGCTGCGTCGGGACTCGTCTTCCGGATCTGCTCGAACGATAGCTGCCAGGTGGTGATGACTGCGCTTGTTGAACTAGCGTCTCGCCTTATGTCTCTTGCCTTCTTGTCGTTTAGGAGGTGCGCTTGATTCTCCACGCTCTCGCGGAACAGCTCGAGGTACGTGGAGCAGGTGATTCTTGGCTCTCTTACAGCGATATACGCAGCCGCCTGCGTGACAGCAAGCGGGATGCCTTCCAGTGTCTTCACAAGCGCTCTCGCGTCGCCTTCAGACGACTCGTCCACCTGCATCTTCGACTTCAGCAACGTCAGGGCGTCGCGCTCGCCCATCGGCTCCACCTGAACCACGTTGTGTCGTGCTCCCACTAGGTTCACCGCGGCAATCAGATCGCGCGAGGTGACTAGTATCCAGCCGCTCGCCGCTTGCGGAAGAAAGCTTGCCAACGGCACCGCCGCTTCCCAAGCGGGTCCAAGCCCTTGCGCAGCCTTACCCGAGTCGTTGGTGGTACTGGCAGAGGCGAACACCCGATCGTCGTCAGCGTTGTCGAGGATCATCAGCCACCGTCCGTTCCTCTCGTCACAGAGCCAGTTGTGCACCAAGCGGAGGATGTCTGTCTTGGGGTCATCGTGCCCCGGCAGCTCGACCCTAACTGCAATCTCTCGGTACGCTTGTTCAAACCTGGCGGCGTTGCTCGCGTGTACCCAGAACACCCACATGTGCGGCGCAGCCTCTCTGGCTCTGTACGCGTACTCTATAGCAATCTGTGACTTTCTACGAACAGCATAAGCACGAGTCTGCCACCGCTTGTGTTCGGCAAAACGTACCCTACGCCTCCTAGACCAACAAGCGCTACCCGGCCGTGACCTCGCAAAGCTGAGTTTCTGTGAATCTCCTGGATCTTTGCAAGGACGTCCTCTCGGCCCACAAATGCACAGTCTCGTGGAAACGGTACCATGTTCGACGGTTTGGGCCTGTTCTGCGCTCGCGCTAGGAGGCAGGATCGTTAGCTACGATCAAGCACAAGGGTAGCTGAACAGACACAGCCCCTTGCTTGGTAGAGCAAATATTAATTCAAAGTGACACAGCTACGTACCAAATCGACCTGCCACCACACCTGTAGCATCCCGCGCAAACTGCCTAAGCTTGTCCCGCGCGCTGCTGTATCCTCGAGTGTTCTTGTTATCGAACTTGACCATCATCGAGTGGTCAGCGTCCAGAGGGATCTTCTCCTCCGTCGAGTCTGGAAGCTGGAGAAGCGCCGAGTCACTGTCTACGGCCGTGATGAACTCGCCAGTCCTCATCCATCGCTTGCCCTCGCTGTCCTGTCACGATCGCGTCAGCCTTTCCTGCATCTTGCTTGTCTCAGAGCCTCGTACAAACTGCAGCTGCCGCGTCTGCCCTGTCTCGTAGAAGCTCACTAGCTTGCGGTCTTCAATAAGATTCCTAAAGTTGTCTAACTGCGATGCTAACAGATCAGACTTTTCCCTAATCTGATCCAGCAGCGCTCTCCGCGGATGGCCGTCTTCTCCGGCCAGCATCTTCCGAATGTCGTCTACCACGAGACCTTTGTGCGGAATCCCAAACAGAAGCATGCCGTATGTTGCTCTGTGAAGGGCTGCTATCGTTGGATGGTCTTCCGTTATCTGGGCCGCTTTGACGAGACACTGCCCAGCTGCTTAGCCCTGTGCACGCAGCTTCCTGAGCATGCGACCTACATGGGCGAGTATAATACCGCCGAAGCTATGTGCGATGAAGAAGAGCGGCCGCTGTCGCAGCTAGCGCGTTGCCACTGTCAGCCTTGCGCTTACGCACTCACGCACTCTCACAGCAGCAGCCCGCATCTTCACTCACCTCTTCTGTGCTCCGGATCTTCTTGAGCTCCTCTAGCAGGCCCCGGCCGTAGTCCATGATCGTATCCACCCCGTAGCTCGACAGCTTCGAGTTGTAGCCGTAGATCATGGTGCGGCAGCACGGCAGGTCTTCGGACAGGAAGTCGCGCAGCCACATGCGCCCGAGATTGCCTTTGCCCTGCCACGAGCCGTACGCGTGGCCGTCAAGGCCGGTGATGGCGATCACACTGCGCGCATAGAGTCAGCAGCTAGACAGCAATAACATACAGTTAAGAGCAGGCCGTCTAGAGAGATCAAAACGACATGGTGCGTACTCTGCAACGACTGGTGCGTCAGGCGTCGACGCATACAGCTGGGTGAAGCCGAAGAAGTGCTGGTCGAAGCTGACGTCCGTGTCGCCCATCTCTACCTGCCACTCCTCCAGCGGATTGGCTATCAGCGCCGACAGGAACGCAGGCATCCCGCCGCGGTACTCCACCAGCGCGACCTTTTCCTCATCGTTGTAGCAGGAGGGCACAATAGCCACTCTGACGTCTGTCTTTGACTTTTCTTCGTTTGTCAGGTTGTCGTTGATGGCAGCCTTCAGTGATGCCGTCAGCTCCTCGTCTGGCTGCGAGGCTGCGAGGCCGGTGACGCGCAGAACGGGACCCTTTTTCGTGATGGCCATGTCGGCTCAGAGGTGCATAGCTGAGCGCGGTGTCTGGAAGCGTCTACGGTCTGGAGGTCGCGAGCAGGCTGACGGAGGGTTCTTGCCATCGTGAGCAAGCCATCACTGGGCTGTGCTGCGTCGCATGGCTGTGCCGCATAAGCTGACGCAGGCAAGATGGTGCAGGCAAGGCGCGTGCAGGCAGGACGTGTTAGTCAAGGCTGGCTGAGCGTGTGCCCATCAACGTTACCAATAGAGGGCAAACCCTGTGTGGTGTGGGGTGTCGTAGCGCGTCTTGACTCTATCTTGAGTAGGCTGACCAGTGCAAATTCAAGGTAGAGTTCGGAGGCTGACATGTTGTAGCTAGGCGTGAACCACACTTGCTTGTTCGTTCCGGAAAATCAGTCCCAAGAGGGCAATTAATCAATCGTGGTCTTCTCACAAACCCATCCGCTCACTGTATGGGCCAGATGGGGGAGAGATTGGTTCTGCCCAGCACATACTTGTGCTCTCAGATGTCCCAGTTTATTTGCATTGTGGTAAGGTTTCTGTAGCCAGGGCATCGTGGATCGGAAACAGCAGAGCACAAAATCCGAATAGCGTTGAAGAAGACGTCGACCAGATAGAAGAATTACCATAGAGAAGTTCAAGAGTGGAAGCAAGACTAGCCAGGTAGCCGCTTGAACCGGCCTCCGGTTTGGGTTGAATAGGCGTTCCACGTTGTGCAGATTTCCATCTTTCATAACGGCATCCACAGCACGTCGCCATTCGGAATCAGCTTGTATCTCGTGTGCGATGGGAATTCGCCCTAGCACAAGGAGCAGGTCGAAAGCAATCTGGCTGTCGTTGTCATGACCCCCTAGCCAGCCTATGACTCGCTGAGCTTGTGCATATATCTTTGACATCAACGGGAGACGTCGTATGCTTCTGTTGCCGGGCAGTGTGCAGAGGCGTCGGTCCTGATGACGATGCTATCGTTCCTGAGCTTCGACGACATCTACCTCGAGCTGTTTTGCGCTAGCACTGTGGTGGAGGGCGCAGAACACACAGGATAAGGCTAGCACTAGCTGGAAGAGCCTAGTCTCTCCGCCGCAGGCAGTAGATGTGTACAAGATTGAAGAGTACTTTGCTGCACTGCAGAAGTACTCGCTTATGAAGCGGAAGGCTGAGCAGCAGAGCTTTGCGATGCACAAGCTGATGCTTGGGGCCACGACCGCCTTACAGCAGAGGAGCAGAGTAAGCTTGGCCAGGCAGCGTTTGGACTTGGCGTGGAAGCTGTAGAAGCTGTGTGGAGCTATGGCTGACCCTCAGAAGACAAGTTACGGCTGGTGCTGCATGCGATGGCGAGCTTTGCAGCGCTGGTTGGTGTGACAGACACGTTGAATGGAGTCACCGAAGAACTTGTTGACAAGATGGCAAGTGTGGGAGAGTTTGTCACTATTGGGGAGCGTGGACAGTACGCATGTGGGAAGGATTGAAGGAGTGAACTGATTATTCTACATGCTACGGAGGGGAGCTATACATAAGGAAATGTCTACGTTGATGTTGTGTAGCTGTCAACATGTAGTCGTGCGACGTAGCAACCAATCAGTAGGTAAGCGCCTATGCGGTCGACTACAAGCAGACATCTCAACCGTGACAGTCACACATCTTGGGCGATGGCCAGAAGCGCGTGCAGTCAAGGAGTATGTGTTGCAGGCATGGAGAGGAATGCTTGGCGAGGAGCATCCTGACACCATCAGGGCAATCAGCAACCTCGCCATCACGTTCAGACAACAAGGATATCTCGGCGACACAGCTTCAGTGCAGAAGGAGGTGCTGAAGAAGTGGAAGCAGACGTTAGGCGAGGATCATTCAGACGTCATTTCAGCCATGATCCACCTTGTAAATATGTTTGGAGAACAATGGCAGCTAGGTGATCCAGCTGTGATGCAGAAGGAAGTGTTAGAAGCGCAAACTAATCTTGGGCGAGGATCATCCTGACCATCTCAGCGATGGGTAATCTTGCTAATACGCTTAGAGAGCAAGGGCAGCTTGGCGACGCAGCTGTGGTGCAGAAGGAAGTGTTAAAAAAGCACAAACTAATCCTGGGCAAGAATCATCTTCATACTATCATGGCAATGTGCAACCTAGCCATCACGCTCGCGCAGCAAGGCAGCTAGAAGATGCAGCTTGGATGCAGAAGGAAGTGCTGAGGAAGCGCAAGCTACTCTTGGGCAAGGATCATCCTGATACTATTAAAGCAATGGGTAATGTCGCCAGCACGCTTGCCAAGCAAGGACATCTCGACCAGACAGCAGATATAGAAAAGGAGGTGCTGGAGAAGATGAAGCAAATCCTGCGCAAAGATCATACTGACACCATCTGGGCGATGAACAACCTCACTGTTACCCTTAGAGAGCAAAGACATCTCAACAAAACAGCAGAGGAAGAGAAGGAGAAGATGAAGCCAATCCTGGGTGAAGACTGTCCTGCCACCATCTTGGCAACAAACAATCTCGCTATAATGCTCAGACAACAGGAATTGGATGATCAAGAGCACTCTCAATTAAAGACAGCTGCGCAGGCCTCAGCTGTCCCAAGTCAAAACCCACATTACAAGGACCGGAGAGTGAATTCGGATAGGCGATAGATGGTGCACCTGTGAGGACAAAAATCAAGGTAGGTTTGGGGTGGTTCTATCTCTGGACAGGGGGTTTCTCGCTACTGCGTGGGGGACGTTACCATGTAGTGTTATCCAGAAGTATCAATCTTGTCAATCAAGGTCAAACAGTGTATGCTCTAGATTCGCGGCCTAGCTATACCGCCTCGCCCTCACCGTGTCCCTTGGCCCGCTCTCAAACCCCTTCAGAGCATCACTGCTCGGCCTTCTCCCCTCATTGAACGGCCTCGAGTAACTGCTCGACGCACTCCTGCTCGTCAGCTGCATCTGTGTATCCATCGGTGGCGGCGGTGGTGGCGGAAATAGGTCCGCCGTAGTGACGCCCTGCATTTTTGGTGGGGATCCGTAGCCTTGCTGTTGTTCAACCCCAGGAGGTAATGGTGAGTTCAGTCGGTCAATGAGATCCGACGAAGGACGACCCGACATGAACTCGGGCTGGTAAGGTTGGTACCCAACGGGTACGTTGTAATAGTCTGTGTTGTCGTCTATGGCTGATTTGTATTTATACTGGTAGTCTACTGTCTTCGGATAGACTCTTTCGTCAAGGTCTCGTTGCTCGGCTGGGGAGAGGAAGGGGTTCTCCCTCAGACCCGCAGAGGGTTGCCGACCTATCTGTCGCGGGTTGTTGAAGTCGGTAGAGTCCGCCGTGCCTTCTTTGTGGACGTTGAACGGTGTACTGATCTTCTCATCTGCAAAGCCTTTCAGTTCCTCGGTGTTACGCTGAACCAGTGGTGGGCGCTCAAGGTCGAGAGGTGGAGGTGCATTGGAGCGCGTGCCATCGAAGCCAAATGTTGCGATGGAGTCTTTGCGTATCTTTGCACCGGCTTCGACTATGGTCATGCGCTGTACACCAGCTTTCTCGCGCTTGGCGATGTGCTGTTCGAGCCATGTGCGGATCCCTATCATACCTGCAGCGGTAATTTGTACCATCAATAGAAGGCCCATGAGACCTGCAACAGAGTTCGAGGTCAAGACTGCATCAACGACGCAGAGTGATATTGAGCGCAGTGTTGAGAAGCCATTGATGAAAGTGAGTTGGCCAAGAGCAAAGACAAGCTGAATGAGAATGCCGCTGATGATGTATATTCTCTGATCAGGGGACTTGAAAAGCGCAAAGGGGGCTTTAATGCCGGCGAAGGTGGCCGGTGCGGGGTAGAGGGCCTCAGAGCGAAGGCGCATGATCGTAAAGCCGACCGTAGGAAAGACCAGAATCAGAGCGATGAGGCCAAAGACCTGCTAATTGTGAGCATGTAAAGGACAATAGGAGAGGGTGCACACTTACGCCATGGCCATCTCGGAAGTGTCGCGAGTCCCCCATACCGACCATACCTATAGCGATGCCAATCACAGCTGACATTCCAAACGTGATCAATAGTCCGAGACGCCACCTCTTGTTCTTAGCTTCATTAACAGGGTACCCAGCCAGGACCGAAAGGCGCCAGACAACTCCCAGAACAAGGTAGAGTGGCAATGTCAGGAGAAAGGCCAGCATGATGAAGAGTACTAAGACAAAATCAGTAGACACACACAAGACTGGCAACTCGGAGCATACCGTGAAGAGCCGTAAGGATACCAAAAGGAATGATCGGCAGTCCATTGATCGAGATCTCGGCATCCTTGAGCACAATGCGGAATGTGTTGCCCTCTGATGTAAACTCAACGGGTCCTTGCGGTAGGGAACCGACAACCCGTGGGTCAAGAGGCACACTGCTCATCATGTCCATCACGCTTGTCTTATTCTTACTAGCATTCATTGCACCCAGGGCTACGGAGGCAAGGCCACCTATGCCCTGGCATGTCAACATATCTATGGCCAGCTGGCCGCCACCCATGATTGTGGCCTCGTTAATGGCTAGTGGAAAGGGATGGCCTGCGCTGGTGTTGTCTAGAGCTTGGCGGGCAGTGAGTGCATTGTACGTGACTGCTGATATTTAGTCAAATTCGGATAGAGATTTAATAAGTATCTTACCAACAGCTGCCTCATCCGCCGACACATTTACACTGCGCTTACGAAAAGTTAGGGGACTGGTGTTATTCGCGTTCTGGTTGATCCTCTTCAACACATCGCCGATTAGTATCGTCCCTTCGCCCATGAATCCACGTGCGAATGATACAGCAGAGCCGTTAACCGAGTCGTTGAATTTCGTGGCGTCCAACATGGGAACATTCATCATTGCATCGTCTGAGAAATTGCCACTAAGGAGATTCTGGATCCCACCGACAGAAGACAAGGCGGTCGAGACGCCCTCGATGGTCCCTCGTGCAAAACCTTCAGCGGCTTTCGCTACATCAGCGTTCTTCAGGAGCAATGACGTACTGTTCGAGATTGCGGTGCCGATGATTTGTAAGACCGTGCTGTTGAGCAGGAAGTTCGAGACGAGGTTCTGTGCGAAGGTCTCGGCCACCATGGCGGTTTGCATATTGTCGTTGCTGACGTTGCCGCTCTGCGCGATGAAAGGTGTGGCATTCACAGATTTGAAAGTGAAACCAATCGCCAGTCCCATACCAATGCCTGATCCAGCACCTGCAGCGAGTGCTGGGAACATGCTTGGATCGACCATGCCTCCGAGCCTGCCGGTCAGATTCAAGTTGCGTGTGAGGCTTCCAACATCAACACCAGTGAGAAGCGACTGACTGAAGCCCTTGGTGAATTGGTTTACAGCTCCGGGGACGTCGACTCCTTGCAGTTGGTCTGTAGACATTTGGCGCTTTCCGAGAGGGTTCGAAGGTTGACCGGTTTGTTTGAATCCGAGGCCGTTCTTCGTTCCTTCCCCAAGACCGTTGCCGGCGGCTGCAGCGATTTGAGGTAGCTGCTGCATGAGCGTGGCACCGATACCGCTTCCTTCCACATTCCTCATCACTGCCTGGAAGTCGATATTTGACACAATGGGTGTGCTTACTCCAAGGCCTAGGTTGCCGGCTACAGCTTCGATGCTCGAGTCATTTGAGGGTCGGAACTCCTGATTCGTCAATTTGAGAGCTCTCGCTGTCGAGTTGCCAATGCCCGACGCCAAGGCATACGCAGCGGATCCGATGGAGATATTCATCATGCCGGATTGGCCGAGTGATGGGGCGAGTTGTCCAGCTAATCCGTTCCCAATGTTCTGAGCGGCGAGGTTAATACCTGTCGCGGTAGCATTGAAGGTACTCGCGACTCTCAAGGCTTGGGCTTTGGCCGTGGTCATGTCAGTGATGTTCAGGCCGGTAGACGTGCCAACACTGTTCACGTCAGCAGAGCTATAAAAAAAAGTACATCAAATCCACGTACCCAACACCAATACCTAGGAACAGCGCAGGTGTTGCGAGGCCATCCGTAAGGGCACTGCCAAGATTTCCTACGATTGCGCTCAGTCCTCCAGTGGTGTTCACTCCCAGCCTACCAAGCAAATCCCCCATAGCTTGGCTCATGTCGTCTACAAGTCCACGCTTCCGAGTCTTGACATCGTACCTCTTGCGAAGCTCTGCGATGCTATCTGTTAAAGAAGCTCCAAATCTCTCCGCACCCTCGAAGCCATATCTCTGTCCTATGTCGCTTGACGTGTGCGCAATCGATGCGGTAAGGCCCAGCAGGGCGTGGTGTAGTCGCGCATCGTCTTTGAGCGCAGTGATAGTCTCCACCGACAAGAATGTGGTCAAGCTCTCCGGATATGCGCTCTGACTATTGGCGAAGATGTATCGATCGTAGCGGAGTTCAGCAACGGTAAACAGAAGCGCGGCGATCGCAAAGACTGCAAGCGGTAGGTACCAGACCGGCTTACCAGCAGCAAACATTATTAAAAGTCGTAAGGGGTATCTCAAATGATCGTTAATACATGAAGCGAAGTGGTGAATGTAGTGTGCCCGTGGCCTGCCACAGCAACAGCATTTCCCGGTAGTCGTGTTAGGAGACGTGTACCTGCGACCGTGGACCGATTCGATAATATAACTCAAGCGACGGCAATCGAGGTGGCGAGGATGTGATTTGCCAAGCATGTGGAGTGCGAAACATGCTAAGCCTCATCTTAGTCTGCAGTTGAGCGCGGAAGATTCATAGAAAGGAGCGCGTGGACCACAAGGTACGTACTAGGCTGCTTCGTCCAAATAAATCCCTATGCGGCGCCATTAATAAGGCGATACGTGCCTTGAAGATAGGTAGAGGTCGTTGTGCATCTTACCAATCACGATACTACATGTTGCTAAGAAGTGAATGTACATAAGAAGTCACAAAAATGACGAATGAAAGGTAAACGAGATCAGGAAGAACACCAAAACGAGCAAGTAGCGAAACTGGAAGACTGAAACAAATTGTGTACTTTTTCTGGGATTACCTAGTGCCCTTCTTGGTTGCGCGGCCTACCGTTAGGTGATGCGACGATTTTGAAACGCGCGCGCTGAACCAATTGCATCGTCGTGTTTGAGCGCCGCGCGAAAATGATAAGGCTTCTTGACAGGCGAGAGAAAAGCCGAAAGCCTGCAGAACTGTTAACAAACACGATGGATAGCATGTAGTGTTGTCCAAGGTAGTAGCAGAATGTGTAGTCGTGACATGGGCTGGATTCACGCTGCGATCATTCTGAAATCACCATACCCTTGGATCAGCTGCTCTCCGCAGGGCTCTAATACGATTTTCCGCACCCGCGTTCCGTTCCGTTTGTGGAGTACCGGACGAGCTTATTCAGAGGATTGTGATTGCGGGTTTGCCTGGCTTATAAGGCGCTTGTCAATACCCTCTAGCACTCGCACTTACAATGACGTGTAACATTGAAACAATCTCCCTACACACGTAATGTCAGCCATGGCTGCGAAGACAGAGAGCTATCTGGTTAGCGAATCTCAGGATGCCTACACCCGTGACTTGTCTTTCGCCTTCTCCACCATGACTTGCGCGCTTCCATCTCTTTTGCTATCTTCTTCCAGTGTGCTGGACCTTTGACGCATACTCCGGTCAACTTGAATTCGTGCATGGGGTTGGGCCGCACAACAGCATTACGCTGACATTCTTGCCATTCTTTGAATTTCATGCCAGTAGGTCGGCGAGGCTGGTAAGCAGAATCTGGCTTCGCTAAGTAAAGCGGTAGCGGGGGTTGCGCTGGCTTCTGCCAGGCGCGCAGCATCTCCAGATGACGCTCGACGAACGTTGGCTGCGGCTTCTCAGTTGTGGATGACTCTGTATCTGGCGACTTTCGACCAAACCAAGGTCGCGCGCTGGCTTCGTCTTTGCCGCGACATATACCCACCTTAGTGGCAAAATTTAAGAAGAAGCTCTTGGGCATCGGGAGATTCGCCACTATCAGTACGACTCCGACAACGATGGGCACCACTATGGGTAAAGCCAAGTTGCTCGAGCCTGTATGCGTAAATCTGTGTAGCGTCGCAGCCTGGATCAGAGAAGCCATACCTGTGTGAATTTCTGCATTAAGACAATGGGCCATGTAGCGAGACAAGTTGTGTGGCGGCATATCGACGAAAAGCAACAGGTCGCGAAGTGCTTGGTGCGCAGGGGAACTTGGGTTGGATTCTCGAGAGAATTGCACCTGAACTATACCTTTGTGACACTGTAGATTGTGAATAAGCAATGGGGCATGTTCACGTATGGATGTGAAAGTACAGCATACTGCGCGGACAGAACGAAACAATGACTAAAACAAAGCAGAAAGACATTGTGCGCACACAGAAAGATGGCATTAAACACGAACACACGAGAAACAAACCATCGTGATGTTTAGAACGAAGCGGTGTGATGTGGTGGTGTGCACAGCCGCGGCCTGTGAGATTCTGGATGTTGGACGGCAGGGCGGCATGACGCTGGTAAGGAGCAGCGGAAAAATCTACGTCACCAGTCACGATACGGTATCTTTCGACCGTCACCCCATCTTCGTCCGTGTATTGTCGCTTGTTGTTTCCGTTCCGTTGCATTTGCACGCACTCTGCCTCCGTTTGCTTCATTTTCCCTGCACTTCACAATGGTCAGCCAGCAGCTTGAGCAAGCGTATGAGAAGTACCGCTACGAGGCTCTCTTTGGCGCCTGGCTCGTTGTGACCGGCGCAACCTTCATGCGCATCAAGCGACAGCCCTACTCCACCCGTCTTAAGGTCGAACAGTACGAGAGCATCTTCAAAGGAACGTCCCTGGGTGCGATCGTGCTCGGAATTGGCATGTCGCCAAAGCGCGGCGTGAGGCGCGTTGCGTAGAGCCCATAAGCAACGAGACTCGCGGAGAGATCCCCCCACGACCCTGAGAATCCATCTTCGCGGCATGTGGATCGATCGAGGACAGGTGGAGTTCACGAGCTAAGGAGGAGATGAATTGTTGACACCTCGCTGCTGTTGGAGAGAACGCTGGGTGGGCTTGGCGTCTCCGCAACTTCACATGCCAGTCGTCAGCACCTACCCATCGTTCCTTCATCGCCTTCGCGGCGGCAAGAGCATCCACAATATTCACGATGTTGTTCCGCCTGGGCAAGGTGAGCATTGAGCTCAACCCATGGAATCCACTGTATGCAGTGGCACCCTTCATCATTGTGATGGTGTCGGTCCCATTAGCCATCTTTGCGGTGGTTACCACATCCATCGCACTATCTTTACTGGCCTTTCGTGGCTTTATAGTCTATACACAGCTTGGAACTGCACTTCTAGGTGCTTGGCTCTCTCCAGCGCCACCAAAGCCTATTGCTCTACAGCATCAGCCCCCATCCCCCGAACGAACGTCTCCGCCTCGCAATCACCATCGACGAAGTAGTAGTAATGGCAGCGGTACATCTTCACAGGACACAGCGGTGCCTGTTTCTCGTTTTGGGCCAAAGAGTGGGTCCTTCACAGCACTGCTCACTGAAGGCGGGCCCACACGTGACTATGAGGGCGTGGGAGGCTGGAGAGATACTGGCAATGAAGATGAGGAGGCATTGTGGATGGGCATCAATTCGAGGTTGCAGTTACCGGCTGCGATATCTGGTCAACGACACCAGCGGCGGCACACAGGCGGGCAAAGTCCAAACCAGCGTTGGAGCTGGAGCCCAGAGACTTTCCGTATGAGTCCTGTGCAAAGCAGAGCAAGGACACCGAACCGAGTCCTTGCAAGCGAAGGATACAACAACGGCGATTACTTCCCGACACAACCCACGGATGGCGGCCGTCCAATTAGGACGGCGTCCGATCCGTTGAAGCGGCACAACCGAAGACTGAGTGGCAGTGGCAGCAGCATCACGAGCGCAGCTTCAAGCATGATGGCTGCTGTCAAAGAAACAGGAGAATGAATGTCTCATACAGTCACAGGGATTGACATCTTGCTATCTGCTCGTAAACAGTGAACCTGTCACCACCACTAGCTCACTGGTCCCGACACCTCGCACATCACTGCATCAGTTGTGAAGGTACGTGAACCAGGTCCTGGCACGAACTTATACGCAAGGATCCCCTGAGGCTGCTCGGTCCACCAATACCTTCGCAACTGAAGCCTACGGATTTGCTCGACCCTATTTTGCAGCACAATCTATCCCTCGATACAAAAGAGGTCTCCAGTGCAACAATGGATTCGCAGCCTCGTGAAGAGTCAGCTGGGACGTCTAAGTGGTAGACTGGCGATAATCTTGGATGTTCTCCTCTGCCTTCTCAGCATCCTTGTCACAGCCTTGGGCACGACATCCATTGTCAAATTCAGGCGGGCACGTGCTCAGCGTACTACACCGTGACCTCTCCTTCCTGTCTATGCCCAAGACGGGCACTCCGCACCCAAGGCGTCTATTGTATCCACCAGCTGCCCTGCTCGTTCTCATCATTCTGTCCACAGCCGCTAATCTTGAGACTGCACAGTCATTTGCTACTGGCATGTCGGACCTCGTCTTGGATCCACTTGGCTGTCGCCGTTAGGGTTGTGGACCTGGGAAAATATTGATTTGATTGGCTAGGATATACCCAAACATACGTCCTCACGACGTTATGACTTGGTGGGGACCGGCGTTTGTGGTTTTATATAGTCTAAGACAAATTGTAGAACATCCTTTGTTCTTTACAAATCATACTTCTCTCGTGTTATCAGTCGGGTACCTGTGCGCTTCTGCCTACGGAAGCATTGCTCGCCACAACTCGCGCGGTATAAGAGAACACAGTCCCACACCAACGAGTCTAACATTCGACCCCGTGACAAAGCAGTCGAAGACATGGAACCTCTCACCATCGCGCTTCTGCGCCTAACGGTACTCATCGTTATCGGAGTTGGTGTTGTTGTCTTTGTGAACCGTCTATCGACATGGACCAAAGGGAAGGCGCCGACAGGGAACAGGAAATGGCCATTGATTGTGAACAATGAGATGACAAATTCTACACCGCCGGCGCGCATGAACAGTTCAATCTGTTAGGAAGTTCTGTTCTCCCACAATGTTAATCGACGGCAATTCTCTTAGCCACTGCCTACAATGCAAATATACCATGTCTTTGTCACCATAGTTCTTTGTGTACTCTGTACTTCAAACAACTCCACTTTTACCAATGCTTCGGCTCGACTCCTTTTGCCTCGCATCAATGTTCCACCTCCCCCCTGCTCTTCTAGCAGTCTCACTCCGAAATGTCACCAGAGCACAACCTTCCCAAGCTTTCGCACCACACAACCATAATTCTGCTCTCCATCCTTCCCGCCGTCGGTCTCTTCGGTCTACTTATGGGAATATGGCACTGCGTCCGGAAACGCAACAGCGCCAAGCGCTATGAACAGGAACGGCAGGATGAGGCTAGCACGTTGCACCAGCATGCATTCTTGGCGAATGACAACTATCTTCCGGAGCGGAGTCAGAGTACGGGTCATCAAGTGCGTAAGATGCGAGTGCCCAATCTGCCAAACTTGAAGATTGATACGAGTATGCCGGCTGGAGCACAAGTGCGGTCCGCCCCAGCAGTTGGGCGTGTCGAGAATCATCGACGACAAGTTGACGGCGTTCCATAAAGTGCACACCCGCTGGGGTTTGCGCCGGTACGACAGTGTGTTGGATGGGAAGAGCGCCAGACTCGTGATGCTGGGATAAAGCGCACAGTTGATAGTGGCTAAGACGGACCTTCAACAGGCTTGAAAACATCTTTTAGTACAACAAATTATCTACTATCAAGGGTGAATATCATCTTGCGCCCATCATCGTGGCTCACACACTACAATAAAAGGACTGGCTGCCGCACCAAGGAACAATCTCCCGCTCTTAACATCATGCACAACAGTCGTAGCTCCACTAATAATAGCCCCTTCCTTATCCTCAATCATCTTCTTCACCTCATACTCCAGCTTGCTATCTTCTCTCCCACCTTTCACCTTCCTGATCCTAAACACCGTTGCAGGACTCACATGTTGATAAGGATCCGCCATAGCCTTCATAGTCTGTCGCACATCTGGAAACCCCGATACCCACAAATCGCCTCGTGCATCGGGAGACACGTTGTCAAGCGGCATGCCAACGCGGATGGTGTGGAGCTGGGTTAGCGTCTGGTTCGGTTGCAGCGTGAACACCTTGACTGTTCCGTCTGCAGAGCTGGGTACGTAGATCAGTCCATCCTTTCCCTTCGCTAGACCGTTGGGGAACTTGAGATTCTTCCGGATATCGATGCCGGGCGGCAGGGTTGCGGAGTGGCATTTCCCGGTGTAGGAGCAATACGCGACCGTTCCGCCGCCGATGATGGGTTCAAGCTGCTTGCGCCACCCAACTTTAACGCCGTGGTCGTTACTGACAAGGAATGCGCCGCCTCCGACGGCAGCTGGACGGTTGGGTGACCACACGGCGGGTGATTGGATGGTGCGCAAGTGCTTCATTTCGTCGTTGCCTCGCTTAAATTCGAAGACTTCTACGGTGGCATTCGCACCTAGCTCTTTGGCTTCGAAGTAGGTTCCGTGGTAGGGCGCGACGTTGGGGAAGTAGAAATGGATTGTTGAGTCGTCGATGACTTCGCTGGTGAAGCCTACGGTGTCGAGAACCGCATCGCCTCGTGCACCAAAGGAACCTCGGGGTACGATAGTCCGGTGGGAGAAGAATCCATTGGGAGCGATAGAGTCAATGTCCAATGCAATAATCTCCGAGCCAGATGGTCTGCGGCCTGATGCGTCGAGTCTCGAAATCACGGGGCTCCAGGCCATCCGGCTTTTGGTGCCGGCGCATGCTGCGTACAGAACTCTTTCTTGCTGATCGAGCCATAGATCCTCACAGGCTTCTAGTTGCGGATGCTCGATACGTTGACATGAGTAGGGGAACTCATCGATGCTTTGGATCACGCGACCTAGCCCGATGCTGACGGTCAGAATGTCTTTGATGAGGAATTGGTAGATTGCGGCGGACCAGGCTACGACGGCGCTGTAGTAGATGAGGTTGCCTATCGACGGCATCTTGGCAAGTTCGATGAGAGATTCAAGGAATGAAATTACAAGAAAATGTGTAAAGAAGGATTGATGCTGAAAGGTAGGCTATACCAGAGTGAGGTAGACTAGAGGCTTGGTATTGAGAAAAGCCCCTCCGTCAGGCCAGCGTTAGCCCTTTACGCGAACACGTGGGTGCAGGGGTGTGGGATTCCTCTCTTTCCATCCGCTTTCTTCACATCTGTAGAGCTGGATCAGGTTTCCATAGTGTTGTTGAATTGCAGTCTAGATGACTGTTGTGAGGGAGGTGACCGAGGTGGTGAGGGCCTAGAGCGCGAGTGACGTCAATCTCCGCCACTCATCCCTCTCCATTGGGCCGAATGCAATGACCTCTACTCCAGACTCTAGACGTCGATCCTGCGACAAACGTGCCTTTGAAGCACTCAAACAATGAAAACGCAAAATGACAGTCTCAGCATCCTTCGACGTGATCGGCACATGCTTCGATTTTGAAGTGCCCATCAGAGCTATCTACGACCGACTGGGCGAGAAGCTCTCCACCGCAAAGTCCGATCCAAAGACCTTGTTCTTCGCATGGTTCTACGCCGCACAGCGAGACTTCACATACGTCTCCCTCGCAGGCGACTACACGCCGATCGCTGAAGTCCTAAAATTGACATTCAAACGCGCATGCCTGATCGTCGACCTCCCAGCCGACGCAGTAAGCGACGACGACATCGCCTTCATCATGAAAGCATTCAAGAGCATGGGACCGCGCGAAGGACTGAAAGCTTGTTTCGACGGCCTCCGGTCTGCGGGCTGGGACGTGTATGCCGTGACTAACGGCGGTGTCGAGACCTCCTTAGCGTACTACCACGCCGCACATATTGAGCTAGATGAGGCTCATTTGCTGTCCTGCGATGATCTGAAGATTGCGAAGCCAGATTTCAAGGTTTATGAGCGTGCACAGGATCATTTGACGAAGCAGGGGCTGGGCGAGAAAGGGGATGGGAAGAGATGGTTTGTTGCGGCGCATGCGTGGGATTTGATTGCGGCGAGGAAGGCGGGGTTTAAGACGGCGTATCTGGATTTTGAAGAGCATGATCCGGTTACGGAGGTTTTTGGGGAGTTCGACTTGTATGCAAGCAGCATGAAAGAGCTATTGCAGAAGTTGAAGGAAGCCAAATGAGCAGGTTACCCCCAGCGGGATTGCGAACCAGAAGGTACGCAGCATTGCTGGCCTCAATCATTCACTACTGTGTATCAGGAGTACTTTTTGCAATCGCTCTTGATTTCAGTTTCGTATTCTCCCACGAATACTTTGAGCAAGGCTGCATCCAAGGATGTTCTAGATGATGGTGAATGTCCGCCGAACAACATCTCGAAAGGCACTACTTTGTGCCACTTTTCACTCTTCGTTGCGTTGGTGAAACGCTTCCATATCCGTATCCTTGCCTCATTCAGATCATTCTCAACTCTCTTGCAGAATTCCGATGTGCCGATTCCGTAGAAGTCGACGAGGTCTCTCGTAGCCAGAATCCGACCGAAGGGGTCTATAAGTGTTTTCTCATCAAAAGTCAAGATCTGGAAGCAGAAGAGATGAGCTCGAGAAGTTTGAGCTTCCGGAATCCCTCCACGATAATCAAGGTAGATGTCGCTCGAATCTCAGTCCCAGGCCTCAGCAATTGCGGATATCGCGGGTAACTTATCGTAGTTGTCCGAGAGGTGGCGATTGGTGTATTGCTGCACAATCTGCATCCATTCCTCCCCGAGCCAGTATTCGCCATGGTTGTCTCGAACTTGTTTGAACAGTCTATCAACTTCATTGATGGCACTCTGACAAAATTCTGGCAAGTGCTGTGGATTCTCATCCTGCAACAATGAGACAGTGTCACATGACCAGTGCTGCTGGTAGTCAGTGATACGCAGAATTCGTCGGGCAAGAAGATGTTTCGTAAAGTTCAACTGCGTTCATCGATTGGTACTGTTCTAGAGATTTTCGAGAGGATGACCGAACCGAGCTTGCCCAAAGGTGATGCAAATGGTAGTTTGAATCCAATCTCATTGAGAGGCGACATGGGTGCAAAAAGCCTTGCCGGAACTTGCTTGCCCGAGCAGCTGATATGACAAGGCATGAACTCCTATACACTGGGTGCATTCGTCCGACGTCGATTGCTTTCTCTTCCATGTCGAATTCAAAGACTATTAATCCAGATCCACGGTATTCTCAGGCCGAGTGCGACTCTCACAGCATCGAGAAAGGTCTTCGGTTATGCGGATATTGTGGTTCCACGGGAGAACGTGGCTTCTGATGTTGCATCGAGTCGAAACTCCCGTGTACCGCCCCAACAATGAGACAAGGTTGCGTACCTAGTCACTTGAATTGTACGTAGCTGGGTTGCCTTCATATGTATGGTTCACGTGAAGATAGGCTTGCCGTTCACACGGAGCTTTCTCGTGTGCATTTGATCTGCATGTATTCAGGGTACACAGCGACGTGCTCCTTACCCGGGCGCAGGACTAGCCACGTCCCTCTGATAAGCGCCTGCGAAGTCCAGCTGCCCCAGTTGCCCATTGATCTGATCAATCTCCTGATTCAAATCTTCCAGATTCAGTGCCAAACTGTTCTGCTCATCGAACCTTCTGTGCTTCGTGGCATCAGCTACCATCTCGCTGACCATGAACTTCTGTTCTTCAAGAACGATCAGTCTTTCGCGCAGTTCCTTCTCTTCAGACTCCATGGCCGACACCTCACTGCTGCTGACGACGCTGCCGCCAGTCCTGTCGCTGGCCTTGATGGCTGCTAGAGCGGCGCCTCCAGCTGGACGTCCTTGGGGAGCGGCATGCTTCAAGATCTTTGGCAAAGAGCGCAAAGGAAGCATGTGCAAGCTCAAGAAGCTGTATGCCTGTTGGTAGACAGCTTGCTGTAAACGCTTTTGTGTGGGTGACTCGGTGGGTAGGTCCCGTATACGTTTCGCGGCTGTGTCGAACTGCGCAAACGCATCCATCAGTCGTTTCCGAACCTTTGTAGCATCAGTGAGTTGTTGTGGTGTGGGTGGTTTTTCGGGGTCCTGTAAGGCTGTGAGGAGCTTCTGAAACCGGGGTAACAGCAACCGGATGCCTCTTTCGAACTGCGCGAGGTTCTCATATGCTCGCTGATCCTTCGGCCTTTTAGCCATCTCTCGCTCGAAGTCGCTTCTGCTGAACAGAGTGTGATTGCAGTCCTTGCACATGCGTACATCGACGCTCATCTGATCTGTCGCCTTTTCTGACTTCTTCGGATTGACGTTCAACCCAATCTCTGTTGAGCACCCAGTATTAGGGTCACCGCATACCACCCGTCCGCACATGCGGCAGTGGTGCCGTCGAAACGTGTACGTCGAGAACTCCTGCTGGCAGAAAGGGCAATGCGAGACTTTCGCGTCTTCTTCCCAGGTAATGATAGACTGCTCTAGAGCTTTGCGCTGGTTTTTCGCCGTGTTTATGCCGACTGTCGATAATCCAAACCAGCCTCCAGCGTTCGGTGTCTCCTCGACAGGCGATGGGCTGGCCAGTAGTTGTGTCAGCTTGGTAAGACGCTTTTCCAGCCTGCTGACTTCCATGTACTCTCTGTCCACCCTCTTCCGCCGAACCTTTGCGAACTCGTCGAAGTGGTTGCGCTCGAACCCGTGATGGTCGTTGTAGCCTTCTCTCGACTTGTAGCAGGTCTCGCAGACTCGACACCAGATGCCCCTTACTGGATCGTGTTTCGCTGCACGTGATAGCTTCATCTGGTATAAGGTATGGTCTTCGCAAAACAGTTGCCCGCATTGTCTGCAGTTGACGGCTGTCTGGCTGTTGCCCAATGCCATTCCAGATCCTGTAAGCGGCCTTCCACAGAGCGGGTCTGAACACACGTCTCGATAGCCTGGCCTCTGCCAATGCGCTCTTGTGACTTCTTCCTCGGGGTCTCTGCGAACGACGGATGCCGGGGGGGTATCGTGACCGGTGCGGGTGTTCGAGGTGCTGCGGGAATGGGAGGCGGGCGGCGGTGTCGGTGAGCTGTTCGATTCGAAGACGTCGAGGCCTTTCAGCTTCTGGTTCAGTACGGCAAGAGGCTGGAACTTCTTCGCCTTGACCATCTGCTCCTCGAACCAGTTCTTAACCTCATCCTGCTCTTGCTCGACAAGGTTCTGGTGGTTGTCGTCGAGATGTCTGGTAAGGGTTAGGGGGGAGCTGGTAGCTGAGGTGTGAGAGGGCAGTACCGGTTCAGTTGGAGGAGCGTCACCTGCCGTTATCAGTTCATTGCACGTAGACATAGGCAAGAGCTACGGCGTACCATCTCCTCATTACATATTGGACACACCAAACGATTACTAGCACGAGCAGCGGCATTCTCACTCGGCCCCAGCAGGACCTTGCTTCCTATGTCTTCTCTCGTCTCGGCGGTGCTGGCGGGGCTGTTGGACGTCTGGCTGCTCAGCGACAGGGAGCTCTCTGAGGGCGACAGCAGGCTCGCATTGCGGACATGGCTGTGCTGTGCCTGCAGTGCTTGCAGTGCCTGCGGGGTGGCCGGCGACACAGCAGGCGACAGGTTCCTCCCGCTCCCCAGCACGCGACCACCGCCCAGGGACCTGCGGGAGGCCATGGTAGCAGTAGAAGAGTATCTAGGAGTGGTGCAGCACGGCGTGGGTCGCGCCGGAGTTTACGGGGGTGCGCTAGGAGGGGGGCGTGGCGCAAGGGTTCCTGTGCATGTGCATGTGCATCATGCATACTGGGCAACGCAGTACGCTTAACAAATGTCTCTCCAGATATCTCGACAGTCTGAAAGTCTAGGTGTTTACAAATGCATTCGACAGTGACTGTTGAGGCTGCAGAGGCCTCAGAGGCCTGTCGATGGCGCTGCCGTTCATCTCCTCGGTGCAGTTGATAGCCTTGGCCGACGCCATTGAGTTCACGCCCATATCTCCGCCCAACATGCGCCGCCTCTCCAACACACATTTTCCACCATGGCGCAAGAGCATGACTACCCAGAGATTCAGGGCGGCGGCTCGCTGATCCTTGCCTGGCAAATACGCAATAAGCGTGTGCTGGTAGTTGGTGGCGGCGAAGTGAGCATCATCGCTGTGCGCACGCAATAGGTAGTTGACGATTGACTGTAGCACAGGTCGCCGCTGGCCGCATCGTGAACGTTCTCAATGCCGACGCCAAAATTACCGTAGTCTCCCCGCGCGAAGGCCTGAACCCAGAGGTCGCATACCGAATCGGGCAGAAGCAAGTCGACTATGTTGATCGCAAATTCGAGCCCTCCGACCTCGACGGCGTGGATATGGTCCTGACCGCTGTAGACGACCCAGAGGCCTCAACGCAGATCTGGAAGCTGTGCAAGGAGCGCAGGATAGCAGCGAACATCGCCGACGTGCCACCAGAGTGCGACTTCTACTTCGGCAGTGTGCATCGCGATGGGCCGCTTCAAATCATGGTCAGCACGAACGGGAAGGGTCCGAAGCTGGCGAACATTGTGAGGCGACAAATTGCGGCCAACCTTCCACCCAACATTGGCCAGGCGATCACGAGAGTGGGCATGTTGCGCAAGAAGCTGAGGCAGGTGGCGCCAGATGTTTCAGAGGGCCCAAAGCGGATGCAATGGTACGTCAAATGGTCGCATGCCAGCGCAATGGTGCTAACACAGTGCAGGATGATTAAAGTTTGCGAAGCTTACTCACTCGATGACCTCTGCTCCATGACTGAGCGGGACATGGAGCAGCTACTTGGCTTCTACAAGCCCAACACGGCACCCAGTCTTGATCTGCTTCGTCTACAGGAGCCGGACGGCGCGTTTGATGGGCCTTTTCTCATCTAAAAGTTGGTCACAAGCGGCGTTCTAGACAAGCACACAGACGGACTGGGTAAGCGGGCGTTGTCCTGGCTTCTCTGTCTATTCAGCAAATGTTCAACTCTCTACATTCATCTTCCGTCTCGTCTTCTTAACTTCATGCGTCGCCCCAATTAGCGTGCGGTGGCCCGAGCGTCTTCTCAACTTCTCGCTCAAGCTTCAGACACACAGCAACAACAAGCACTCAGCATTCGCCATCAGCGCCTTTCAACTTCAACTACGAGGCTTCCTAGCTCTCATCTGTAAATACCATGGACCTTGCACAACGACCACCTTACAGCACAGTTGACTTCAAAGCACTTGCCAAAGCTGACCCAGACTTCAAGCAAACATGGCAAGCGTGCTCCGGCAAACTCGATTTTCAGGACCCGAGCACTCTCCAAGTCTTGTCCAAGGCTATCCTCAAGGTCGACTTTGGCCTTGAACTCTCCGTCCCAGATGACAGGCTCTGCCCACCAATACCCAACCGGTGGAACTACGTATCCTGGATTCAAGGCTTGCTTGACTCTACAGCACCATCCTACTCCAACAAGTATGACCCTGAGAGAGAGGCCACGGGTCTTGACATCGGCACCGGCGCATCAGGCATCTATGCGCTGCTGTGCATGAAGAGCAGGTCAAACTGGACCATGTGTGCTACCGACATCGACAAGATCTCTTTCGGATCTGCGGCTGCCAATTTTGCAAAGAACAACCTGCTAAGCAGGACGAAAATGCTACACACCACTCCCTCGATGCCTTTGATCCCACTTGAAGCACTAGGCACACAGCAGCTAGACTTCACACTCTGCAACCCACCCTTTTTCACCGACTCCACCGAGATGGAGAGGTCTCTCAGTGGCACAGGAAAAGCTACAGGGCCAAACGCTATCTGCACAGGCTCCAGCAATGAAATGGTCTGTTCTGGCGGTGACCTCGGCTTCGTCACGAGAATTGTCGAGGAGTCCCTTGTTCTTCGCGACAAAGTGACATGGTACAGTAGCATGCTTGGCAAGCTTTCCAGCGCCAAAGCTATTGTCGAGCTTCTTAAGTCGCATGGTATCACTAACTGGGCTGTCGGTGTGCTAGATCCGGGGACGAAGACCGGGACAAAGAGATGGGTCGTTGCATGGAGTTTCGGTGACGCGAGACCACGAAACAGTATTGCTCGTCCGCCTGGTGGTAGCTTCCCACACGAACTGCTACCTTTCCCAACTTCATACAATATATCGCTGCCTTCTTCGATGATCGGCTCTGCCGCTATCGATAAGCTGAACGATCAACTATCGACTTTGGACTTGGTCTGGAAGTGGCACACAGCAACAGCGACTGGCGTCGGTGAAGCGTCGGAGAACGTTTGGGGAAGAGCGTACAGGAGAGCATACGAACGGCGGAAGAGAGAAGGCCAGGTGGAAATGCACGCTAATACGTTCGACAAAAAGGCGAAGCTGGCCTTTCGCATCACTGTTATCCAGCTGGCTGGCGAGATCGTGCTTGAGTGGCTTAGGGGAGATGATCAGGTCCTGTGGGAGAGCTTCTGCGGCTGTGTGCATCGGTGGTTCAAACAGACGTAGATAACACCTGCCTGCTAGGGTTCTGGTGCAAACGGGAAAGAGCAGGCACCCACTTCTAAAGCTCATCTTCAGCCCTAATCTGCGCTCTCTCACCTCTGCTCCTCGCTCAGTTATCTCCTACTGCCTATTCCAGCACCATCTGCCATATCTCAAGCTCTGTCATTCCTCTCGCCACTCCACACCAACACAACACGAAGTAAGCACAATACATGCATACTCTGGCTGTTTTCTAACGCCGATGCAGCTCGCCCACTGACTTCTGCTACATCATGTCCTCCAATGACAAGCCAGTCTACTTTGCGTCCTCCACCGAGCTCGCCGATCTGGGCGCTGCCCGCTTTGACCATGACACTGCGGCCGTCGGCGACAAGGACTTCGCTCTCACCTCCTACTCACATGCACCCGTCACCGTGCAAGCTGGCCGCGCCCCCAAAGGTCTCGAAAACCAGGTCTTTGCGTGGAACACCTTCCAGTACACCACAAGCGAGCGTGATGAGAAAGAAGAGAAGAAAGGCGATCTACACGAGGGGCAGCTGCACCGGCAGAACAGAGCTGCTGCGGGTATCCCGCCGGCAAGCTACGGTCGTGGTGGAGCGAGGAGCGGCCGAGGTGGAAGGGTTGGTGAAGCGGCTGGCAGGAACGATGGGCAGCTGGATGCGCTCTGCGCGGGGAGGAAGCCCGAGGGCAATGCGCTGCCGCTGGCGAAGGGATTTGCGGAAGAGCTGGACAAGAGCATGTTTTGGGATGGGCCGATCTGCTGAGAGGCGCACTCTTTCTGAGCTCAATCAGCCTGAAGGGTCTCCGCTCGTGAAGCGGATTGTCATCATACAACGCCGAGCTGGCCAAGCTGGATATTGTAGGTCACCATGAGTATCACCTTGACAATTATCACTGACCCCCATCACAGGTCTCTATCGCGTCGCCGTAGCACGTCTGGACCTTGTCACGACACAGCACCGTCACCTGCGCCTGACGTGACTTTCTGCTCAATGCTCCATGCAGTGAGTTTTTAGCAACATTTCTCGATGTGAACACCGGGTGACGAGCTTCATGTAGCATTCTTCGTATAAAGACCGTTATCCGCAACTCTTGGGATGCCTTCATTCTCACATATCGACAATCCACAAACTCTCGGATCATACTGCTACTGGCTGTTCGCTACCACTGTTTTCCACGCTCGCTAAACAGAAGAACTATGGCCGTTGGAGCTACTGACAACTCTCAGGAGTGGCAGGGTCACATAGACAGACCTCCACCAGACGCTTGCGACGAGCGTCGTCGTAGATGGGCCAACCTCCTTCGCAACCAACATTACGAGCCCGTCATCTTTGATATCTTGAGCGACGAGCTCCCAAAGTACACGAACAGCTGCGTCATTGACCCTACAGATGTAGTCGTACATATGCGTGAATGCGCCCTGATATTAGCATCAGCACCGGAATTCTTCTTCGCAGCCGTAGAAGGCAATCTAGTGAGTCGTATGTCCACCGATACTGATCTACAGGCAGAGTATGCCGCTATAAAACAGCGCGCATACCGTCAGCCCTCCATCTACATTCACCTCCTAGCAGACGAGGAGGGAAATGCACCAACACCAATCCAGTACTTGGTCATCCGCGACACAATACAATACTACCTTGGCCGAAAGAGTTCAGAGCTAGCGCATCATATCGACAATGTTACTCCGCCGTTCGTGTCGATCGAGGCGTCAACACGAGGATACCGTAAGTACCTCCACACCCCAAGTACTGATCGCTCTCCTAGACGCATTGCTACACTTCTACGCTTGTGTGGTGGCATCGGACTCCGCTGCTCCCAAGTCTCGCCATACTTGCAGGACATTTCTCTTCCGTACCCTCCAGCTGAGGTCGGCTATGCGCTCCACGCGCATCAGAGGTTGGCTCAGCATCGCGCCCACCGCTCGTCCAACTACGTTATGAACCTCGTCGAGGATATTTGCATCCACCTCTTCCGCACCAAAATATTGACACAGCACTTCAAAATGCATCAATATATCATCTACCTCATCTTCCGACCTTCACAAGCAGCGATTGCAGAGATCTTCTGCTCAGGTCTGCTGCAATGCTGGGTTAACGGCGGCGGAGGGTTCAATGCGTATCCGGCTGGGCGAAGCGTCGCGAGTTCGAGAAAGGTCAGTGGGATGGAGTGGGCGGAGCACGAGACTCTAGCTAGACAGGTGAGTCCGTTGGAAGAGCGAATGGAGGTGATGAAGGAAAGAGCGGAGGTCTGGAGGAAGGCGCTAGATTGGAAGAAGGAAGACGAGGAACACGAAGATACAGATGCAGAGGAGGCTGCAGAAGGAGGTGATAGTATGGATGTGTTATGAAGATCAACAATGAAGCGCTGTCCTGGAGTGTTCAAAGAGTCCGTTCTTGATAACACGACTGGCACACGATATGGCTGTATTATCTTATTGACACATGCAACGCGCTCCAAATTGGGTCACAGCTATGACACGAACTCGTAGTGACACCGAAACAGCGCATGATACAGGGGAGTGTGAGGCGGTTGAAGCTTCACAGCAAATCACCGCTTGCAGCGCCACAACGCCACAATGACTGTTAGCGCGTTTTGACTCAAATGTTCCCCTCCAAAACCCCCGCCAGCTGCTACACGCGAGCTTCGCAACAAAGCTAACTTTGCTTTATACTGTCTTGCTAGCAAAACGTAAGGTAAGAAAGCTCAGCAGCAGCAGCATTCTGTTCAATTGCAGCTTGCTCAATTGCTTGGTACGTGCAACACTAGAGTACATTCCCGCTATCTTTGTGTTTATTATCTTTGAGCTTTGCTAACCATAGCAAACAGCCATGGCAGAGCCCACAGCACCACCACCTGCGACGGCACCCGCAGCCGAGGAGGAGAAGGGCCCCTCAAAGCGCGCGCTCGAGAAGGCCGCCAAGAAAGCTGCCGCCAAAGCAAAGAAGGCCGAGCATGCTCTGCGACCCAAGGAGCAGGCGAAGCCCGCCGCCAAAGCTGAGCCCGTGAGCATGTTCGCCGAGGGCTGGCTGAAGCGCATATACGAAGAGAAGCCCGTCAAGGAGGTATACACACGATTCCCTCCCGAGCCCAACGGCTATTTGCACATCGGCCACTGCAAGGCCATCGCCGTCAACTTTGGGTTCGCGAAACACCACAAGGGCGTGTGCTACCTACGATACGACGACACAAACCCGGAGAAAGAGGAGGAGAAGTACTTCACAAGTATCCTGGACATCATCAAATGGCTGGGCTTCGAGCCATGGAAGGTTACATACAGCAGCGATAACTTCGATAAGCTGTATGAGCTAGCGGAGGAGCTGATCAGGAAGGACGGCGCATACGTGTGTCACTGCTCGCGTGCGTGACCACACGATCATCGCATGAAACAGAGGCTGACCCATAGCAGGAGAGGAAGTCAACATGCAGCGCGGCGGGCCAGACAACCGCGGCAAACGTTACGCCTGCGAGCACCGCACACGACCCACGGAAGAATCGATCACCGAGTTCCGCGCCATGCGCGACGGCAAATACAAGGCTGGCGAGGCGTACTTGCGCATGAAGCAGAGCCTGACGGATCCCAACGAAGGCAACCCACAGATGTGGGATGTGCCCGCCTACCGTGTCGTTGAGAACAACCACCACCACAGGACGGGCGACAGGTGGAAGATCTACCCTACATACGACTTCACACACTGCATCTGTGATGCGCTCGAGGGTATCACACATTCGCTGTGTACGGTCGAGTTCCGCCAGAGTAGGATATCGTATGACTGGCTGCTGGAACAGCTCGACATGAAGGTGCCCAAGTCGGAAGAGAAGGGTCCTATGCAGAGAGAGTACGGTCGTCTGAGCGTGAATGGGACCATCTTGTCGAAGCGTCGCATCTTGATGTTGGTCGAGGGCGCAAAGGTCGGCGACAGGACAATCCCACCGTCAGTTCGCGGCTGGGACGACCCACGTCTGTACACCATGGTCGCGCTGCGCCGTCGTGGTATCCCTGCGAAGGCGATGCTCGACTTCGTCGAAGAACTGGGCGTCACCGACTCCTTCACCGACATCGAAGCGCCCCGCTTCGAGGCCTCGATCCGCAAACACCTCGAGCGCACCGTCCCGCGCCAGATGCTCGTCCTCGAGCCTATCAAAGTCGTTATCGAAGACTTCGCCGCCGAAGACGACCAGGATGTCACCGTCCCCTACGACCCCAAGGGCGGCATCCCCGGCGAGCGCAAGGTCAAGGTCGGCAGCTCAATCTACATCGACCGCAGCGACTTCCGCGAGGAAGACGACCCGGATTACTTCCGTCTTGCACCCAACAAGACTGTCGGTCTGTACAACGTACCTTTCTCCATCCGCGCAACGTCTTTCGAGAAGGATGCGAGCGGCAAGGTCACAGAGATCAAGGCCGTCAAGGTCCCGTCGAGCGAGAGGCCGAAGGCGTATATCCAGTGGGTCGATGCTGCGACGGGCATCAAGGTCACGGCGCGCCAGTACAACTCGCTCTTCAAGACCGAGTCGCCCAACACATTGAACTGGAAGGACGGCAGCTGGGCCGACGACCTCAGGCCGGACTCTGAGATCATCTACGAGGACGCGGTCATTGAGCGGGGCCTGAACCAGTTGATCAAGGCGAACAGCCTGAACCCGAGTGGGTCGAGTGATGCGCTGGTCAGGTTCCAGGCGCTCCGCACAGCGTACTTCTGCGTCGATGTTGAGTCGACCGAGGACAAGATTGTGCTGAACCAAATTGTCAGCTTGAGGGAGGACAAGGGCAAATAAGTGGGTGTGTGTGGGTGTGTGTGGGTGGGTGGGGGTGTGTGCATGGGTGCGTGTGCGTGCATGGGTGCGTGTGCGTGAGTGCGTGTGCGTGGGTGCGTGGGTGCGTGTGTGTGTTGTAGTGGACAAGAGCAAGGCGTTTCGGGGGGGCGGGTATGATGAGCTGGATGTCTTTACGACGATAGAGATCAATTTCGACAATCCTTGGTTACTTTCACCTGCTCAAAACACACGAAACGCTGGATACGAGCCAAACAAAGCCTCTCAAGACTACAGTAACCTGTGGACGCTGTTTGGTCAGAGGGAAGCTAACCCCACACGGTAGTCTTCGTGAAGGTTCTCGAGCCGGGGCCAAGCGGTCGGAGCAACAAGGGCCGACCGTGCATGGCGGGCGGCGATGGATGGCGGCATCTCGACAAAAAGTTGCAGAGGACACGACATCACCGTCACCACAACCACCCAGCATGGCGCCGCTCGTTGACCAGCGGCAGATTCGGTCGGCCAGCTTGCACAACCCGCTGCCATTCCAGCTGCATCTCTACGTGTGGCCGTTCCTCGTCATCTGGCCCGCGTTCTCGTCCATCTACCTCTCCCAGGCGCGGTACGAGCAGTACATCCAGTCGCAGGAATGGACGTTTGTGTGGGTGGCGAGCATAGTCACCCTGCAGTCGCTCCTCTGGCTGCTCACCCAATGGAACATCAACCTCAAGACGCTCTTCACCACCACCAAGGCCGCCGACATCCGCTCCGCGCAGCTCATCAAGGTGCAGCCCATCGAGAACGCAGGCGGCGCGGAGATCTGCCAGCTGAAGCGCGACAACGTGGGCGGCAAGCCGAACCTCTCGTTCCTCTTCCAGAAGCGGCGCTTCCTCTACGACCCGACCAAGGGCTCCTTTGCCCCGCTCGCCTACGCCCTCGACAGCGACCCGAAGCCGCAGCTCAAGACGCTGCAGCAGACCCAGGGCCTCGTCTCGCCCGCCGACGTCGAGCGCATCCAGCAGCACTACGGCGACAATGCCTTCGACATCCCCGTCCCGACCTTCACTGAGCTCTTCAAGGAGCACGCCGTCGCGCCCTTCTTCGTGTTCCAGGTGTTCTGCGTGGGGCTGTGGATGCTCGACGACTACTGGTACTACTCGCTGTTCACGCTGTTCATGCTCGTCATGTTCGAGAGCACTGTCGTCTGGCAGCGTCAGCGCACCCTCAACGAGTTCCGCGGCATGAGCATCAAGCCCTACGAGATCCTGGTGTACCGCCAGAAGAAGTGGCAGGAGGTCATGAGCGATAAGCTGCTGCCCGGCGACGTGGTCAGCGTGGGCCGCACAAAGGAGGACTCGGGCGTTGCCTGCGATATGGTGCTGCTCGAGGGATCGGCTATCGTCAACGAGGCTATGCTGTCTGGCGAGAGCACGCCTGTGCTCAAGGAATCGGTCCAGCTCCGCCCTGGCGAAGCGCGCATTGAGCCTGAGGGCCTGGACAAGAACGCCTTCCTCTGGGGCGGCACCAAGGTCCTGCAGGTCTCTCACGGCAACAGCGCAGAGGATGGTGCGGACACGGTCCCGCGCCTGTCGTCTGGCGTGCCTCCGCCGCCGGACAAGGGTGCTGTTGGTGTCGTTATCAAGACCGGCTTCGAGACCAACCAGGGCAGCCTCGTCAGGACCATGATCTACGCCACCGAGCGCGTCTCCGCCAACAACGTCGAGGCCCTCCTCTTCATCCTCTTCCTCACCGTGTTCGCCATCGCCGCCTCGTGGTATGTCTGGCAGGAGGGCGTCCGGCTCGACCGGCAGCGCAACAAGCTTCTCCTCGACTGCGTCTTGATCGTCACGAGTGTCGTTCCGCCGGAGCTTCCCATGGAGCTTAGCCTCGCCGTCAACACCTCCCTTGCGGCACTCAGCAAGTACGCCATCTTCTGCACCGAGCCGTTCCGCATCCCGTTCGCCGGTCGCGTCGACATCGCCTGCTTTGACAAGACCGGCACCCTCACTGGCGAGGATCTCATTGTCGAGGGTATTGCCGGCCTTTCGCTGGGCCAGCCGGGCGTCAGGACCAGCACTGATGGCGCGCACACCGAGCTCACCAAGGTCAACCAAGTCGGCACGCAGACGACGCTCGTGCTCGCCACCGCTCACGCTCTCGTCAAGCTCGATGAAGGAGACATCGTCGGTGAGCCCATGGAGAAGGCTACCATTGAGGCTCTTGGCTGGAAGGTCGGAGCCAAGGACACGCTGAACGCTTCGACTACCACCGCCAAATCCCACGCCGAACTCGTACAGATCCGCCGCCGCTTCCAGTTCTCGTCCGCCCTCAAGCGCCAGAGCTCCGTCGCTACTGTCCTGGTCAACAACAACAATGGAAAGAAGGTCCGAAGCACATTCGTTGGTGTCAAGGGCGCGCCCGAGACAATCCGCAGCATGCTGGTCCACGCCCCGCCAAACTACGAAGAGACCTTCAAGCACTTCACTCGCAACGGTGGTCGCGTACTTGCTCTTGCCTACAAGTTCCTCGCTGAGGATGGCGAGTGGGGCCAGAACCGCATCAACGATCTTAAGCGTGAACAGGTCGAGTCGGAGCTTCACTTCGCTGGTTTCCTCGTCCTCCAATGTCCGCTCAAGCCGGATGCCGTCGAGGCATGCCGTTCGCTCAACGAGTCTAGCCACCGTGTTGTTATGATCACTGGTGACAACCCATTGACCGCGGTCCACGTTGCCAAGCAGTGCGAGATCGTTGATCGCGAGTGCTATATCCTCGATGCGCCCGAGCACGACGAGTCTGGAAAGGCTCTTGTCTGGAAGAGCGTCGATGACAGAGTCAACATTCCCGTCGATCCCACACAACCTCTGGCTGCCGACATTCTCAACTCCAAGGACATCTGTATTACCGGATACGCTCTCGCCAAGTTTGTTGGTCAGCCTGGCTGGAAGCAGATCCTCCGCTACTCCTGGGTCTACGCTCGTGTATCGCCAAAGCAGAAGGAGGAGATCTTGCTCGGCCTCAAGGACTGCGGTTACACCACGCTGATGGCCGGTGACGGTACCAACGACGTCGGTGCGCTCAAGCAAGCTCACATCGGTGTTGCGCTGCTCAACGGCACGCGCGAGGATCTCGACAAGATTGGCGAGCACTACCGCAACACGAAGATGAAGGAGATCTACGAGAAGCAGTGCCAGATGATGACGCGCTTCAACCAGCCCCAGCCTCCGGTCCCTGTCCACATTGCCCACTTGTACCCTCCCGGTCCCACGAACCCGCACTACGAGAAGGCGATGCTCCAGCAGGCACAACGCAAGGGCCTCGCCGGTGCTAATGGCGCTGCCAACGGCTCTACCGACGTCGCTGCGCGTCAGGAGAAGAAGCCTATGGGTATTCAGGAGCAGCTCAGCCAGAAGATGATGGAGTCTGAGCTCGACGAGCTCAACAACGAGCCGCCTACGATCAAGCTTGGTGACGCTTCCGTCGCTGCGCCGTTCACTTCCAAGCTCGCCAATGTCGTTGCTATCCCCAACATCATCCGCCAGGGTCGCTGCACACTCGTTGCGACTATCCAGATGTACAAGATCCTTGCGCTGAACTGCTTAATCTCTGCCTACTCTTTGTCTGTGTTGTACCTCGACGGTATCAAGTTTGGTGACGGTCAAGTCACGATCTCGGGAATGATGATGAGCGTCTGCTTCCTGTCCATCTCCCGCGCAAAGGTATGTTCCTCTTCCCTCCCATCTTTCAACCCCCTTTTGCTAATCTGAACGTGACAGACCGTCGAAGCCCTCTCCAAAGAGCGCCCGCAACACAACATCTTCAACATCTACATCATCGGCTCCGTCCTCGGTCAATTCGCCGTGCACATCGTAACCCTGATCTACGTCTCCCAGTACGTCCAGCGCGTCGAGCCCAAGGACCCCAACCCCGATCTCGAAAAAGAGTTTGAGCCTTCCCTCCTCAACTCCGCAATCTACCTCCTCCAACTCATCCAGCAAATCTCCACCTTCGCAATCAACTACCAGGGCCGCCCCTTCCGCGAATCCATCCGCGAGAACAAGGGCATGTACTGGGGCCTGGTCAGCGTGTCTGCCGTCGCGTTTTCGTGTGCGACGGAGTTTATCCCGGAGATCAATGAGAAGTTGAAGCTTGTGCCGTTTACCATGGATTTCAAGATCATGATTACGACGGTTATGGCTGGAGACTTTATCGCTTGTTATGTCATTGAGAAGGGTCTCAAGTACTTTTTCTCAGATAACAAGCCCAAGGACATCGCTGTCCGTCGCCCTGACCAGTTGAAGAGGGAGGAGGAGAGGAAGAAGACGGAGGAGAAGGAGGCGCAGGAGAAAAAGAACAAGGAGATTGAGGAGAAGGCGCGCGCTGCTGGCATTGCGCCGGCTGCTGGCATGAGGAGGTAGACGGTGACTAGAGGGGGTCTGAAGTCGTATATCTGGGTGCATAGCTTGCGTAGACTGACGCCTGACGAAAGTTCAGGCTTGTGTAGTAATATCATTATTCTTCGCTCGCTGCACTTCAACGCCCCAATCACTTGCTGCCACTCTTGGGATGGTATATTATAATCTGTTCCGGCCTGCCTTGCTGTCCTTCCTTCCTCATCACTCATCTAAAGTATATTCTTATCAAAACTTGCGAGGTCGCGAACCATGCGCTTCTCACCTTTCCCTTCCAAAAAAAAAAATCTGCAAGGCCGATTGCATGCTCTTCTGCGTCCTCCCTCTGTCAAAAAGTTACCGCCACATCAATACGTCTTTTGTCTTCTCTTTCTTCCAACGGCTTGATGACGGTGGCACATGCCTGTTCCTTCTGCCCTGTTCAAAGTCTGCCAGGCCAGCTCCATGCTCGGCGCCTTCCTTCTCTCCAGAAAACGCATGACAAACACAACATGTCTACAGCGTTTGAAAACTACAGAATATGCTCTGCCGTCGCGTCCTCAAGCTCATACCTCCAGAATGTACTGTTCTTGTTTGACTCCCGGCTCCACTGCACTTGCCGTCTCCAATCACATGCAAAAAATAATAGACTCACATATGTATTGCTGCATCCCACCTCCGTTTTCTTCCTCATCTCGCATCCTGAGTTCTTTCTCATCAAAAGTGGCAGGCTCCTTTGCTATGTACTCGCGCCCTTCCTTCCCGCTAAAGTACTGCTACGAGGCTAGGGATGTCTGTGTCCACTTCTCCCTCGAGAAGATGGCATGGTTGCCGCTTTAGCTGTTTAGAATCACAACACAGACACGGTGCATGTAGAGTTCTAGCTCTTGCCAGCTCTTCGACCATTCTATGCGCGATATATCTCCCTAGCTACACTTGAGGCATCATAAGCATGTGCCATCTCAGAGCTAGGGGTATATAACTTTCCCTTTCGCCCTTTCTATCATTCTTCTCATCATCTTCCTTCAAAAGTCACTTCCTCTAAATTCTACAGCCGTTTGGTCGATATCCTCCTCCACCTTCCTTCAAAGAGTCCTCTGTAAGGGACCACATGTCTGTGCCTTCTCATTCTCCTAGGAGTACTTTCTAACCCGATAATTTTCTGACGGTGCCAAGTACCGAAAGTCCAGATCAAAGCTTTATGTCTTGCACTTGCCTTTCCGTTGTCTCAAAAGCGAATCAGTGCGGTGCACGATCTGTGCCTTGTGCTCTATCTCAAATTGCTTGATGAGAGTCGCATGTTTTAAGTGCACATTTTACAATCTATAAGGTGCACTATTTTGTGTATACTGTTCTGTCTAATCGCTATCAATGACTGCCTTTTACCGAGAATTTACATGGTCAGGTGCTATGTCTGTGGTCTCTCTCCCACTTTAAAACGACTGCATCTATTGCTGTGCTCTTCTCCATGAAGCTTTCTTTACTGCAGTGGTAACTGCTGCTTAGGCTTCTTTTTCGGAAGCAGCAGTACCAAATCGACATGTCTGCTGTCTCTGTCCATTCTCAAAGCGCTTTCCATACTTTCTATCCTCCTCTCAACAAAACCCTCGACCATACGACTTCAAGTCATCCAGGAAATCGCCCATGTCTGAAGGTTGGTGTTTCTCTGAAATCGGGCATACTCCGTGACAAATCTGGCGCCCGTGTTCTGCTCCTCAGGGATCTTTCAGGTACGTCGTGCCTGGAATCTGATTAATATGAGGCATCGCACTTATAGCCGATCCTGCTTGGGATGTTTGCTCCTGCTTCTTTTCATCCAAGAGCAGCATATTTGCGATCAAAACGTCTGGGAGTTCCTGTGCCTTCGTCCCTGTAATGTTCTACCAAACTCGCTCTACCGGGACTCACATTTGGCCGAACAGCTAGCAGAGTTGCCACATCACTACGGTCCTAGCAGCTTTCGATCAGACAAAGTGTTCCTGTGCTGTTGACAGGTGCGCAGCCCACAGGTCATCGCATACTCGTATCCGATACACATGAATCACCAATATCCACATCATATCGAAAATGGTTGTGCATCATCCGCTTCAGTCCAGTAGATGACCGCATTTGGCATGGTCGCCCCTAATCCGGCTACAGCCGCTCGAAGGGGCTCAAAAGTTGGCATGGACGTCTTAAACGAGTCGAAATCAAGTTTTTTGCAGTGCTCGACAGAAGCCCAAGAATTACTGAATCCAGAAACTGATGCAACCGAAGTTGCGAAAGATGATGTCGAAGGTTGGTAAGAAGTGATGTTGTTTAGAGGATGCGGTGCGGGATGACGCAAAGTCTAGAATCCAGCGAGTCTAGCGGCACGCGTCACGACGCGACTTCGGCACACTGTCGCGAAGTGCAATCAGTCTGCATCACCGAAAGATGGCCTCCTTCTTGGTCAAGTTATTATCGCAGCCAAGGACATCCCGAAGACCATCGAGTTCTACGCAACCCGACTGGGCATATAAAGCATGAAGTCTTCACTTCGAACGGAGAGTGCTATGCATTGTCGTTTGGAAAACCAGAAGTTGAATCTTCATCGGTCCGGGAAGGGGTTCGAGCCGAAAGCAGGTCCTGTCCAACCAGGGTTGGAAGATCTGTGCTTCATCACGGATCACCCAGTAAACGATGTGCTCGAATGGCATTGAGGTGAAATACCCTTGTCGCGATGTGCAGCTTGTACTGATTGTGTCGTGCAAATCTTGGAAGAGGGGAAAGTGTTAGATCGAACTAGGGCTATAGGCAAGCTAAGAAGTGTATATTGCCGTGATCCTGATGGCGATACTGCTATCAGACTAACGGTCAATGTGAAGAGTTTCCAACTACGTCTAAGGCAGCACAACGCCACTTTCGGCTTGCTGTTCTGCTGCGGCGCTCAATCTCATGGATACAGTTCAACGAATCCTACCTCCTTCATTCTACAACACTATTCGCTAGTTGTTGAAATGAGTGGAAAGTGTGTTGTATTGTGGTTCAGCAGAGGCTCGATTACATGGACGCTAGCCTATCACGTGATGGCGATCAGTGGATACCTTCACTCCCTCCGACGCGAGTAGCAGTGCATTGCTTTTGATCACGCGTCTATCTGCTCAATCCAATGCCATGCGTTTCCCTAGGTGTTGTAAACCTGGAGTGTGGTATCTTTGTCTTCGGCGGCCAAAAGCACGTTCTGAAGCGGATGTTTGAGTTTCTGATACATCGGCTTCGTTCGCAGACACTTCTTCACCGAAAGGTGGGTCTTCGTCTGTCATGGAAGGTGCGTCGTCTGATAACGATTCACCTGCGCTCGAGAGAGGTGGTTCGGGCAAAGTGAACTTGATCTTGGGTTGTGCCAGCTCGTCCAGCACCGATCCAACGTCGCTCATTTCTATGACGGAGTTCAAGATGTTCTCCATCTCTTCATCAGGCTCAGGCTCAGGCTCAGGCTCAGGCTCAGGCTCAGGCTCAGAAATATGACTAGGCTCGATGAAGCCGACTTTTTTCTTTCCCGCTCGAGCGCGGCGAAGTTGCTCTGAGTGTGGAAGCGACTCCGAGTCTTCGTCTACGGTCGCAATTGTCAAGGAACTCTTCTTGAAACCTTGAATGTCAAGATTCTCGCCAACATCTTCCCCAAAGGCCTGCTCGTTCGGATCCTCTGTGACTACCACCTTCTTTCGCACCTGCCTTTGGCCCGGAGGACCTTCACCTACGCTCCTGCCGTGAGGATCGTTCGGGAAAAAGCATCTCACACGCTTATCTATCTTATCTTGAGGTTCTGGAACGGGCGCACTTTCTTTTTTGCGAGGAGTCTCTCTTGACCTGGAGGCTTGGGTCCGTTCTAGAGCTTCCCGAAGTTTGGGCGAGCGGACCGAAGTAAACCAATGAGGATTCTCGTAGAACTTTTTCAGCTCCCCGATTAATGAGTATGGAAAGATAACTTGTTGTCTAGGCTTTATATCAGCCTTTGAAACTTCCGTTAGCAATGCAACGCTCCCATTGCGTTCCGCTTGCTTTAGAGCCTGATTTGTCCTGTTAGTATTGCTCTTGGGATGCTTTGTAATCGTAGCTCACCTGTCTGTTTTCCATTGCTTGCCTCAGCAGTGGCCTGACTCTGGCATGTTCATGCTTCTTCAAAGCTACCTGTGACCGCGAATCCCCTCGCGATGCCCTGTTTCTGAGGATCTGCTCTTTCAGATGCTCTTCCTGTTCATCAGAAGAGATAGATCTGATGGACCTGATGGAACCGCTTCGCTTTGGGACATAATGCGCCACATCTGGCTTTCGTTGGTAGTTGTGCAGCACAACCTGCGCTTCTACCATGCTCCGAGGAATATAGCCGCAAGCAAACCATTCTCCTTTCACGCCATGGTGTGGCTCCAGTCCTAGGATATCTCGTACTTCAGCAAGACTGATCCAGATGCTCGCATCAAATGCATCGATGCCTTCTTGTGCCATGTATAGCACGCCTCTTGGCACTTTGGGCAACTCGCCGTATTCAAGCCACACTGGCACTCTTCCGAAAGAAGGTGTATCGATCCACCCTGCCTGCAGTTTCGATGTGTCGATGATCAGCTTTGTTGCATGGGGAATCGTCAGCTTGTTCTTGATCATGTCTGAGGCGCAAAAGGGAGGCGCTTCCAGTGCGGTTTCTGCTTTGCTGTCAATACTAGCTTTCAAACGACAAGGGGGCAATGCGTACCTTCGTGTTCAAAGGTTGAGATGAAGCACGATTCCAAGACGGAACAGTTGCTGTGTATTAGGTGCGCACGCAAGTTGTCCTGCGTCACATCTTCACAAACGAAGTCCAGCTTCGCATGGAAACCGCCTGACAAGGGAGTGACGACTGAGCCATCTTTGTCATTGATCGTGGGGAAGGCGACACTGTCGACTACAACGTATAGACAGTCCGGAGGTCTGCAACGTGTCGCCATTTCTTTCGTTGGCGAAAAAGTTTCTGGTGAAGTTATTCTCGTCATATTGGCCACTTGATGGACCTTCTGGTCGTAGAAGGCTGATGGTGCATGCTGCAATAAAGGTTGAGTGCAGAAAAACAAGTGGTTTGATGAGGTTTGTGAATGCAACAATTTGTGGAGGGTGCGGAAAGTAAGATGGGGTGTTCGTGGTCTTGGGAGCTTTTTCTGTGGCGGCGTAGCCACTGTAGCACACTGATAGCTACAGTAAACGATTACGTAGGACTATCGAGTCGATGGAACACTGCGCTGAGTTGCTATCTAGCTAGGAGAAGACGATATATATTGGCCCTGGAACGTGCTAGTCCAGAAGAGTCTAAGCAAGGGTAATCGGGTCTCGTACGGATCAGCTGATACCGCAACATTTTCAACTCAATATTTCGTTGTGTGGATTCTTCATCCTGGTGGTTCTGTACCAAATTTTACAGGAAGGTGCGCCACATACAACTGTCGCGTTATTTGGGACACGTAGCCAAATGACCCACATGCACCAAACTAATACACTGCTACCTGAAATCAAGGTCGTTCTTTCTAATTTGATGCTATGGCTTGCGGTAGGCCAAGTTTGTAACAAGTTTATGAATGCTCCTCGTTTTGCATCACGATTGGCCCAGCATCAAGGATATGCGAAACACTGGGGAGGCCATCTGAGAGCACATTCGGTACGTGTTTGGGTAGACTTTGCCCATGACCCAGCGGTAGTATGAAATTTGGGATACTTCCAGCGGGGTATGTTTGTACGCCTCATTGCTGTTCTGCCATGTCACAAGGACCACGACAGATAACCTGAATATTGTCGCAAGGCACAAGCTTTGGCCGATGTGGTTGAAAATTGTCAGGGTTGTTCAGTCTATCAAGGTCTATCCACTAGTATAAAGACTCCGGCATGATGCATAACAGAAAAAATACGCCGTCACACGAGCATGTTGTAACCATGTTACACCGCAATGACGATCCGGCTGCTGCCCGAAGCTAAGATCTTGGTATGAGTAGCCAAATCTTTAGGTCCAGACGATGCTGTCGTGTGACATGCCGCAACTCAGGATGAAAACGCCTCTTCAAAAAAGTCAATGTTGCGCAAGCCCACACGTCGCCTTACAGCTGCGCGCACACTGTCGTTGAACCCTCCTGGACCACATACTGTGACTGCCATAGCACCGACTTGCGCCAGAACCTGTTCATCGACGATCTCTTGGGGGTCGCATCTCTGCGAATAAACCTCTGCTTGAATAGGCAATGGCATTGCCTCCGCTTCCTGTGAGGTTGACCGCGAGACATATAGCCGTATCTGGACAATGTCGCTGGAGTCTGGCATAGCGGCGAGCTCCTCCAGCCATGGGTATATCCATTCAACGGAGTCAATGTTGGGTATGCACCAAACGAGCACGATCCTCCGCGTGGCCGATGTATTGTGACTGTACCCTGCAAGCAAATGTCGCACGAATGACAACTGATGCGTGATGCCGGCACCTGCGGCAAAGAGCACAACAGTGCCATACGAGTCCAGAGAATGGTAACCACCATATGGTCCTTCGATCGCGCCCCATAGCTCAATATGATCGGTCTTAGCTTTGGAAGCCCTGTCGTACAGCGCGCGGGTCATGCCCTTACGCGCGCGAATGATACACGAGATCGTGCTGGGGCCGCTTTCGATCTTCAGATCCTCAATGCTCAAGGGAATCTTTTCTGAGTCCAGACTAGCGTTCCCTGAACAAGTATGCCAGGCTACTGAGAATGGGTGCAAGGCAAATGGAGCTATCCTTGGCAAGTATACGTAGGTGTGCGATCCAGGTTTGCCGTTCCACGACCTTGGTATGGAGAACGTTACGCGGGTTGCTTCTCCGGGCAAAGCTTCAACGGTAACTTTGGTCCAGCTGCGTCGCTTCCACGAGGAGTTGTAATAGATGACACGTCCAAATGTTATCAGTGGCTTCAGCGCAAGCAAAGTGATGAACAGATATGCCCAAGGAAGCTGCGGCAAAGCATGCTTCGCCATGTGAAAGTAGACGCCAGATACTGCTATGACGACGCCGAGGCGATGGAAATTCAGAAAAGTGTCGTAGGAGGCTCGTCGGAGTGGTCCGAGGGACTGTAGTAGGAGGAATATAAAGGCTGTGAAGCCAGCGAGACCCCATTGATAGGAGACCGAATGTCCTAGGACCCACTTAACGCTGTTCCAACCGTCTTGCCCTTTGTAGGTGACTCTGTACGTATTGTACATAAACGCAGCGACGTGCGCTATTGACTCAAGAATTACCAATCTTGCTGTCCATCGGTGAAAGAGATTGAACGTGTCGTGGCTGACGCCGAGTATCCAGATGAGCGGGTTGTTGCGGAGAGCAAACAAGACTGCGAGGATTAGATTGAATGCCGCGAGAGCTCCACATCGGCCTCGAAGCTCCGCAAAGCGCTGATCGGGGATGTTTTCCGGCACTGCGAGGCAGTATGCTATGTTGCTGGCAATGTAGACCACGATGACCAGGAACTGGGGTCTTGTAGGCAGAGTTCCAGCATTGATCGCGGAGGCCACTCGCAGCTCACGACTGTGTCGATCGCGCACGAGGGGAGCATACAGGAAGTATCTTTTGAGTGGGGCCCAAAATGAGTACCGATCTCTTCTCCAGAAGTTATGGCCACGGCATGAGGTTATGGCCGAGACACGCCGTCTTTCGTTCCGAAGGTATACGAGAACGCGATATAACAGCGCCAGAGTGACAGGAACAAGCACTGTCGCTATAAGAAGGTTGACGAAGAGATAGTTCAGAGGTTGATTCACTCCCGTCAATCCGTGACTGAACTTGAAGGGGTCCCCATTCAAAAGTGAAGAGTTCGGATGTACGTTATCGATGTCCGGTTCGTCAGGAACGTGCAAAGTATTTGGTTCATCCCGTGGAATCATGACTGAAAAAAGCGCGGTTTTGCTTCCATACATGCGGCGATGCTGCTTCAAGTGTCAGCGGGAATGCGATGAATACACGATCGCTCTACTCACTTTGACGGAGATCCACTGTTAGACTTGGGGGTTTGGTCTCGATCACACACAGGAAACTAGATGGTCCGTGGCAGAAAGCTATCGTAAGAATGATCTGGAGAGATGTATAGATCGGGCGGGCTCAGTTAAATAAGCTGCAACGCCACGTTGAAGTAAATAAGCTGCAATACCACGTGGAAGAAAAGTAGTGGATATAAGTGTTGTACTGGAGATCTGCTAGTAGATCGTGGATCTATGTACAAGTTATGAAGGCGCAGAGGGAGAGGCCTCTAGCTTTTAAAGTTACGTCAATGGTACGAGCTTGTGGCTTGCTTGTGCTATCTCACCTAAGCCATCTGTATTGTCGAGCCCTGTTACCAACGATATTCGACGTCGAACCAACCAGGTCAGAGCTCTGGTCCTGCCGCCACGCGAACGATACGAGTAAGGCTAATCGGTAACGAACATTACCGTCTGTGCAAGGCGAAAGATCGCCGGGGTAGGCGAGGCGAAGTTCGATGAGTTAGTCGTACAGGCATCTGAGGTGTGTTGCTGTGGCGGAACATGTAACCTGTATCGTTGTCGACTAATGTGTCACAATCTCAAGCAGGGTCCAAAGAGCCGCAGTCCTATCATTGAGAGATGATGGTGCCTTCAGCAAGTTGATCCGAGCGTGTTGGTCGGAGGCCTCTGGCAACGGTGTACATCTTCATATAATGGTTGCTGCAATGTACAGACCTCCCAGAACTTGGTTCACTACTGCGACAGACTTACGTTATGTAAGAATGAAGGCTTTTAAGTGGCTGTTTCTATCTTGGTTTGCAGAATTGACAGTCTGGTACATGTCCTGCAGGGCAATGACGTGGTGAATGGCCACTCGCAAGACTGTCCGCCCTCGTGAGCCACGGTACGTATTACTGTACCAAGTCCAGGGGGGTCTGCAAATTTTTGAAAGCACCGATACTATCGACATGTCATCAGAGGCTGAGTTGCGGTCGTCCCGAGACGTCGGGCAGCTGATCACTTCGTTACGACTCCTCGATACGATGTCTTCGATAGACCACTTCAGGCTATATAATGATTGCTAAAATGTATGGACCCCCTGAAGTTGGGACCGTGATACAGACAGTGCATGCGCACCGTGGTTTTGCTGTGTGGGACAAGCTTGTGAGTGGTCATTATCCACGTGTATGTCCTGCAGTAGCTCTACAGCGTGTCACATCTGTCGAACCAAAGACATATAGCCACTCAGAAGCTCTCGCTTCTGTATGACGTAGAAAACATAGGCTAGTGTACCAAACTTAAGAGGGTCCATACATTTTGGCAAGCACCGATAAGGCGTACTGTCGATCGAGCAGCGCAATATGCTACATGAAAAGTTTGAAAACGGTCTGCGTTGTACAAAGGTTGAGTGTTTCTCAATCTCGGTCTCAATTTTTTTTAACCAGCTCGCAAGTCATCCTCTCAACACCGGTGAGCAGCAGGACTAGGACGGTTGTCAGGTCTTTCCGAATCATACCACTTTGAACCAACGCCACTGCCATGCCCAACACGAATCGGGACTTGCTCCGCCCTTCTAAGCCGAAGGCAGTACCATAAACCGTAGAAATGAAGGCGAGGAGCTGCATTGTCATGGTGCTGGTCTTTGGTTCTCGTTGCGTTCCATAGAAGTGGTCCAATGCGACGCTGTCATGTTCGAACCCTTGACTCAATACGTTCGTCCTGGGATGGCACGTTGTAGACACCTGCCGTTACCTGAATAGCATCCACTGCGCACAACATCTGTCGTCGGGTGTCGGTGGGCTGAGATTCCGATTGTGCAGCATCGCCGAGCTCCTTGAACTTGCACTTATCGTTTTTCGATATCATTGGGAGGTTATATGCGCAATGCACAAGACCTCGTGACTATTTTGAGCCTCTGCAGCGCGACTGCACTCCGGCCCCAAGGCAGCATCGCACAGGGGTCCCCACCAAAGCCGAACTGGGATATTAAAAAGTCGACGACCTTCATATATCGCCAGTCTGCCGCGTGTTCAATTGATCGTCAGTCATGTCCAGCTGAATCCGGCCGTAATGAGGACGCGCTATCGGCACTGTGCTGTACTTAGGACGTAGCTGTACATGCGTAGCTCGAAAGACTTTGGACACGGTGAAGATGCACAGATCTTGAGTCAGCGTCATATCGGGTATACCGGGCGGTATGTTGTTTGAAAACCTCCAAAGTATGGTTGAGATGATGTTCGCGAAGTCGTGATGTTCAATGTGCGCGATGTCGTGCATACGTCCTCGCGCCAAATTGATTTTGAAAGGAACAGAGTACCACAATCACAACAAGCCACTCTTACCGACGACGACCTATGGATCTGAAGCTAGCCTACGGTGTCGCCGAGCGCTCCTTTCTGAAACTCCTTTGCATCCGCTTCATCACTCTCCTCCTCTTCCAGGCTTCCACGCTACTGATGCATATCCACCAGATCACGAACAACAGTCCAAACGCGATGCTCCAACCTATACTCTCGGTAGCGAACCAAACAAATATGCCAAGAGTCTTCTTCAATCCTTCATTGTCCGTGTCCCACAGCTGCCTGGCACCAAGAATGACCTGCATCGCGCTCAGAGCCACGCTAAACAATGCGAAGATGAACAGCACCACCGGAAAGAACCGTTCAAAGTATGCAGTATAACGTGATTCGAAGCGATTGAGGTGCCAGCGTCGCAGATGTAATGCTGAGTGGAAGTTCAGCGCGTCGAGCTGGAGAAGCCCGAAGCGCCACCGAGAGCTAACAGCCTGGTCTGGCACTGTGTCGAACGCAGTTATGAAGGCGACAAATGCCTCAAATGTCGTGCTACCGAGTGGCAACAGGTCGCTACGGCGAGCCAAGTTGAAGTCGGATCGTCGTTGGATCAGGCGTGCGTAGGTTCTCAAGAAGCCCAGCGCTGTCGCTTTCAGACGCTTGCGCTCCTCTAAGCTAGTCTGGTCGATGGAGACATCGTACAGATACTCCCAAAAGGCATACGAGGTCAAGTATGATGGCAACGGCTTCAGATAGACCAACCCTTCGACCCACAGACAATGCACTGCCGGATCTTCGGTGACCTGGATCCTTCGATCGAGCACCAGCTGCTGGGTTAGAGATACAATCTCTGGACATGGACCTGCCCACCATAGCTTCTCGCCCAAGTGGTTGAGCTTGGGCGTGTCGAGGTCGTCCAAGCAGTACGACAAAATCTGCGATGGCGCGTGCAGATACACTCGTGGCGCATCCGGTAAGGTTCTTTTCCGGCTGAGACTTCGAAAGCAGCGGGGCTTCTCTGGCTGCTGGAGGTACTCAAGGTCATTGCAAAGCTCATCGCACTTCGCAAACGGCGGTCGATCACCCGTCCACACCTCTTCAGCGGCTGTACTCGAACGCGAAAACGAAGCTACACCATCTGACGAGGTTGCTGGAGTGATCTGGTCTACCTGCGCCATGGACTGCAGTGGTGGAAGATAGGCATTGGGCGCACAAACAGTTGCCGCAGCGATGGCTGGTAAGCAAAGTCGTTCAACTACGCCTGACCTGCAGGTATGGGCAGCATGCAGGGCATGCAGATGCTGTACAACTCAATTGGTCGTCAGTTGCCTCTCGAACATAAGGTCTGTGCGGCAGGGTCAGCGCGTGCGCGCCATCTCAACAATAAGAGAGAGTACTCGCAGATACATGCAATACCTATGGTAAGTTATTGCGAAGGAATCGAGATGAAAAAAAATTGCTTTGCAGGTGCAGCGAGATCATGAGTGGTGTCACAGCACGATATGCTGTGCAGCGGCCTGCGAGTTCCCTGTCGTGTTACCTTTGACGATCAAATTTTACCTTCTGTGCCTTTGTTACTCAGGCTCCCTTTGCAAAAGTATCTGCAGTGGCGCTGCTAGGTAATAGCCCCTCACTCCACCCTTTGCAAGGCCATCTGAAAGCTTGACCCTTGCGCCGACACATCTAACGACGTCTTCGATCAAGATCTTCTCTCCTCACCGGTACGCATGATGCAATGGAGATGTCCTACTATTAACAACAGACAGCGGCTTGGGGAGTGGAGTTCGGCCTTGATGCAACAGCCATGAGCCATTGGGCGTTCGTTTCCACCAAACATGCGACATTGCTGGTGTTTCAGGGGTGCAGGACGGAAACTGAACATCGGTAACCCAACGAGCGACCCTGCTGCCTCGTTTCTCAAGAACGCCTTAGTGTCTGCTCATCACGCCCGGTCCAGGCGATTCCCCAGATCGACTCTCGGTCTTGTCGCATGAAGCGGGCGCGGTGTCAGAAGTCCTTGAACGGACAGTTGCGAACACGCCCTCAGCGACGACAGCGAGAAAGGTCGCAGTCATGCACGGAATCTCTGCATCCGTGAAATGAAGACAAAGATAGGTATTGAAACCTCAGCAACGACGGACTACAGCGCAAGAGTTTCGTGGTCACGGATGTGCGCAGCCCCGCGTACCCTTGCACCTCTCGCCAGGCCTTCGGCCCTAGCGTGGGGTTGCCCCCTGAACATCATATACACCGGTCACCGCAGGTCGCACGATGGCATAAACAATCTTCCTCTCTACGCCCGGAGCAATCTTTAATTATACAAACATTGTTCCCTTGATACTAACGCCTTGCATTCAATCGAAGAGCTGCTGTTTGAAACAGTACTTCCACCTGAGAACATCTCGACTTGAGTACCTCCAAATCTGAATGAGCTCCAACTACATTAAGTACATACAAAATGTCGTCTTTCACACAATCGACGCCTGTCGGTTTACCACAGTCACCTCGAGCAAACCGCCAAATGCTTCTCCCGCTCGACACATCATTCTCGACACAAGAACCATCCACACCATCTTCATCATCAGAAACACTCTCGAGCCAGTCACAACAACCAACACCCAATATACGGCACCGCAACCGCGACTCCTTCATCTTCATAAACGCAACTATCCCTCTTAGCCCCGCATCTTCAACATCGAATGACTCTGCTAGCGACGCTTTCCTTCAAGGCCTTGCCCCACGGAAACGCGATGGCTTTGCTCGCCTCTTCTGCTGCTTTGGCCGCGAGGAACGTGCAAGGCGGCGAGAGCTGAGAGCGACTCAGTTTGAGAAAGTTGGCGAGAAGTCTCACTGGTCTGAGTACTGAGGTCTCTGGACCTCACAGGAATGACGGCCTATTACCTTCCAAGTATGGAGCGACGATCGGCGACGACATTCACTAGGGGGGCCTTCTACAAAAATTACATCAAATTCCGCACCGCCATCTTCTCATGATGGATGTTGATGGGCTGATATGTACCACATCTTCTTTATTCTTGTACCTATCTTCGAGGGGCATCTATTAAAGCCCTACTGTCGAGGCTATCGCCAGCATATTTCCTTTCTACAGCTATGCATAGCGCTGGTGTTGGATTTCGTTTTTTATCAATCTGTATGATGCCACATAGCTGCCGGCACACGTTGAGTGTACCAACGTGACAGCCCTTTTACATATCGACCGATGTCTTCTGCCACTTCTTCCTCTTCCGCTTCCTCTGCGCACTCCATTCCTCCAACCACTTCCGTCCAGACTCATCCAGCTCATCCTGCGTCACCAACCTCTCCTTCGCAAACAACCGGTGCGCCAAGTCCAACGCATCTTGCTGAAAGCGTACACATCTTGCAGACCCTTCAGGTCTCTCGTCTACCTCGGGCAATTCAATCTTCAACCAAGGCGGCGGGACCAGACCCTTCCCTTGCACCCAGCTCTTCATCCACTCCACCAGAACCTGCGCTCTCTCCTCCATCCAGACTTGTCTCGCAGCTCTATCACTCTCATCGACATGTTCCAGCCTCTGGAAAAACCTCTGTCCCAACGCCATCTCAAATTCCAAGTACCTCGCCCCAAACCTCCTCAATCTCGGAAAACACTCCCGAAGAATATATGCTTCAGACACCATGTATTCCCACATAGCAAACAGCTGATCGATCTCCTTGCCAGTCTCTCCAAGATATAGTGGTGTGTAGTAACCATACTGCATGCACACAACCGACACAAGGCCAGCCTGCGCGCTAGGAAACATCCGCATAATACCGTGCACAGTCGAACTGCCATGATGATATCTGTTCCTATGAGAATAGCGAGATACAATCTCAACAGTACAAGTACGCAAGAGCGTCGCCTGGGCCTCATCATGGATTTGATGCGACGTAAGCAGAAGAAGAAGGTAAGATGCGGGTTTGCGGCTTCGGTTGCTCCATCGCGTTGGTACGCGAGAGGTCTGGTAGCGGCAGCGAAGACCGGAGGGTGGGAAGGTGTAGGCGTAGATTTCGTCGCGCAGTTCTCGGGGGAGAGACAGGAAGGGAAATGGTGTGCCTGGGGCGTCTGTTCGGGGGGTGACGATCGGATCGGGATAGATGACAGACGGTGCTGGCCACTGGAAATCGGATGATATTGGGGTCCAGCGGTTGCACTTCACCATGATCAACAGTAGACAGGCGGGGCCTTGTGCGGAAAAGGGTGTTTTTGTGGTGTTTGCGACATATCGCACGGTACATGGGTACTTATGAATATCTGGCATACAATCTTTGAGTCAACCTCGAATACCTTTTGGGGCTTTGATAATGCTATAGCAAGCTAATACAGCGTTGCGAGTACGAGGGTAGCATGATCGAAGTTGAGTCACTAGGACTGTTTGTGATTGGTCGAAACAACGTGTTCAAGAGCTCTGCGCACTTTCCAACACTCACTAGCACCTGCTACCCTCACAAGCTGTGGCTGTGCTTCGGCGAAAGACCCAACGCCGCTTGTAGACTCCCAATGTACCTGAGTATATCTAAGCTCAGTCGTGGTCTTAGCTCATAAGAGCTGCGAGGTGCAACCGGCGAGACCTCCAAATGACTGCTGTGTGGTTAGTCTTATTGGGCTCCCTCTCTCTCTCTCTCTCTCTCTCTCTCTGAATGAGCCGAGCAGTTGGCCTAGTCGAGCTATCCTCCATGGCCTCGAGAGCCGTAGAGGACATAGACCTCAAGTGTGCCGGGCGAAGGGTGGATGCTCGTTGTTGACAGTGACGATGGAGTGGGGCTTGACAGCTGCCGCCGTGTCTCCGACAACAGGAAGGAGCACTGACGGCTTGGCACTGATGCTCTCATCGCAAATCTCGCAAGCCTCCACCATCAACCATCTGTATTGTCCAGCCCAGTCCATCTTCCCCATACCCCATCAGATTCATCATGTTCGCTGCCAGGAACGCTTTTGCTCAGGCCCAGCGCCGCGCTTTTTCTGCGTCGGCCCGCCAGGTACGCACAATCCGCAGCTCTGAGGCCGTTCAACAACTTTTTGCTGCTGAGCGGATACCTCAATGGATGCAATGAGGCATGGATGTGCTGATGTAGTGATCTATAGTCCTCCAAGGTCACCGTCCTCGGTGCCGCCGGTGGTATTGGCCAGCCGCTCTCCCTCCTCCTCAAGCTTAACCCTCGCGTTAGCAAGCTCTCCCTCTACGACATCCGCCTCGCCCCCGGTAAGCCAATTGCTGTCTATACACACATTGAGTGCATACTGACAGCTCTCCAGGTGTCGCTGCCGACATTGGCCACATCAACACCAAGAGCGAGGTACGCCGCCCAGCTGAGCTACCATGCACAGCAATTGACAAGCGCAGGTCCGCGGCCACGATGCCACTCCTTCCGGTCTTGCCGAGGCCCTCAAGGGCGCTGAGATCGTTGTCATCCCCGCTGGTGTCCCTCGCAAGCCCGGCATGACCCGTGACGACCTCTTCAACACCAACGCCTCTATTGTCCGCGACCTCGCCAAGGCCGCCGCTGAGCACGCCCCCGAGGCCAACATCCTCATCATCTCCAACCCGGTGCGCACCACGAATCCACGGCTGGAGAGTTCACGTACTGACTGACGCAGGTCAACTCCACCGTCCCCATCACCGCCGAGGTCTTCAAGTCCAAGGGCGTCTACAACCCCAAGCGCCTCTTCGGTGTCACCACCCTCGACGTCGTCCGTGCCTCCCGCTTCATCTCCCAGATCAAGAACACCGACCCCGCCAGCGAGAACATCACCGTTGTTGGTGGTCACTCCGGTGCTACCATCGTTCCCCTCCTCTCACAGTCCGGCTACAACCTGTCTGGTGAGCAGCTCGACAGCTACGTCAACCGCGTCCAGTTCGGTGGTGATGAGGTCGTCAAGGCCAAGGACGGTGCTGGTTCCGCCACCCTCTCCATGGCCATGGCCGGTGCCCGCTTCACCGAGTCGCTCCTCAAGGCTGCCCAGGGCCAGAAGAACGTCATTGAGCCCACCTTTGTCGACTCTCCTCTCTACAAGGACCAGGGTGTCGAGTACTTCGCCTCCAACGTCGAGCTCGGCCCCAACGGTGTTGAGAAGGTCCACCCAGTCGGCAAGATCACCGAGTACGAGCAGAAGCTCCTCGATGCCTGCTTGGCCGACCTCAAGGGCAACATCAACAAGGGTGTCAAGTTCGCTGCTGAGAACCCGTAAACGCCGTAACAAGTGTTAGAGCATGATGATGAGTTGTGGTGTACACTAGTAATGAACTTTATGGGTCACCGGAACTGGACGTGGTTGGGGTTTCATGTGTTTGCCATTTCAGCAATGCAACTGGAGCAGGCCTGTGTAGATTTTGATCTGTACCTTAGCACCAAATACTCCGTTTGATCTTCCTGAACATGTTCGAACTTATCATCGAGTACTCGAGGGTGGCCATCTGGCGTGCTGGGCAAACGACACCTTCATTGTCCTCTCGTACTTTTCTTTTTCAAGACTCTCAACTAACGACGTCTTATCATGGGATGGACGATGATCAGATACAGCGAAACTGCACGAGGAGTAATGGCTCGAATCCTGTAGGCATCCGCCTTGCAAGAGCCGAGACGGAATGTGAGCTCGAAAGGACTGCAATAATACAATTTTCAGAATATTCGGTCAAGCGTATTGCAGGTTCCATGGGAGTTTGACGCAGGTGTAAGATGTTTGTAAATCCGAGACGAATACTCTCCGTACACGTGAATGCCGGGGCGCACTGGATGTGAGGTAAAGCTCAGGCTGGGCGCGTACTTTCAGACCCCCCCCCCCTCCTCGCCGCCCACAAAATTCAATACACCACTGCACGGAAACAGGGGCCGCTCAGACTTTCAACCCCCAGAGAAGAGGAACATGGCTATCTTCCGAGACTGCTTCGATAATAGTCCCGACAATGCATGCGTTAACTGCGTCAGGCGCCCATTGTGACGAGCAGGAAGGACAGCGCTTGCAACTGAAGCTTAATGGGGGTTGAATTTTGGGGCTGGTATGGCTATTTGATAAGGATGGAGACCTCGTCTCATGCCCGGTGCTACATGCATAGAGGGTATATACGACGACCTCAACGTGATCATTACATATCTCAATATTTTAACAAAGCGAAAGACCCGCCGTGACCTAGCGAGTTGTCAGAAGCAAACATGAGTCGTGATGATGCAAGGGAGACATCGACGCCTCTATCGCTTTGCGACCTGTGCTGAGAGGTATTCGAGGATCTGCACATCGTTAGTCCATGTGCTTTCATTAACAAGTGTAGAATGACTGACCTGCGGCGGAATTGTCCCGTGGTTGACCAGGTTCTTGCTCAAGATCTTGACAACCTCAAACTGCTCCTCGTGCGTAAGTCCGGTGACGGCGGCCTCAATAACACCACCGACAGTGGTCTGGTGCGTCGCAATGAAGCTAGAGTAGTAGAAGAATGAGATTGAACCCATGATGAACTGGCAATCGAAGCGATCCGTCATGCCACCGTGTCCGGGGATCGAATCACCGAAATCCTTGATCTTGAATGTACGCTTGAGGCCAGAAGCGAAGAAACCGCCGAAGGGCGCAATGAGCGAGGCAAAGGTCGCGAGAATGATCATGTGGAACTGGACGGGCATGATTTCGAATGTGTGAGGAATGGGAAGATATGCGGGGATGCCCTCGGGGATGAACGGGACTGTGTAGTTCTTCGAGATGAAGACGGGGTTGGGCTTGCACTCGAGCCCGGTAAGGACGTTCGCGCCGAGGTCGTTGACAGGGCAGATGAAGAACTTGTACTGCGCAAGGAAGTGAGTTGCGAGGATGCCCCAGATGATGGTGAAGAACCAGGCGCCGAGGAAGCCTTCCCAGGTCTTCTTGGGGGAGATCTGAATCAGTTGGTGACGGCCGAAAGTAATGCCGCAGAGGTAGGCGAAGATGTCGTTGGTGATGACCATGGATATGGGCAGGATGAACCAGATGAAGCCTTCGAAGATGTTGTTGATGACGAAATGTGCTTGGCCGACGATAAGAAAGAGGGCCATGTGGGTCCAGGCAAACTGGGTGAACTGGAATTTGTAGTGGCCCTTCTGCAGCGAGAAGACGAAGAAGACGAAGCCTAGCGAGATTAGTAGTTGCAGAGCCCACTCGCAGGGGAGGACATACCAATGATGTAGAGCATAAAGGAAATGAACCGGTGGTGCGTGGCCAGGGGAAGCAGGATCCTGTCGACGAGCAGAATGTGTTTGAAGTAGTAGATGACGCTCTCGCCGTACAGGAAGTACATGGCAGTCCCCAGGAAGTACCAGTTCAGCGATTTGGTGAAGCGCAGGCTGCGGGCCTTGCTTGGAACGTTGGCTATCGCGATAACCTCCTTGAAGCAGATGACCTGGACAGCGGTGATGATGACAATGATGTAGAGGTGGCCGGCGCCGAGGGCGAAGAAGAAGCCTCCGATCATGACCAGGGTCCAAGTTGTGCGCACGATGAAGTTTGCCTTCTTCTTCTCATACTCGCTCTGCTCGGGGGCCTGTGGCGTCTGAAGTCGTCAGTAAGGAACGTCTCCGCAAAGCGAACGTACGAACAGGAGGCTCAACGGCGCGGTTGCGTGTAGGACTGCCAGGCTGCGAGCCCGTCTCGCTGATCTCAGACATGCTCATCGAGGCACGGCGCGCGCGCCCGTTGCTTGCACCCTTATGTGCGAACTTGACGTCTTTGCGAGGACGCGCCATCATCTATGCTGCTCTTGTGCTATGCGAAGCCGCCGGTCGGGTCCGGAAGAACTGGAGTAGGCGTGCAGGCGCGCAGAGGGGTGTGAGATTGGCGACGCAGAACAAGGTCGTCTGTAGTCGACGGCGGGGCAGAGGGCGAGGCTTTGGTGTTGTTCTTGCGTGTGTGTCCAGGTTGAAAAGATGCGGACTAAAGATGCGGACCAACGTCATAGCGTCTTCAAACAGCATGTCAACGTTAGTGGCATGTGAAGTTGCCGCATCCGCCGCGCCCAGCGGCAAAACACGCGACGCGTCTCACTCGGCACTGCACTGTCTGCACTTTGGGATATGCATGTTGGAGGAGTGATTGGCAGATGGAGATGCAGCAATGTCCGACGACGAATTCGACTTCTCCGACCATGACCTCGACAACTTGCCAGCGAATACCATTGAGCAGTTCGAGGCTGCTGCCATTCAAGCCACACAGCAGCAGCAGCAGCAGCAGACGAGGCATGCAGCGCTAGAGTCTGACTATGGCCTGGACGACGGCGACGAGGTGATAAACCTTGACGACGAAGATGGCTTTGCCCCGGGCCAGCAAGGCCGAGGACATGCGCCTTATGATACTTATGACACTTACGATGCCTACGAGGAGGGCACCACGATAGACGAGGGCAGCCGCTATGAGAATGTGCACGTGGTCCAGCAGCCGCGACAGTCGCAAGCCGATCCAGACCAGCTGCTCTCACGCATCAAGAAGGTGGGGCAGTTCCCTGCATTGTTACCATGGAGCCCTGCTGACTGGTACAGCTAGAGCAGGAGAAGGCTCGCGAGAAGAGAGACGCTGAAAACCTGAAGAGCAAGCTGCAGACCAAGTCTGGCGAAGCAGACACCCTCCGCCGGCGCCACGATGCCGAACTGCGCCGGCACGAGCGCCAGCTGGCCGACCAGCAGCAGTTCCACGGCGGTGAGGTTGCGAAGCTCAGGGCCGAGATCGAGAAGCTGCGGCGCGAGAAAGAGCAGGCCAGCACGGACAGCATGTTCCACCAGCACGATGTGCGCGAGGCTGGCATGGCACCGAGGACAAGGAAGCCCATGGCTACCAGACCGAAGGCCAATACCGCAGTGAGCCCAGCGGGTACGCCGAGGAAAGAGCCGCGGCGTCCCTTGGGCGATGGCTTCGATGATGACGATGTGGTCATGGCATCTCCTTCGAGGACTCGCGAGAGGCAGAAGGCTGCAACACCGAGCCTGGCCGGGAAGCGAAAGAGGACTGTTGTTGATGCAACTCCAATTCCTCTGCAGCTGAGTGAGCCACGCACCCAGCCACGGGAGAAGGAAGCGGAGCGCGTTGAGGGAGAAGTGCAGATTGACGCGGCACTTTTGGAGTACTTTCGAGAAGACGATGGCCGCTTTGATCTGTTACATCGCCTATTGGCTCATACATCATCGAATGGGACAGACCGGATACTGGAGGCGCTTGCACAGCACTCGTTCCCATCAGACACATCAAAAAGGCTATCGTCTATCTTCTACGACGCCTTGGCCGCCAAAGCCTTTTCAGACGTGCACGCTCTGGCACTGGATATCTGCTTTGCCATTTGCGATCTCTGGGCCCAGTGTCTGGCCGAGAGGTACTACGCCCCGGTGAACTTGCTGCTCGATGCACTTCATTTTGTGTTAGCTTGCGGGCGGTGCGAGACGGCCTGCGAGATTAAGGGCCGCTTCGTCCCACTCATGATTGACTCGATCGACCTGGTGGCGAATCCCTTGTCCAAGGCTGCTAAGGTAGGCCATGAAGCCGTCGTTGCCTTGTACGCCTCAGGTCATCGCGAGATCACAGCTCAAATTGATGTCTTAGACTGCCTGGAACTGCTGCACCTCATTGCAACAAGCTGCGTCAGCCTGGATGGAACTGAATCTGCTGAGTTATGGGAATCCATACCATCTGACTTCGCCATCATGCTGCTCAATAAGGAACAACCAGTCGCACAGATTTCTCTCATGCTCCGCATCATCAGCACCTCTGCACTTTCCACTTCGATTGGACCCATCACAGACTCTGACTCCCAGACCGACAGTCAAGCGAGCAGAGAAGAGGCCCTCATCGGCCGTCTTACCAACATCTTCACCGAGACACCCACCATTACCGCCGATCCCTTTCCGTTGTCATCTCTGTCCCCTCCCTCAGATCCACCGGAGACCATCACGGAGACCGACATCTTAGATCTCCGCCTCCAGGTCGTCGATCTCCTGACTTCACTCTCGATACCTCAACATGGCGCGACCCGCCTAGCTCAAAATCGGATATGCATCGGTCGTCTCATCAAATACCTCGATCGCCTCCTGAATATGTTATACAAGTCGCCTCTCGCTCCTACTCAAGACGTCACAATTGACTCCATCAACGCAACGATGAAGCTCATCTACCACATTGTGACCAGCAATCCTGGATTCGATATCAAGAGCAAGTTGGTCAATACACTCGGAGGACAGCACGCATATTTAGTGTCATTGACAAGGCTGGCGTTCAGTGAGGGACTGGTGTTGGAAGCTGGCATTGAAGAGGCAGTCATTGACATGGCGCATCACATTTTGGATGAGGGCCTTAGTCTAGAAGAGGGCGAGGCTTTTGGATTAGTCTTCAGCACTGGAACTAGCATACTGTAGCTCGTAGAGGGTATATACCCTACAAGAGGTGCACGCCAAGGCACTAAGCTTGCAGCATCCTGATCTCTTCTTCCTTCTACATGCCCTTCCGCGTCACCACATTGCTGTCAACCCTCGATACGATACCACAGACTCGCAATAGCCGCTCGTCGCTTATTTGAATGCCGACGTTAGATCTTTTGGAGATAAGCCACCCGACCGGACAAAATACCAAGAGGATTTTCATGCAGCCAAGACCTCAAAGATGGGGCTCCGTCACCAGGCTTTGGGACCATTTAGGAAGGTTGCTAAATGAAGATGGAGGGATCATGACACGTTTGGGCATTTTTTTTCGTCTTGGAGACGCGGATAACGATTTCCAACATCGCTTCCTGCAGCATGGTCACCCGGCAGTCAACGGTCATCCCCAGTCAATCGGCCGGTCTTCATCCGAGGTCGCATACACAAGATATATAAAGGGTACCATGCAACGAAGTTGCTGCAACCACAACGATGGATCGCTACCTTATCGCAAGGATCCCTACAGTGGCGCCCTCAGTACTAACTTTGGGCCTTCTCGCCTTGATCCTCAGCTATGGGCCGCACACAGTAGCTGCTACTGGGAGTACCTACCTTGTCAGTCGCCAGAGCAATGGCACAGCGCTCAGTCCGCACTTCACAGCCATATCGGACTATGTTGACTCCATCACTGACGACCTTTCATCCATCAACACCGAGATTCATTCGAACCCAGAGCTAGGCTATGAGGAAGTCAAGGCCCATGAACTACTAACCTCATTCATGGAAGAGCAAGAAGGATGGAACGTCACTCGGTCCGTCGGGAACATCTCGACTGCTTTCATGGCCGTGTTTGAGGGCAGCGGCGAGGGTCCGATTGTTGGCTTCAACGCTGAGTACGATGCGCTGCCAGAGCTGGGCCACGCTTGCGGCCACAACCTCATCGCTACTGCATCTCTAGGAGGTGCTCTCGCAGCTGCCGACGTCATGCGTAAGGAGAACCTCGCAGGCAAGATCATCCTCTTCGGAACTCCCGCCGAAGAATCTCTGGGCGGCAAAGTCAAGATGCTAGAAGCCGGCATCTTCAACGACGCCAAAATCGATATCTCCTTGATCTCCCACCCAACATCCAGCGGCGACAGTCCTTACATGATCACCACCTCGACCGACCGCGTCGACGTTGAATACTACGGCCGCGAAGCCCACGCCGCCGCCGGACCCTGGGAAGGCATTAACGCGCAAGACGGCCTGCTCCTCGCCAACAGCGCGATCTCCTACATGCGTCAGCAACTGCGACCTTCCGACCGCGTCCACGGCTTCATTTCCAGCGCAGGGTCCCGCATCAACGTCATCTCGGCCAAAGCCTCTGGATCCTACCAGATCCGCGCAAACGACGAGACACAGCTCTCGAACCTAACTCAGCGCGTCGAGAACTGCTTCAAAGCCGGTGCCCTGGCTACAGGCGCCGAACTCAATTTCACAATCCGTCCCTACGGGTACGCAAACCACGTCACCAACGACCTCCTCGCCGCCTCGTACGCGACGTTCTTTGAAGAGCTGGGCGGCGAGCTTGAGCCCAGTGAGATCGACAAGATGAAAGACCCCTCCGGCTCAACCGACCAAGGCAACCTCTCCCACGAATGGCCGAGTATATCCCCCTACTTCCAGATCTTCAACGAGGATGGGAGTGTGCCGTCCAGCGGCCCACACACAGCGGCTTTCGAGGTCGCAGCTGGCTCAAAGCCAGCGTTTGAGAAGAGTTTGGTGGTCGCGAAGAGTCTTGCGGGGGTCGCTGTTGATGTGTTGACTGTGGATGGACTTTTGGAACAGATCAAGGAGGAGTTTGAGAAGACGAAGACGCCTAGTTTGAGGAGGCGCTCATTGTCGAGGAATGCGTAGGAAGCACGGAGATCAAGAAGTAACGACGTCTGACGAACCTCCTCATGTAGCAAATCATAAGTCAACAATACACATGAAGTCTCAACCATGCCATCACGCTACCCTGATATGCCGTACTTCCAGCAGCTCGTACGAGCCCCTTTGCTATGGTGGTTCAAGGCCCGGCCATCGCTGTTGACTCAAGAGTAACCGATGGAGAGCTGCCTCGGCTGTTGAGGAGCCCCATGCGTCCGTGCACGCGTTTTGTGGGGAGCGGGGAGCACATGGAGATAGCTGCAAAACACCTGTGAACAGCAAAGCTGGCCTTGACCTCACTATTTGTAGAACGGTTTCGAATCCATTGGCTCCGCAGAGCCTCATGGCCTTCCATGCATGCCTCTCCATGTGAAAGCTGACATCCGGGCTAGCGGGACAAGTCCCAAGCAGCCAGAGAGCTGCGACGCCGATGAAGTCACGCGGTGAGGTCTGGGCAGCTGTCCCTTAGAACCTCGGCTCGGTGAGCTCACGACGAACCGGGGCTGCAGTCACTACTGGTCAATCTGACACGCGTGCGCTTTCGCCGAGGATCATCGTAGCCTACTAGAAATTCTGTCGTCGCACTTCTTGCTGTCTCATTATTGCTCTCTTCGCTGCTTCAACCCCTCTCTTGGTGATGTTCAGTAGAGTTGCGGGAGCGCGAGTACCAGCCTCGATACTTCGCAGACCTATCACTCAGAGTCAGACGTCGAGGGTACGTACCATTGTAAAACAGAGATTTGTCAGGGAAGAAGCTGATGATTGTGCAGATTGTCGCAATGGCACCCGCTAGGAAGCAGTCTTCGCTGCCAGAGGGTAAGATACCGCCAACATGTGCCGTTGATGTACAAGGAGTAACGGCACGCAGGCTACAAGGAGGACCACAGCAAAGGCGCAATGCTGCGATTCGAGGACTCCCTCCCCCGGCTGCCTGTGCCCTCCCTCGAGGAGACAGCCAAGCGGTACCTGAAGTCGGTCCACCCGCTGCTCTCTAAGAACGAGTTCGAGGCGACGACCAAAGCTGTCAACGAGTTCGTTGCTCCCGGCGGCCCGGGCGAGACACTGCAGAAGCGCTTGGAGGAGCGAAGAGCGCGGCCAGAGATCAAGAACTGGCTCGCCGAGTGGTGGAACGATGCCGCCTACATGGGCTACCGCGACCCTGTCGTGCCCTACGTCAGCTACTTCTACTCGCACCGCGACGACAGGAAGCGGAGAAACCCCGCCAAGCGCGCCGCTGCTATCTCAACCGCAGTGCTGGAGTTCAAGAAGCTGGTCGACAATGGCGAGCTGGAGCCCGAGTACATGAAGAAGCTGCCCATGGCTATGAGCTCCTACGAGTGGATGTTCAACTGCAGCCGTGTGCCCAAGAAGCCCGCCGACACCAGCGTCAAGTTCCCCTTCAAGGAGAACCAGCACATCATCGCCATCCGCAAGAACCAATTTTGGAAGATCCCCCACGAGGTCAATGGCAAGCAGCTCAATACCAGCGAGCTCGAGCTGCAGTTCAAGCGCATCTACGAGAATGCCGTGAAGACAGACGCAGTCGGCACACTCACCTCGCAGAACCGCAATGTCTGGGCAGAGGTATACCCCAAGCTTAAGGCCGCATCTGCTGTCAACGCCGCGACCATGGAGGCTATCGAGTCTTCCTCCTTCGTCGTGTGTCTCGACGATGCCACTCCCGTCACCCTCGAAGAGCGCGCACACCAATACTGGCACGGCGATGGCGCGAACAGGTGGTTCGACAAGCCTCTCCAGTTCATCGTCAACGATAACGGCACATCCGGCTTCATGGGCGAGCACTCCATCATGGACGGCACACCCACACACCGCCTGAACGACCACGCTAACAAGCTCATCTTCACCAACGCCCTCCCCTTCGACAACCCCACCATCCGCTCCGACCTCCCCAACCCCAAGCCTCTCCGCTTTGAACTCAACGCCGAGCTCAAGAGTGACATCGCCGCCGCCACCGCCCACTTCGCCCAGCAAATTGGCGCACACGAGCTGCGCGTCCAAGCCTACCAGGGCTATGGCAAGGGCCTGATCAAGAAATTCAAGTGCTCGCCGGACGCCTACGTGCAGATGATCATCCAACTCGCATACCACAAGTTCTACGGCAAGAACCGGCCCACATACGAGTCCGCGGCGACTCGTCGCTTCCAGGAAGGCCGCACAGAGACGTGCAGGACGGTGTCTGACGAGAGCGTTGCGTTCTGTGAGGCCATGGCCGATGCTAACGCCAGTCCTGAGGAGTGCCAGAAGAAGTTTCGCGCTGCGCTGGATGCGCATGTGAAGTACATCAGCGACGCGTCGGATGGGCGTGGCGTTGACAGGCATTTGTTTGGTTTGAAGAAGTGCCTCAAGGAGGGCGAGGAGGTACCGGCGCTGTACCAGGACCCGGCGTACAGCTACTCCAGCACATGGTTCATCTCCTCCTCCCAACTCTCCTCAGAATACTTCAACGGCTACGGGTGGAGCCAGGTTGTCGATGATGGATGGGGTCTCGCGTACATGATCAACGAGAACAGCATCCAGTTCAATGTCTGCTCCAAGGGGTTGGGCTCCGTAAGTCTAATCTATTCCGCGAAGTCTCAAGGAGCAAAAACTAACGGAGATCCGCAGGACAAGATGAGTTTCTACCTCAACGAAGCCGCGGGCGACATCAGAGACATCATGCTGCCCACGCTCGAGGCGCCGAAGGCGAAATTGTAGATGTTACCATCAGGATGTCACAGGATCTTTGAAACAAATACATAGAGAGGTTTGGGCACGATAGTCCATACATTTAGGATTGGATAGAAGACACGATGAAGCTCCCTTACACTACCTTTCCCGATGTGCCTCGCGAGCAATAAAGTAGCCATACCATATATGTAACGGTTTCGATACTCTACAAGTCAGGCCAACAGCATCAACTCACCGTTCTATGCTCACTGTAGTTAGATGCTCGCCTATCACTCGCTTATATAGCCATCTTGGAGGTCTTCTGCCTTCTTCAATCAACACAGGACATTCCTCCAATTCAAGCTTCAAAGAATACACCTGCTTTCCGCTACCTGCTACTAGATCCAATCCGCCCAAGCCCCCACAAATTCAACCCCTCACACATGTACCGGCCATGTCAGACACTTGCATCCCCTTCCTACCATCCATCCACATTCTGCGCCCTTGAAACCCGTCCTTGTACATTCGCTATTCCCGTTCACTGCCTCGCCAACACCCTATGTCGCGGCCCCGCAGCGATACGGAAAGGCCGAGCTTTCCGACCCTCGGGTCCTAAAGGTTGTATACACCGCAACGCCCTAGAACCCGTTCCGAGCTGCGCAAATGCTGTCTAGAGAAGGAACGGCATCTGGAATTTAGACCTTGGTGGATTGAACCTGTAGAACGGCGAAGGATAGAGTGATAGATGAGTGATAAATGCCTAGCTGATTTCGACACATGTGGTCGACGGCGGACATGTTGAGTTGAGACTTAATCGCTGTGCGGAGGTAGTGGCGGTTGGGCTTGTTGAGGCTTTGGATAGAGGCATCCGTACGCAAGGCAACGAACTACGCGGCTGTTTATCTTTAAGATGGGGACGGTGAAGCACTGTAGCGTACATCGCGGGACAGGGGGGGGGGTGTGGTTGGCGTTAAGGCGAGAATAATCACACATGAAAGTTGAGACAAAGTGCGTAGCAACTCTCAACGCCCAACGACTTATCGTATTCACCAAGTCTCACTCCCATTGCCTCCCCTTATATTCCCTTGCCTCTCACCGCTCACCCACCAACAACGATGCCCTTATCCCAATTCTCATCCTGGACTTCAAACCTCTCCCTAACACGCCTTTCAGCACCCTGACTCACCAACTCCCCACTCTCCCTATAATCCCTTAACACACCAACACACCTCTCATCTCCCTTCTCTACCAGCCTATCAATCAATCGCTCATACGTCCCGCGTCTCGGCCTCATCCCCGCTGCCCGCATCTCCTCGAAGTAGTTCACCGCATCATCGATATCGTCGCTTCTCTCACAAACCAAGATGAGGCGGTCGTACGTGATCCGATCAGGCTGTAGATTTAGAGAGATCATCTCGTTGGCCAAAAACATAGCGAGGTCTTTGCGCCCCGCCTGCGCGCAGCCGCGAAACAGGAGGTTGAATGTCTCCGTGTTCGGGCCGGAAGGGGAGACGGTGTGCAGCGCTTTGTAGATGTCCAGTGCCGAGGGGAGGGAGTTGATAGCGATGCAGGCTTGGATGCAGCAGTTTATTGCTGCGGTGGGGACTTTGCGGCCTTGTGCCTCGAAGTCTTGGAGTAGTGTGAAGGCGTGCAGCGGCATGCTTATCTGCTCTTCCTCCCCGTCTGGGGAAGTCGATGGTGGAGGAGGAGGTGCGTTGCGCAGGTACCAGAACAGCGGATGGCATGTTCCGGCATCGACTTTGAGGTTTGCGTCGGCCATGATTAGGATTACGGAGAGGGCATCGGAGAGAGCGTTGGCTTTTAGGTAGGCCGCAACGAGGAGTTCGTAGTGGTGCGTGTTGAAGATTGTTTCGCGCTCGGTAAGGAGGCGGAAGACGTCGGTTGCGAGTTGCACGTCGCCGTGGCGCGAGGCCAGGGAGAGGACGGAGAGACAGGTGCCGGTTGGGGGTTTGAGGTAGCCTGGTTGGACTTGGGTGGTCCATACTATGCGTGCGGCGTCGTGCTGTTGATCATTAGTAATCTGACTAGAATGTTGCGCAGATAGAGGACGTACCAGTTGTTGCTTCGCAGCAGCATCCAGCAAAGCGCCCCACAGCGCATTGCTCAGCTTCACACCATACGCCGCTCCGGCAGTATCCATGCCCATGGCGCTCTCTTTCAGTCCCAAGACGTAGAAAGCCTCTTCGACCTCTCCAAACTCCAACAACAACCACATAGCCTCGCTGAACACCCAGTCCTCAACCCGAACCTTCTTCCTACTCAAATCCTCCAGCATCTCTAGCGCCTGCTCAAACAGCCTCTCCCTCAGCAGCCCCGCCACCACAAAATTATGCCCACGATCAGACAGCGTGAACCACCTCTCCTTCATATACTCCAGAATCTCCGCCCTCAGCAAATAATCCGGATGAACGGCCAGCGCCTCAAGCACATTCTCGCAGCCCCTCACATCCAAATCTACTCTTCCGCTTACACTCGGATCCGCGCCATCGGTCCAAAACCCCATCTCCTCAAGCACCTTGCGCACCTTCCCCGCCGTGCCGTCTGTGCTGCTCGTGAAGCTGTGCAAGATGGCGGCATACATTTCCTTGTCGGGGCGCTGGCCGCGGTCTTTGACGAGCACGTTGCAAATCTTCATTACTTCTTCGAAGTGGCCCTTGGAGCCTTCCAAGCGCAGGTCTTCGTAGAGGATGTGTGTGGGGAGGTGCACGAGGGGGGGCTTTTCTCTGCCATGGCGCAATGGGCGGTTGGTGAACTGAGGGCGAGAGGTAGGCGTTGGTATGTGAGGCTGTACGAAGGAGTTTGGGGAGGTTGTGCTTGCTGTGGCGCTGTATGCGCGAGACTGGCATTGCGGTCGAGGATTGTTACGCTTTGGTTGGTGATTGCGGAGGGTGGAGGCGCCTGCGCGCGTTGCCTGCAGGGCTGTGGCATGGGGAGGAAACCCGGGGCAGAGACATCGCCACAGCGCGTCGTTGACGAAGGGCCGCGGTGGCATTAGCGGTGTTGTTGGTGACGCTCAGAAGTTTGGGAAGCTCGATCGAGGGTTCAACGTTCGATATGGGCCCATGCGCGCCTCGGTTCCTTCCTCGCAAGGCTGAGCGACGTCAACTGCCAACCAGCAACAACACATTACATCGCGGCAACATTATTCGAAACTTTGAATCTGTCAGCACTGGCTGGAAATGCTATATTCAATTCATTCACTTGGAGCTGGCTTCTGTATAAGTGCCACAAAGAACATCGTAGCAGAGAAGAAATCATCGTAGGTTTGCAGAAGCATCGAAAAACAAAAGAAATATGACAACAGAGCATTGCCAGACTAAACAATGTTAAAGCCATGGAAGCCCTTGCAAAGTTGTACTGCATCGTTCCTACCGAAAATGGTTACCCAAGGCTGAGGAAGAACGAGTTACTGCTTCGAGCTTACACTGCGCTGAAAGAAATACCCTATCAACTGTCATGATCAAGCTCACTCTATCGCGTGCTTACCCACGTGAGGACTAATCCGTCCATTTGTTCTCACTTTCTGCACATCCTGCTGGCTGTCGAACGTCCCTATGTTTCCTCGCACGTCGGCCAGGTCAACGTACTGCGTAAGAGCGATATGAGAGCAAGATTCACCCAACCCATTGGTGAAATCCATCTCTTGGCCTGTACCATGATTGACTCTCACATCAAGCAATCCATCTCCCTACATAGATGCCCCCAAATTGTGCAATCTCTCATCAATCACAAACAAGACCTCAAGGTGCAATGGTAGCGCACCACGTGGATGTTGAAGCTCCGGAGTCAGCGGCGCTGGCTCTAGGATGATCAAGTTGTAGAGGTTCTGGGTTCAAGGTTCAGGGAGGTCATTCTTCTTGCTTGTTTGTTCCAGAGGAAGCGGTGTATAGTCGGGATGGTCATTGTTTCTGTTGGGGGCGTCTCCATTTCTGGTTGCAACCTGAGATCGGAGTTGTAGAAAGGCGGAGAATGAGGCCAAGTGGCACTGACTGTGGGTGATGTGGAACAAAGCGATGTTGAAGAACGCAGAGTTTGGGGGAATGATTGAGTGAACAGTTGTAGAAGCCTGTCTACCGCCAAGGGTGGCAGGAAAAGAGGCAGCTCGATGCTTAGCAGCAGTTGGAATTTCATTTTTATGGAAGGGGATCAATAATCGTGGAAGTCTGGAATGGCGTAAAACCTAAGGAAGCAATAGCACGGTCCGGACAGAAAAGATGAAAGTTCCGCCTGGGTAGTGCAGGTACAATTGGACGCTACGTATTGGTCATCAACAGAAAGCATTGCTAAGGGTACTGTCTCACCTTTGGTAGCATAAGGACCTCCCAGCCCTTTTGCTAGAACTTGAGGCATCACATCATCACCTTGCAGCGTTGAAGTGGGAACAATAATGTTCCCCGTTGATGTCACTGATTTATGAGATCACAAGTTTCTATCACGGTCGTGTAGGACTGTAGGACTCATGATGGCAGCGTATCATCGCAACAGCGCTATCCATGGTACTCGATGTACCTCCGATGCGGCTCAAAGCGGGTCCATCGGTGTCCGATGGGCGGAAGAGGTCGGAGAAAGGAGTCTCAGCCCTGCAAAATGGGCAGCATCTTGGGCGCGCATGTGAAGAAATTCGGAACAGACCGGGCATTCTGGCCCCTTTGCAGGCCTTTTCAGCTTCAAAGAGCCTCAAATGTGGATCTCATGTAGCAAAAGGAAAACTCGTCACCGCTTGCACCCGCTCTTGCACTTGATAAAGGATTCATTCAATCATAACGCTCTAGGTACCTCGTCTACTATTCCACTCAGATTCACTCGCGGATCGACTCAACCTCATTGACGTTCTTCTGGTGGCCTTTCTCGATCGAGTTCACATCGCTCATGAATCCGCCGGTCAAAGGCCTCCTCGACTCGCGCACGATACCAGTGATGCTCTTTCCGCTGCTGAACATCATCTCGAGCTCCTCGAGCGAGCGACCCATTGTCTCGGGGTAGAAGAGGAACACAATCGGCACAATGACGGCAGAGATAATGAGGAAAACGAGGTAGTACTTCCAGCCGATGGTCTCAATGGCAACAGGGGTGGCCATGTTGACGACGAAGTTCCACAGCCAGTGGTTCGCAGTCGAGATACCGGCCATGGGGACACGGAGACGGGTAGGCGCGACTTCAGTGCAGTACAGAAAGTTGGCGCCGAGGAAACCAATGGGGATGAAGAAATTGAAGAGGAAGACGAACAGCGCGGAAACAATCTGCGCGGCCTTGTCGGACTTGGGGAACGAGGAGGCGACAGCGAGGGCCAACATGCAGGAAGCCATACCGGCACCAGAGAACATGAAGAGCTTGCGGCGACCGAAGCGGTCGATGGTGAAGAAGGCGACGAAGCAGGAAAGGAACTTCCAGGTAAGTGCACCACCGGACAGGATGCGGGAAGTCTCGGAGTCGAGGCCAAGACCCTGCTGGAAGATAATGGTCGAGTAGGTAGAGATCAGGTTGGAACCGCACATCTGCTGGAGGAACTGCAGGAAGATGCAGAGAGAGAAGCGGTAGAACAGCTTGTCCTTGCCGTTGGTGAAGATGTCGCTGACCTTGACAGCGCTGCCCTTGGTTTCCTCGAGAGCGAGTTCAATGCCGCTGATCTCGGACGAAATCTCAGGGTCGTGGAGGTCGAGACCCCTGAACTCAGATAAGCTCTTGCGGGCCTCTTCAACACGGCCCTTGTTCACCAACCAACGAGGCGACTCTGGGATGGTGAAAACAGCGGCCATGGGGACGAGCGAGATGACCGTGGGGATCGCAAGGGGAATACGCCATTGAAGAGGAAGGTTGTCCTGCTCAAAGAAACCAAGGTTGATCCAGGCTTCGAGGAGGTAACCAACAGAGATAAAGCAACCGTCAAGCACGACGTGCTTACCTCGGTTGGCGGAAGACGAGCATTCAGATTGCCAAACAGGGACAGTAGCACTGAGCTGACCGACACCCCAACCGAGGATGAATCGACCAATAACGAACTGCACAAGCTGGAAGGAGGTGCACTGAAGGATCTCGCCGACAAGAGTGCAGACAGCGCCAATGAAAATGACCTTGCGGCGACCGAGCCAATCCCCGATCCAAGTACAGGTAAGAGCACCAAAGAGGGCACCAATGGTGAAGGAAGCGACGACAGCACCTTGCTTAGTCGAGTGCTCGCTCTTCAAGGCGCCCTTGGTGTGGACAGTGTCGATCTCAGGGAAATGCTTGTTCCAGTCGCTGAGGGATAAAAGACCGCCGACACCAGACTGGTTGTATCCAAAGAGGACAAAGGCGGGTAAGACGATCAGCAAAAGCTGGCTCATCTGGAGGGACTTTCCGGTAAGACCCATTGTGACGGTGGGTGTATGTGTGATGAAGAGTGGTGGAAGGTCGAGAGACTTCGTCAATCGGCAGACACTAGAGATGCCTGGGTGAACGAGACGGAGAAACTGAAGAACAGAAATTGAGGTGAGCGAGAGCTACTTGTACTCCTTCCCCCGTCCCCACATTATTGAAGTGTGTGGGCATTAGCTATCACAGAGGGTCCACCTTGGGGATGCCGAAGATACGTCTCAAAGCGCGGTCCGATGTCTCCTTCGAGCTGGGAACAGAGCTCGTCCGAGGCGAAAACGAGACCACCCCCATGTAGACTCCACACCAGAGCCTCACCGGTGTGTGGAGAAAACAAGAACAATTCTCACGCAGGAGCCTTGCGCCGGGGAGCGGCAAGGCGAAACTCCGGGTGTGCGTGAATTTGTTGAGCGTGTAGGTGATGTCAAATGCCGGCCAACTTGCAGCGCTATTGAGACTGGCCTGAAGAGTCTGAGTGGGTCCTCTAGATGCTTTGTGGTTCTGCGGCCTCGGCAGATTTCAAGCCCTTGCTTGTTTCCCTCCGATGTGAGGTGCCTTACCAGGACGCGTTACGTCTTTAAGAGTCGGAGGTGTGCCTCCAATAGCATCACAAGGACAGAATCCTTCTGACAGGCACTTCCGACAGTTGATACGAGAGCCGACGCCGGTTTTTCGCAATTTGAGTCGTGGTGTGGTGAGGCCTAAGCCTGACAAGCTTTAGCTTGGCGCCGCCACCGCGTAACGGCCTGGTCGTTGGTCCTTTCTGCTGTTTTCTGGCACTGATGATCTCTGTACCAAATTTTGGGGTAGTTGCATCCTTGCGTTCTCCGCGCTCCAGAGTGCCTGCCCTGTGCATTTTCGCCTTCCAATGACATCAGGTCATTAAAAATGCAGGTGCTCCGACCCTGGGGGAGCCGCGAGACGAGGCGATTCATCGTCTACAATACTCACGACTCGTTCAATCCATCTCTGTGGATACACAAAGTCCTTCCACGCTCACACTGCGACACTTCTCAGGCTCCAAGAACCTTGGCAGACACCCCACGAAACATTTCTTATCCCACCAGGACGCCTACGCCTGCTTCGACCGAATGTCGGTGTTCGGTGAACCAAACGTCTCCACTACGACTACCAACGAGCCAGCACGAGGCTTAACTAAGTCTAGCATTTTATAGGTTGCTTGTTCAGCATCGTCTGAGATATTTGTGGATACGGGCGAGTGCCGAAGGCTGTCTTACAGCTTTCTTTCTGGAAACGCCAATCTTGCAGAGACATCGCAGCGAAGAGATTTCATACAACTTGCATGGAACTGCTGTCCAGCTTCCCACTCTGCAGCCACAAAACACAATTGCTGCCGCTCTCTTCATCTCGAGATGCAAAATCTGCCGCGGAGATAAGCATGTTTGACATGCCGGGCCAGAGCTTGCACCAACGTGTGCGGCCGCGCATGCACAAGACCCCTTGGCTTCCAGCCTCCCGGCTTGTTCACACGTCCACAGATTGCGCCCTTCCCGCTGCCAAGCTCCGACATTGTGCAATATCGGACGTCGGCACAGTGTGCGAAATGTTGTGTCTGAGGAATCGATGAAGTGGAGAGCAGGTCAACTTCTTACGTGCAGAAACATGACTCTCACAAGCAGCAGTGCTGACGGCTACCTTGGCAGGCAGAGTCTTCACGATCTTGCGACAGATACCACTTGCCAAGTGTGGAAGGACAACTTCTGCCACACGAAGCTGCATGCAAACTTGGGACGCATAGGAGCTAATGCTGCAGTCTACGGTCTCAACAGTTCTTTTTCTATCTTTTAACACACACGTTTCGTGTCCAGTTGTTTGGAAGCGACCTTCTCGGGCGCGGGCGACTACCTAGTGCCCTCTGACTGATCGTCTAGCCTCGACATAGCTTCGTACGGAGGATCAACATTCACTTCCCCTCCGGTGAGCAGAAGAAGGAACTTCACACCGAGCGGGGTTCGATGGGATCCCAAGCTGCGAACGTGGACTTTCTGGAAGCTCAGATGAACCGTTCGCTCGGTGCCCAAACGGCCATGTGCATCTCAATGCGAACCAGTCGAAAATCGCACACCTTGGCGACGATGCTTGCCGTAGACCGCGAAGCCAAGCTGAAAGTCGGATTCGATATCTAAGCGCTTGCCACTTCTCCTGCATCGGCTGAGCTCACCTCTCTCCTCGACTGAGCGATGTTCGCTGTCATCCTACATGCACAAATTCCTCTTCAAAATCTGGCTGCGGCGGATGAATGCAAGCGCAGTGCATAGGTAGTCAGGCTCGAGCATCGCACCAAGCAGATCTAACTGATGTTTGCTCATACTCACCAGCAATAGCTCCGAGATCGTCTCGCCTTCCTGCATGGAGTCTCCGCGTTCATCCTCAGCTTCGGGGCCCCAACGTGCCTAATTACCCCAAGAACCCCAAGAACCCCAAACTCAATTCCATCAAAACCTGGAGCCCCTAGAGAATAAATCGACGCACCTGAAGCCGTTCCTACCGTTTCCCAGGGGCATTTTCATGATCGTGCACGATCGTGTTCGGGCACTATCCGACTCGCGCTAGAAAACGCGCCGGGTGCATCAGGGAACACCCAAGAATTTCAAACAACGACGAGATGACGATTTCTCCACGTTTTTGTGATCGGCCTGAAAGCTTCCGAGGGAGAGAGAACGGTGCCGATGCAACCTGGTAAATTGCATCTCCACGCTACGAACGTATGACGGGGTGATGGGGCCCCGGACGACCCTCTGGACTTTCGTCTCCGCCATCTTGAACTCCGCAAAAGTTGATGGACTCTCTTCCTCCGCAATCTTGCTAATTCGTGTTCTAAAGTTTCATGCATTTGCTCCTATCCTTTTGGTATCTGGATCCTCTCTTCTATCGCGGATCCGCAGCGATACAAAAAGGCCGACCTTCCTGACCCTGGGGTCCTGAAGGTTATATACACCGCAACATCTTCTAATCGGTCAACGCGCCGGGTTGTATCCATTCCCTCTCGAGCATGCTTACTTCTGTATGTTGAAGGATAGCAGGCCAACTTGAAGATATTGCAGCCATGTCTCTTCCCGGACGGGCCAGCATACAACCTATCAATACTTGTCCAGCACCCAATGCAGCAGCTTGAAATCGATTTCTCTCAGGCCTTCCTTTAAATCCACAACACAGCCCGTAGTGCGACATGATGGACGCGGTTGGGATCCAAATCGTCAATTGGGTTTGCAAGGTGTATAGTGATCTCGTCCAGACTAGGTAAAACGTGTGGCTTGAGTTTGCAAACCTAACTAAACCAGCTTTTCAGACTGACGGACGTCCGAATGATCTCCACAATTTGCAGAGTATCTGAGCGTAGTTGACAGATGTCCACGGTTGTCGTATTCTCCGGTGTCCATGAGTTGACGAGGACCTCTAAAGGCACAACTAGCCGTCGTAACTTGGTGAACATTGACAGGGTATCGGCCACACCAGCACGGTGCAAGTAGATTCCTATTGACCAAAAACCATGTCTGCCACCCCGCCCACCCCGCGAAGCATATCTGTTGCCGCGAATTAGAGCGTGGTCGATCACCAAGGTCTCAATCCGGTCGTAAGCGCAAGCAAGATATTTTACGAGGTTGTTGTAACTGGGGTCAGCCAACATGAGGTAGCCTTCCATCTCCTTGTTGCCTTCAGGCGGTTCATGCTTGGGTATATTAAGGTAGATGGAAAGGTGTCAAAGACCTTGCAATACATACAAAACATCGCTAAGAAACACAGCCTGGGATGCCTCAAAGTATGGAGTATCGTAGACGCCAGGAGGCTCGGGCAAGATCGTTACGTCGCAGTGTAATATCAATCTTGTAATGTGGACAGGCGCTAAAAAAAGTTCCAACAAGGGCAAGCCCGCTAACGATCCGCCGTATGAGTTCAGTGTGAAGTCCAGGCCCATTCTGTGATGGCGGAACGACTGTGTTACTGTGAAATCTCGGGAGACAGTATCGCTTGTGATAAGCCGCTTGAGCTTCTTGGAGACCGTAACGAGCTTGTTTCGCATAGATGATGCGGTGTTACTAAAGAGCTTTATCAGATCAACATGCCCTGGTACGGGGCGGCGCGTGAACAAGCGGCATTCCCGAGCGACCAGTAGTTCGTGCGCGTGTGCCCCGGGGTGACACGAATGATGATCGTGCTCCTTCTAGCGGCAGTCTAGCTTGAGGATCTCAAGATCGAAAGCAGTACCACAATAACGCCGACAGACGCTGGCTCGAACATTTCCTTGCCTCGCTCGATCCAGTCGTGATTTACGGTTAGACGCTCCAAAAGCAGCTTCGCTGCAGATACACTTGCGTCCGTCAGTCCACAGACGCATCCTGATCGGCATACGAGGGCGTCTCGATGCTGGAGAGCTCTCTTGGCGTGGGTGACCGTGAAAGCACAAGTGGTCTTGGCAAGCACGGGGTCTTCGAGCAATGTGCGGAGGTACAGCAGAGTCCGAGCTGAGATGCGGTCGTCGGTGCGCTTATTGAGGTGGACAGCTGATAGAGCCTTTTTTGTACAATCTGAAGTAGTTGGCGGCAGGTGAGAGCGAGGTGGCGGAAGTCGACAGTGTCTTGGAGGAAAGAAGTGATCTAGAGTAGTAGCTCGTGCGGCAAGTCTGGAAGGTTGACCATCGTGGCTGCCTCATTGGGGTCGAGCTGAAGAGGTGCTCACAGTTGGGCGACGATGCGGAAATTTTGGATTTGGAGGTGGAAGGCGTGGAGATCTTGTGGCTTTGGCACACGTGGTGTAGGTGAGGGGAGGCACACGCCGCGCGGGATCCGCTTCTGCTAGGTATTCGCCCAGAAATTAGCTTCGATGGTTTTCGAAACCCTCGTCACTCGGCCATCAGGTGCGCTTAGTATACGCTTCGCGGGTGTCGTACGGTACCAATCGCAGGGCTCGTAGAACACCCCGGTGCGTAGATGTGTCGAGGACACTGGTATCGCTTGAGCAGAATCGTGGACTCCACTTTCTAGTTGCACAATCGAGGTCTATCAGGCACATCCTCAGCAGCCAGGGTATGTTCGATAACCATGTCAGCAATCTCGCGGGGCAACTGTTTGCAGACAGCTCGGAGAAGGTTTATTTTGATTTCTAGATGTACGTGTTTCTGCAGCTTCTCTGTGCTGTCGCACAATAGAAATGAATGCATCCTCGGTGTTCTTAGTCATTCATTTCGCACTGGTATGGCACCAGGATTTTACGTATCCTACGACATGCGTCGACGGTGTTGACGTATGGTATGCCTTCTCGCCTCCCGCGAACGTATATATTGGTAGGCCTCGATTTAGCATATTGAATCACCTCAGAGAGCATTTTTTCGGCCTCAAGAATGGCATCGCGATGTGTTTCGACTCAAAGATAGTCGTTGTTGTAGTTGTGAATGAACTCAGTTTTGAGCCGGAGCCACAAATGTAGTGCAAGCACCTTGCCTCCCCTCAACTCTCACAGCCTCTGCAAACACCATTTGAATCAATCCAGAAAACAGATGCTCCATCTCATCTGTCGAAGCGTGCCTCTCAACGCGATTGCAAGATGAATCCTGTTAATTCAACTTGCACATGCCTTTTGGCATAGGTTGGTGCATATAGTTGTGCATATTGTCTTTTGGACTCCACCCCTTACATTGGAGAAGAAATTCAACTATTCAGACTTGTATAGCGCATTTGGTTTGACAATTGTACAACACCACATAAAAATCAAATGTGGCAATCTGATGTTGCTACATTGAGGAGAAATCTCCACTGCATCATGGTACCAAAAGTGTCACGGGTATATACTGTTTGGCTCCCAGTACCCATATCTATTGGGTTACTGTACCTTTTTGGTTGGTGTAGCTCAGGTGGGACCGAGCCGAGCCCTCACAAAAAGTTGGTGGATAAATTGGTAGCTGCATTTTTGACTTTCTGGTTTGGATGACCACCACCACAACACCACAACATCATGGTATGACACTAACACTTCACAGGAAGCAAGTTCATGATTGAAACTGTCACATATCAAGAGCACTTGAGAATCAAACAACTTTTTATTGAGACCAAGCTCAGCCAACAACACTCCTCAATCATCTACATATAGGGCACCCATTAGTTCCAAACTACCAGTGCCACCGCCTCAAGCTGCTCCTGTTCAATAGAATCATGATTTGGCTTGAAGATATCTATGTCCCAACCATGCTCACTATCAAACCAAGTTTCCCAGCCATCATACTCAATGAACTCCTTGAATCTACGCCTCATCCTGTCCAACACAAGCAGCAGCCAGTGGTAGTCTCGAGTCCATTTGAGCATTGTAAGCTCTTTGGGATGATGTAGTTGTTGCAAGACGTACCTTCTGTCACACATCTTGCATGCAATTGCAACAATGTAGAGCAAGTACAGCTCTTTGAGGTTATTGTGATCATACCAGAACTGGAAAAAAGCCTGTACAATCTCCCAGTCAGGCTTGCCACTGTTAATTGGAGATGGCTTCCACTCCTTCTGGTGCATCTCACTCATCTTGGACACCAATTTGGCTGTGTACAGCTCAGTCAATGACTCAATAGTTGCTGTCAATTGACCCAACTTGTCATTGTGTTGCTGTTGCAAGTCCATCAACTGCTTGTGCCGCATGGCCTGAGAGGTTTTGGAGTTGACAGAGCACTCTCTTACTTGACGAAGAAGAGCTCAGATGTTCTCTGACAGTTGCTGAATGGTACAAGATTGCTTGTTGATTTTATGGAGCTACAGACTCATGACTCTGTTTGGTACAGGATAATGGTGCTCACTTTGGCCAGGCAGTCCTTCACCATCACAGAGGTCAACCCAGCACACTGCATCTTGATTCCAGCAAGTGTGGAGTGTGCAATGCCAGTATTGACACAGTGGAGCAAGACTGAGACCTGCAACAACACACAAGTCCTCTTCTTTGTTGGGTAGGTTCTCCAAAGCTTGGGTGGTGGCACTAGTGCATGTGCGTGGCTGACTTTGTCCAGGTTGCTGTGAAAACTGAGTGACTCCGGTGGCTCGAGGAGCCTGTAAAGGTGCCTGTTGGAGCTCCAAATGCAAGTCAAAGTCTACCACTATGTCCCTCTGTTTTGTGAGAGGGGGCCAGCTGGGGATACCAACTGCTCTCTGAGATGGAAGGATTGGTGGAAGGATGGTTCAGGCTTGTTGGAGATAAAGGTGTGGAAAAGACCAAGTGTGGGGATACCACAAGTGGTAAAAAGGATAAGTGATAAAGAAGGGATCAAGTGTGGGGATACCACAAAGGGTCAGTGAGGAGTGAGTTGAGGAAGGAGTTGCTGAGGTGAATTGAAGGAGTGGATTGAGTTTGAATTGCAAGCATGAGTTTGTAAGAACTGTACCAACCGTTCTTCCTCATACTACTCACACGATTGCTATTTGACTCCTATCCAATCCCTACCCTACTATGTACCGGTATCCCCCGAGCTACATCGAACTGTTAGGTATATAAGCAGGGCAGTGTACATAGTTATGGTAGATAGTTTTTGAGTATCCTTTTGTACAAGACCTATAGGAATAGAGGTTTACTCCTAGTTCTATCTATCCCAGTGCTCCCATACACCTTGTAGCGGATTTGAACCCATATCGGAGTCCTCTCTTACCTGTGTCAATACAGAGTTATCTGAGCAGGAGGGCAGGCTGCCTTTATAGACAGACTGCTGGCTCCTGGAATGTTCTAGATACATTGGCATTTGTAATCATTTGTAATCATTTGTAATCATTTGTCAGCAACCAGAAGATTCTGTGTTGTTCCATGGGATTCCATGATGTTCCATGGGATTCCATGTGTCACGAAGATGCTACGAGTAGGCCCTTTAGGACTCGCTAGGAGTCTAAATCAATTACTACATACGGTATCTAAGTAGGTACAAGATGTTGTGTACCGAACAGAACTCTACCAGCAATAGTCTATATACTTACGTGTGGGTTTGTTTGGTTACCGGTTAATAATCAGAACTGAGTTGGATAGGTATTGGGGTTGCAAGTCCCAGAGCAGGGCTTGAAGAATTCTAATACTCCTGCTTCGGAGGTTGCAGGCCTGCTCCGGAGGTGACCGGAGGTTGTACGGTCAGGGACAGTACGGAGCGGATCTGGATATTGTCAGGGGATCTGGAGAGGATACCGTGACAGAACCAATCGAATAGTGTCTACGAGCTTTGCTTAAGACACGACTTCAACAGGTACACATACACACTAATAGCGTTGTATCTCATTGGTGCTGACTGCTTCTGCACCTAGTTCTTTGCCCAATCAAACAAAAGTCCAGCAGTAAGTGTTGCAGTACAGCAAGAGGTCATGTTACAGTACTGTATGAGGTTGAGTAAAAGGACCAACTGGACCAGACTCCTTCAAACAGTATCAGTAACATAACAGCTTCATGGTCAGTTCTTCTTTCCATTCATTCACAGTATATAAACACACAGCTTGAGTACAATACAACTTCAGTGAACCTCAATATCCATTGCCCAATACCGATTATCTTCAGTACTGTTACAGTAAGGCTTCTGTTGGAATGTTCTCGCGTAGTCATTGACTGTTGGGGCGTGGATCGTGAGTGATCAGTACGCTGTGGGAAGAATTGAAGGATTGAACTGGGGATGTATTGGGTGAAGCTACGAACAGTACATATAGGTGAGTAGCTGTAAACAACGCTAGTGTGACGTGGCAGTCACTCTCATGGCAGGTGAGGTTCAAAAGGCAAGAGCACCCTGAACCGTGACATTGACCCTATGATAGGCTTGTCAAGATTGAGAGCACAAAACTTGGCGGTGAAATTGACTCTTGGAGCACCTTTGATGTGCAGATTTTCACCCACATCACTATTGTCAACATACTCATCAGACAGAGATGGCTTGATTGAGACTAGTCTCTCACCAGTTGTGTAAGGGTATCTGTGACAGCGAGCTTAGTAACAATGGGGGGTGGTCTCATAAGATTAATTGCTACCGTTTCCTGGCCATTGTGTGCCCGATTATCTATGTGCTCTTGTCCATACCGCGCTAGCGTCCCAATGGGTTAGTGCCATCGTCCCAACACGTGACAGCCTACTTCACTACAGCACCATAACCCCGTTACAAGTTGTGAGTTAATAATTGTTGTTGTTTGGAGTTGGAGGGCTTTTGCATACAACAACGTTGTGTTGAAGTCGTACTTTAAGCAAAGCTCGTAAGCGCTATTCGATTGGTTCTCGAGGATGAACTCTGGCTCTGGAACAGTAGGGGTAAGTCGCCTGGGTGAAACACCTAACGACGGCTTGGGGTAACAATGAGTAGTACAGGCAATCTGTCTAGCTCGAAGGTTGGTTGAGATCCAATGACAAACTTAATTGACGAGGTTGAACACGAACCATGAGGGTTGTGTTCCTACACATATATATACAGTTCATCAGATCTGCTCGTTGACGAGCAGAGTCGGTCCTGGCCAATCCGGATGGATTGCGGTTCGTCAACGAGCATCGTACCATGTTCGTTGACGAGCATCACGTCATGCTCGTTGACGAGCACTCACGTGACCCTGCTCGTTGACGAGCTCTGTCACGTGTGTCAGCTCGGCTGAGAGCAATCCCCTAGGCGCCGGCCGGGCGGCCTTGTCCTGCTGCGCCTTCCCCCAGGCCTCCGTGTTTGGTTGGCGGTTACTTATTGCTTGTCGTCCTATCGTGGGACGTAGGATCGTAACACGTTGTTGGCAGCAGCAGCAGCTACTTCATCTTCCGTCTTGTCTTCTGAGCTGGAGTAGTGTGATGGATGAGCGCTGCTCAACGAGCTGGTGGAGAGACAGGCAGGTTCACAATACTGGTGGTGTCATTGAGAAGTACACAGCTCCTTGTACTGAGAACCGTGTTTGGTGAGGTTACGCTTACACTTAGGGCGTGGAGAAACTATCTACAGGTTGTCAGTATCAAGAAAGTGAGGGTTGATGGCATAATCTCACTCGCAGTACATTACCAGAGGAACTGGGGAAGGAACTGGGGAGTAATTGTATGGGGTAGCATCACTATAAATCCAGCAGCTCCCTCACCGGCTTCTCCAGCAGCCAAAGTATGGATATGGTACGCCGCAGCACTACTATCGGTCCCCATCAATGACCTTCACAACTGTGGTACCTATGCTACGCTAACCAAGCCACAGTACGCGCACAATACTCCTACACCTCTGTCTCAATGTTACTTGACAGTAAGTTGCTGTCAATTGACTCCCACACCATCACCACACCCCAACAACATTGTTGGCCAATAAGACTGCTCCATTTGGGTACCCATATGTACTATTTCACCCTCCAAGGGGGGTCGCTCAACATATGCAAACCACAATAGTCGAAAATAAACAAAGACAAAAAACCTTTTCCCCTTGGGTAAATCTGAGCAAAGCCGAAGGTAAGAGCACACTTCAGCATCATGCTGAGATGATTGAAAAGTGTACCCTCTTCCAATCGCACAGTCTCGTGTGCTGTCGAATAGTTCTCACTCTCAGTCTCCAACAAGCATATATACCCAAAAATGCCAAGGTCAGCAATCTAGAGGGCATGTGGTCTGTCATGATGTTCCGGGTACCTCACTTAGCACTTATGACATCTTGGATCTGCCGCCACTAGGCCTGAACCGTCCTAGTTTCCTCACAGTGGTTTCCTCCACACAAACCGTAGCTCAGATAGTAACTTCATGCTATCCATTACCTGTACACATAGACAGTCTGATCAAGATATCACGCTCTGTCTTATGCGCAAGCACGGAAAAGGAGTCTCGTGGTTATCCCGAACTCTGACGGAGAGATGCAGGTTCTAATCGGGCCATGTCCAATCCTTTTGTTGCTCGTCAATCACTTTGCATACATCATTGGATTCTAAACATGTTCAGACAGCCCATATGGATCCAGGTCCAGGGCACGAACGGACTGTTGAACCATGTCGCTTCTGAGTTGCACTTCAAAGGCTCTTGGACTTCCTTGAGCCGATGTCAATAAATCTGAAGACTACATAGCCAACCACCTGTGTGCCCACAGAAGTCCTTCCCAATACGGCGCATTTAGCAATCTCAAGCTCGTAGCAAGTCCTTTCATCCAAGACAACGGTACGTATACCGCCGAGCAAATCATGAATGGCGCATGGCAATGCTGATCGGTAGTTGTGTCAGCAACCAAGACTTTCAGATCGCTGTCACGTTCCAATTCCACCCACACCAACGGAAAAAGTTTGCTGTGCCCAAGGCAGGTGACCCACTCATCCACTACTCAAACTTCCTCTTCCTGGGCTTCATCTCCTTGGCGGTATCAAGCTCCTTTGTTTTCCGGATGACGCGCAAACTATCTTTCCTGATAGCCTCTATGTGTCGTGCCAGGACTTCCTTGTCAGGATCAAAGCCTGTGCCAGAATCGATACGAGACTCGATGTTGGCATCCCTCATAAGCACAGGTGCCTCGCTAAGCATAGTTCGATATCTTCCCTTCTTGCGGACCCATTTGATGATGGCAGTAAGTGGTCCTGCATCTACACCAGAAGGTAGCTCGACAAGTCCGTGCGTCAGAGCCAGCAGTGGGTAGTCGGTCATTTCCCAGACCGTGTACGTCCAATGCTCTGCGGTGTAGCTCATGATCTCACCAGATGAGTGTGTCGCCTTGGTGTTTGCCTTATCTGCAATTTTGCGAAACACATGGTGATCAACGCTACCATGGCTGCAGACAGAAGCCCCAGGCAGACACCTGGTCATGTTGACGAAGTTTGATATGTCCGTGGCGCTCATACCAGCACGAGCCATACGATCACCCGCTTTCCGCCACTGGTAATGGAGCGGGAAGTACGAGAGTAGCTCTACTAAGGTGAATTCAACGTCCTGCAAAAGCGTTATGTTGATGTGAACTGGAGTCGCAACACTCTTGAAAGGGCAGAACTCCCGAGTGTTCTGATTGCCGAGATATCGCTCTGCGTTATCTTCTTCGCTCTCAGCCATTGTGATGGCCATCAATGCTGCGATAGGCTGCTTTATCTTACGCGGGGTACGTTGCACTCCAGTACCACGCCACTTTCGACCTGGAGTGGGGGTGAACGTGACAGGGGGAACTTGTTCCATTTCAAGTAACCACCACCATCCATCTTGGAGGTCGAATACATCATCCGGACAATCTCGTGCCTCTATATACCGAGGCGGCAGTTGAATGACGGGAATGGCACTGGCCTCTGGAATGATGACAGCGGTCGTATCGAGACTTGTAGCATGGCTCCTGTCTTCTGGGAGACCTTCGATCTGGGCCCAAGGGAGCTTCCAGCTGACACCCTCAAAGTTGAAGACATCGCCATTGGATCCATCACTGAATGCTGATAGTAGCGGCAAGAGGCCAAACTCAGGATGAAGCTTGCCACAAGGAGCATAATCTTGGAGGCCGCCCTGATGTAGCTCCTCGCTTGTCAGAGGTAGTGCACCAATAGGTGTGAGCTTGAAGACCTGTTGGTGAGGATCAAAGACTACCGGGTATAGACCAGACCATGACGTGTGCCTCCACCCCATAGGAAGCGCCAAGTTTGTCATGTGTTTAGCACTGGGAAGCCCATTGTTGAGAGGGACGAAGTGAGCGTGAAAGACGAGACGGGGATCGGCTGACGGCCAAGGGTAAGACGGGTGGGTACTACCACCCGGAGGGTATCGGAGTTGCCACTCGGTGGAGTGGAGAGCAGGTAGCTCGCCGTTTGAGGTGATGGCCACTTCGAAAGGTGTCGTGGTAGGCTCGGCTAGTGTGAGAACTTGCTGCGTCGACTCTTGCAGGTCTTGTGCCGCCATTTTGATAGCTGGCTTAACGGGCTTGATAGACGAATTGGTTGCATGCACTTTTGTCATTCTTGTCAGTTTATCCTGGAAGGCCACTTATCCAAAGAACGCTTACGTTGGGTGTTGCACTTGTTTTGCAAACGAGTGCTGCGACGAATCGAGGAAGGACTTAGCAGTTCTAGAGTCAAGTCCGTATCCCCTTTAATTGACGTTGATGGAGTGGTCAGACCATGGTGGTGCAGAATATTCGATTCGCTGGCAGGTGTAGATGAGGGGGAATTCGATGTGATAAGTAAGGCCGCGGCGTCGATGCTACCATCAGCAGGCTCGCTGGTCCAGAAGTCATCAATCAGACCTTTGCTGCTGCCCTGGTAATTGTCGTGGGTCGCAGTTGCGGACTGCTGAGCGGGAGCTTCGACACTGCACGATAGTGTCTGAGGTGAGGGCAATCCATGCCAACTGAGCTTGGTGCACTTGGATGTAGGTGTTTGTGGGCAGGGAGCAACGTTGTCCAGGGAAATGGCAAGGTCAGACAGTGCGTCCTGATGGCCACCGGTGATTGTCCCGTCAACTATACAAGCATCAGCGGGCGTTCTTTACGCGAGTCTTACTGCTGTTCTCGTACGTACCTGTGCCGAAGAGTACTGAGTGTTCTTGGTCTGGCGTTCGTGGCGTCGCTTCAGCTGTTATATCTTTGTTAGCCAACAAGCTGGCACCTTAGGCAGGCTGCTGTCACTGACCACTCAAGGGGTAGGCCTCAGGGGCAGGTGACGACGTACGCAATGCTCTACTCATGCTGGCTTGTCGGCCTTGATCGCTGCTATCTGCAAACGACTGACGTTGCGGAGAAGGTGGTTTAAAGCTCATGGCGGGCGATTGAGGGCACTGATACCCTCGTGCAATCAACTTGAGTGGTGAGCAAGAGAGTGATGGTGATGGGGAACGACGAAATGAGCCTCGAAACCAGACTCTGTCTTGTGGGGCAGCAGGTTTTGGTGGCCACTCATTCACCTTCACCCAGTGGCCCCACAGTGGTCTGCACACTGTGCCGAACCGTAGGTGACGGTCAATCAACGTCTAGTTCGTAAGCATTGTTAGCAATACAAAGTACAGATGTCGTAGTCTGGATATCGCTGTTTGAGCGCGCAGTAGTGCTGTTGTAGGCAGAGTACCTAGGTAAGGAAAGGGCGATCAAGGCGCAGCAGGCATGCGTTTGTGGGTAATCCTTGATTGTGGCGAACACAACTGCAAACGACAGCAGAAAAGATAGAGCGTGTAAATGAGAATTCGAAGACAGTATTTGATGTATGATGGATGTGTGAGCTCTAGTGGTCTCTTCAGCGGTTTAGACGCACAAAACTAGTAGGATATAGCAGGTCCTTGTCCGTCAAAGAATACTTCGTCCAACAAGTTCAACAGAACCCTCTGGCCAACCCAGGACTCTTCAGCAGCAGGGCGAATGCGCTCAGGCGGAAGCACGAAACCAAAGGCACCAGTGTCCGGCAACTCGATGGTGTAGGACCACTCTGCCCGACCCACAGCGTACACGTGATCGACGCCAACACCAGTAGTGGGGTACAGTACAGCACCACTAGGTCCAAAAGTGTATGTAGTCGCGTTTGAAGAGTTGGCTGCGATGGTCTGACTCATCAGCGATGCAGCATTTGTCCATTTGCCGAGCTGAGGTGCGTAGAGATACTCATCGTGGCCAAAGGGGCAGAGGATGAGCTGGCTGTAGCTGTGCCAGTCGACGTAGAGCTTGATGCCTTGCTTGTCACGGAGATTACGAAGGAAGTCGTCCATTGCGGCATTCTCCGGCGCATCACGAGGGCGTTCGCCACGGTAGACTTGCGAACATTCGTTCTTCGATGCGCCACGGGTGTTGGCATCCCAGTTGTGCTCCCAGTTCCTGTTAATGTCGCGGCCGTAGCAGGTCTGGTTGGCAGCAGTGGCCGGGGGTGGTTGGCGGTTCTTGCGCCACAGCCTGTCTGTGGTCTGAGTGTACACAAAGCCTGTTTCGATTATTAATGTCTCAGGGTCGTCGGCCGACACGCAGGTTGTACATACCATCTGGGTTGACAATTGGGAAAATGTAGAAGTCATAGCTATTCAAGAATGTCTGGGTAAGGTTGTCGCCAGATTTGTAGCCATCAATGAGTTGCTTGGTAATGTACTCCAGTGTCTTCAAAATATTAGCTTATATCATAGAGCTCCAGCTCAACACTGACCGGAGCAACGATCCACTCTCTGGCGTGGACAGTGCCGTGCCAAAGGACAGCGGGCTTTCCTGGGCCACCGGCGCCCCACATATGAATACTGCATAACTTCGTCAGCCACAGTCGTACAAGAAGATAATACAGAAGGACAGAAGTGACTTCAAAATTGTCGATGAGGAGTGATGACATACCCATAGATGTCACGGCCCTCGTAGGAGGTACCCGAACTTGTCCAATTCGAGTTCTCTGGGAACGACTCTTGCAACTCCTTAAAGTACTCGATATGGTCCTCGTAGGAGTGGTAGCTGTCAAACCAGTCGCCACTGGTATTGTACTCCTGCCTCTTCCATGTCGATTTAACCTCTGATTCAGCAGCAATCGAAGCCCCCAGGTCTGCATGTAGAACGCGTGTGTCTAGACCCAGTGCTTCGAACCTGGCAACTTCATGGCGAGGAATTGCAACATCGATATGGTCGGAGGCTGATTCCCATACATTGTGGGAGAACACTGCAAGTCTCTTTTGAACATCTGCTAGATGCCGGCCGGTCTTGACATGGTACACCTTGGTACCCTCATACAGGTTGGTGGAAGGGCTACGGATGGAGACACCCGCGGCAAGGGAGGCCAGAGCAAAACTGAGAACGAACTTCATGATTGATGCTCGCGATAACGGACAAGATGATGGAAGAGCAATCGGCGCGCCTTTATACACAGCCAGATCACAGGCTTCGTAATGTGCTCAGCATTGTTAGCATGCTCTGAACCGTTCTATGCCGGGACAAATCATGGTAGCAAGGTTGCAGTGCAAGATGATGCATTGCCTTGCGTCCATGATGCCGGATAGGCATGGGATAGCACTGGTACCGAAGTGATACAGCATGTCGAGGTTGCCTTGACCTGCCGTATCGGATCTAGTAAGGCATGGAATTACTTGTGCTTCATGGATCTCAGAGGTAGAAACGTCATTTCTGCCAAGTAATAACTCGTATCGCCCGCGCAAACTGTCCTGGAAGAGCGATGACTGGGATGAAAGGATGGGGAACCTGTAGAAAATAGCGTTCATACAAGGTGTGCCTTTGACTCCCGATGAAGCGAGCAAATGCTATCTGAAGCGGGGTAGCTGGGACGACAGGCATAGCCTCTGAATCCTGCAGTTTCCAAAGCAGCATAGAGACCATCACTGAGAGTCGCAGCGAGGTGGCTTCGAAAGCCCTACCAATCCAGAGGGACTGCTTGGTAGACGGGATGAGAGGGCACCAGGATGAACAACACCAGATGACAATAGCGACGGCATCTGATCGCCGTAGAAATCTCAAGTTGGAGTAGTATGATGCGAGGTCATGTGGAGTGTCGAAGGAACCGAGCAACGCAAATGGTGGGTTTTCTAAGACGACGCGAAAAGTCGGGGTAGCGTTAGGCCCAAAATAGTCGAGGCCCGAACCCTCTTTTCGTGCGGGCGTTTCCGCATCGAGCCTTCATCGAAACGCGCATGACACAGTGCCTGGTCATCTTTTCCAACTTGCTGCTTGTCCCTACTTCTGCTTTCATGTCAGCTTGCAACATTGCAAACGCACTTCGTTCCTCCTTGCAGTGGCTGGCTTTGTTGACAACTGGCAGACAGCATGTTGCAGTGAATACAATAAGTGAAGGTGTAACCGCGCAGGGCAGTAAGTCAGGGGTAACCGCGCGAAGCAGTAAAATCAGTATATTCTGTTGTTCTGTTGTTCAGTGTTCTGTCTCTCTCACTCGACCCCCAGCAGGGTCTGTTTACATGACGTATGTATCTCGTGCAGTCAAGAGCAGGAGGTGCTTGTTGGAAAGAGCAAGAGCACCAACACACGTGGCACACATGACCTCCATACTCCATAAACCGTCACACAGCAGCTTTCCAACAGGGTTTCAGCGAGACCCTTCGACGGTGCTGAGACAAACTGTTGTCATTCATCATAATGTGGGAAACAGCAGACTCTTGCAGTTATGAGGCAACAGCAGCTTGTATGGATCCGGAGCCAACCCCAGTGAGGTACGTAGCTACCCCCTCAACATCTTCGTCTCTGGATAGCCGACTTGATTCCGGCAATATGGTTGCCCGCGACGGGCACGAATTCTGGTGTCTTGAACAGATGTGGCATCTAGTAAGGTTGTGTACCGCACACAAGCGATATGTCAGATACAAGGTCACGATAGGTTTCGACTCCCCAAGCTGCCACCTGGTACATTACTTTGTCAGCCGCAACGTTGTGTAAATCACCATAAAGGAGGAAGTGATGCCGCTATAAACAGCTGTAGTGCTGCTTTTCGACTCATTTCATAACAGCTGTTAGAGAACGTTCACGACCTCACTACCGATAAGATGGCTACTGCATCTGCTACCCGAATAAATGAACTACAAGATCCTAAAGCGAACGTCCAACACGTCGAGAACATCGCCGTGGGCAGTCAGAAGCTGCGCGACATCGAAATAGTGGCTCTAGTAGTCACGGAACCGAAAGCGGATCTCAAATTGTGTTGCAGTATTAATCGGTTCATACGACGCCTGATTGTTCCTACTCAGACTATTCTGGACTAGCATGGTTCAGAACAAGTATATATCGTATTTTCCTAGCTAGATAGCAACTCAGCGCAGTATTCCATCGTATTCTACCAGCAGCCCTACGCCGCCACGAATTGCAATCAATCATACTTGATGAGATCAGAGATGCCGAGGTGCTTGTGGAGATGAAGTTCAGTAATATTTGTATGGATACACGGAGTTGGAGTTGATTCGTCATAAGCTGACTGCTTCAAGGCCATACTGACATTGTTGTCCAACAAGGACTTCTACCTATGGTAGAGTTTCCCGCAGTCTTCGGCCACGAAGGTGCAGGTTTTGTGAGGGTTATAGGTTCGAAGGTCAAGAACAAGTTGCTCAGAGTTGGCTATGCGGTACTACTATCCTTTAACACATGCGGTACATGCAAGCCTTGTACAAACGGGCATCCCGCCTTCTGCCACACCCATGTCGCAGTCAATCACAATGCCGTGCAGCTCACGGGTCGAAGCACACCAGGTAGGACCAAGTATGGTCAGAGCGTACGCAGCCAGTACTTTGGACACTCATCTTTCGCTAAAATGAGCGTTCTCAATGAGGAGTGTGTAGTCATTCTGATCAGATGGAAATCTACGCGCCGATCGACTGCGGCTTTTAAACTGGCACTGGAACAGTATTGAAGGTACTGAAGCCCGGAAGTAACAACTCGCTCGTTGTTTTGGGTCTTGGCAGTGTTGTACTGACAGCTCCAATGGCAGCGAAACACATGGGCGTCGGACAGATCATCGCTATTGACATTGTTCAAGAGAAACTGCAAATGACGAAAGAGCCTGCGGCGACGGATACGATCAACTCAAAAGAACAAAGCAACGTGGTCAAAGCTATTAAAGCGGCTTCAAAATAAGGCGCCTGTGCCACCTTCGCTGTCGATTGTACTGGTGTACTCCGCGTCATCGAGGATATGGTAGCTTGCCTTGCGCCGCACGGAACAGCTGCTGTAGTTGGTGTTCCGCCACCTATGGAAAGATCTCGATCGACCCCCTGATGTTCCTGTTGAACAACAAAAACTGTTCGGCGCCATTGAGGGTGACTCGAACGCAGAAGATGTCACCCACAGCTGATTGAGCTACATCAGAAGCGATCCTTCCCCATCAAAAAGTCGTGTCGCACTTACCCGGTAGATAGGTTGGAGGATGCGACTCACAACCTCCATACAGGCAACGTAAGTCCCATAACCTCGAGTTCTCATTGCATGACTGCAAGTATCGAGAAATCAAGACCACGTGGAACGCATGGCCAATTTTGAAGTCGAACAAAGGACGATACGACAACGCCCCTTGTCAGGTACGAGCGTAAACCATGTACAGTAGGCTTCCTTTGTAAACGCACAGAGCAACGCAGTTTTTGGAGAGCTTTTCACAATGCTCTTAGCTCTTTTGTCTTTATGAGATGCTCGAGGGTTTCTCCTTTGCCTGCCTGGCATACATTACTCTTCTCAGTAATCAACTCCGAATCCTTTTCGGATATTGACCGATTAAAAAGTTACACGCGCAGTTCTGCACCCTAATTACATCGACGGATCACAAACTACTCATTTCGGATACCTAAGAGATACAACGTATAGAGATGTCTCAAGTACGACACATGGGCTCCTTGCCCGCGCCCGAGGACGTAGTGAGCCTACTGGAAGCTGTACATCAAGCAGCAGAAGACCGTTACCAAGGCGCAGAATACTAATACGTGCGCGAGGCACTGTGCAAGCTCTTCTCCAATTCCATCGAATGGTTGAACACCGATGTAGATCCATACAAGGTACTGGTCGAAACGCTGCAAGATGAGCGAGCCATCCTGAACCGCCACGATCGACTTCAAGCCAAGGCTCTCTTTAGACAGGAGGAGACTCACGGCCTATCCGAAGAACTCGCCAACTTCCCTCTCCGCCCTATGTCTCTGAAGGATGATAATGTCAAGTTCCCAGCTGACTTCCTCGAGCCAATATACCAGGTGGCAGATCATCATGAGGTCAAGAAAGCAGTCCGAGAAGCTCGGTTAAACGTAGCTGCCGCTGTTTTGCAGTCGAACGGTCCACCGGCAAATGGCCCTTCCAAGCCATCTACTACAGTACTAAGTCAAAAGTTTTAAACGCCAAGGGTTGTCCCACCAGCCAATAGCTGGAACACCAAAACAATTCAACAGGCTATAATTCAACCAATATTGGTTCAGATCAAGCTATCTAACCAGGAAGTTGTAATGAATGTTCTCAATATTAAGTCTGTGTGCCCTTAATCAGTTGACAGGCCCTGAGCCGGTCTGACATGCTCATGATAAGCTGATGGATCAATCTACCAGGGATCATCCACCATGCCTTCTTCAATGCCCTACAGAAGTCATCCCACTCTTCTTGAGACTGGCCAAGAGTATTGAACTCAGGAAAGTGCTTATGCATGATCTTTTTGAGGCACCACCAGAGGTGCTCAATTGGGTTCAGGTTGGGTGAGTAGGGTGGCCAGTCTGCAGCCCAAATCCCATGGCACTCAAGCCAGTCCTTTGAAACTCTACTGGTATGTATCCTAGCATTATCCTGCATGAAGATCTGGCCTGCCTGGTAGTGAGGTAAGAGACCCTCCTCAAGCGCTTGAACGTAACTTTTAGTAGAGTAGCCACCTGTTGCGATTCGTGCCTCAAGCAAAGCTTGTAGACACTATTCGATTGGTTCTTGGGGATGAGCAGAGGTACAGAAAGCCGTCAGGGGTTGGTTATCACTGAGCGAGCTCGGAGCGGCAGAGGTTTGACTGTGATAAACCGCCGTGATAATCAGGGGGTAGTCGTCTAGTCAAAGACCATGGCGACTGGTTGCAATGAGTAGTACAGAGTATACTGTCTGGCTCGAGAGCAGGTGAGATTCCAATAACAAAGTTGATTGACGAGGTTGAACACGATGCCATAAGGGCAGCGTGTCTACTTGCTTATATACTTGACAGGAGGATTGATTGTACTGCTCATATCAAGTATCGTCAGTGACTTGATACTCGGTCCAATCGAGCGTTGTCGACGTGACCTCGATACTCGGTCCTCGGTGTCCTATTGATCGTTGTCGACGTGGGTCCTCTGCAAGTGGGTCGGTATATGGGTCCGTGACGATCGTTTGTGTACGAGATCCACGTTGTATCCACGTTGTATCCACTGCAGTCCTTTTCGTACAATCTTGGTTTGTATAACAGATATTGCAAGTGTTGATTATACTGGGTATCACTGACGCGGCTTCACAGCTCGGTCAATCGATACTGCAGTTCCTTGGCTGCTCTCGTCTCGTTGCGTAGTCCTGTTTGTTCAGTGTTGTTTTGCGAGTTGTTCATGGATCGTAACAGTTTACTCCTAGTTCTATCTATCCCAGTGCTCCCATACACCTCGTAGCGGATTCAAACCCATATCAGAGTCCTCTCTTACCTGTGTCGTTACACCTATGGGACGGAAGCAAGCGAGCCATGGGATTCCCACGCAGTCTCACGTATCCCATGGGACTTTGGGACAACGTCTCATAAGACAGTAAGATACTGTAGGACTCCGTACAATCATTCAAGTATATAGCATGTAGGAACACTGCCCTTATGGCATTGTGTTCAACCTCGTCAATTAAGTTTGTCATTGCATCTCAACCAACCTTTGAGCTAGACAGATTGCCTGTACTACTCATTGTTACCCCAAGCCGTCGTTAGGTGTTTCACCCAGGCGACTTACCCTTACTGTTCCAGAACCAGAGCTCATCCTTGAGAACCAATCGAATAGTACTTACGAGCTTTGCTTAAAGTACAACTTCAACAGGATGAGGCAAGTGGTAAGGTGGCAGAGATTGAACAGATCTTCCACCAACTCCATGTCCAATTAGAGCTCGCTCAGCACAAATTAAAAGGCGTAAAACAGGCCTTGGCAGAGAAGGAGAAGAAGAAGGAAAGGAAAAAAAGTACTGCCTTTGGCTGCTCACCACTTTCATAGCCAAGGGGGGGCAATCTGGTGGAGTCCGCGATCAAAGAAGGAGGCAGACGCACGCCTCCTTGCAGAGGAGGCCTACCAAGAGCAAATTGAACTAGAGAAAGTAACCAAACATGAGTTACAACACACCCAGAGGCTTCTTAAAGAGAAACAACAACAGGAGAAGCGTGAGTTGCGGGCAAAGGAGAAGGAAGAGTGTGACCAGGTCAAGGCTGTAAAGGCTCAGGAAGTAGCTAAACACAAGGCTGAAAGAGAGCATCAAAAACAAGCCTGTGACCTTGAAAAAAGTATCCAATTGCCTAAACATGGCAAGCGCAAGGCTTCAAGTCACTTGCAGTCAAAAACAACAAAGAAACATGGTGGTGCTGCTGCTTGTAGTGCTCCTGTTCCTCCCAGCCCACCCCGGGCAGCTCCAACCACAACCACCCGCCGAGGCAGAACCACCACTCTGCCAGCACGTTTTGTGTGAGCAAATATCATTGCATAGGTCTATAGATCAATCCACCAAAAATTCTCGTGATAATTGCTTTTGTGTGTAGTTGTACAGCCTCATTTGGTTGAGGCCTGTGAGGGTTGGTGGGGCGAGCGTTGAGTGATGGGGGCGTTGGGTGACCGTGCACGGTAGGTGTCAGAGTTCGTGGTGGCGGCCCTTTCTTCTTGTTTCAGTTGCGGTGCTTTCCTTGCATCTTTTCCTCACGCCTTTATCGATATTTGATGGATACCGTTTGTATAACGCGTGTTATGTAGTTAATGACAATATCGAGGCTATAGGTGCAGGATCGATCTTATCATCGTTCTTTGAGACAGGTGTCCTCGCATCCTTTGCCCCTGTTGTGGCTGCCGTTGTCAGGGAGTCAAATCGACTGTGAGCCTGTGAAGCTGCTGTGGAGCCCCGCAGCTTCACTAAGGCAGGTAATACATCAATGGCGTACCGCTCGCCCAGGATGTCACAGAAGTAAGAGTGGTCGAAGGACTCGAGCGTGCCATGAGCTGCAATGGCTCGCCGTGTCCAGGATTTTTGCTTCGCGCTATTTTTTTGCTCTGGTTCTTGGCCAATAAATCGCATGAAATAGTGCTGTAGAACGCTCTCGAAGAACGAACTGTATGTAGCGTTTGCCAACGGAATACCGTACATGAGCATAAGCCCAATCAGCTCCTGCAAAAACGGAACATAGGTGGTATGGAGATCCTGTTCGAGTGCATGGTCCATCTCAGATCGCAAATGTGCGATCATTGATTCAATCGGTTTGTACATGCCTAATCCGTAAAAGTGCTTCGTGAACAAGCCAAGCGCAGCCGCAGAAAGCTTCGCCAACGGTCGAGGTCCGGGTATATCTTCATCTTTCTTTCTCTCGAAAGCGGCTAATTGGCGCTCAATATTCTCGTGATCACGCATGTCGATGGAGACTGCGCCAAGGTCCTGTGCGACAGCGCGAAGCAGGTCGTCCTTCGTCGTCCGCGGCACTTCGCTGGTCGGGGCATCGAACACATAGTTTGTGAAGGTCACTGCATAGGTGAGGTTTGACCTCATAAGCCTCGATAATTCTGGAAGCAAAAATTGGAAGCCTGTCGTATTGGCAGAGTATTTGAGCCCGAGAAGAGATCGTAGTATCAGGACGTCATCATGGTATAATTCTGAGGCAGCTGCAAGGCTCTCGCGAACTCGATCCAGCATCCACTTCTGCACTTTACCGGGCGCCTCGCTGTGCTTCTTGAGTAGCTGTGCGTCAACATTGCCGAACGCAGCTTGTCCAGATTTGTTGAAATGGGCTATTGTTGACTGGCTCGGGGTACTTTCCAGGCTTTGCGCAGTCAGTAAGGGCAGGTTCTCAGGTAAGTGCTACGTACAGCTTCTGTTCGTATTCGCCTTTGATGCTGGTTTTGGCCTCCTTCGCTCGCCCTCCGTTATGAGTAGTGGTGTTCATGGTGTTATTGGTGGTTCGGCTTTGAAAGTCTCCACAATCGGTTCGCTTGTTGATATAGCAGGCTCGACTTTTGTGTCTTGTTCAAGCCATATACCGACTGCACCGTACCGACCTTTCGGTGTTGTGAATAAACTTTGAAGGACTGAGTATCTTGTCAACCGCGGAACAATACTTCCTTGGGAATGAGAAGTACACAACGATAGTTGGAAAGAATAAGACACGATGCCGGCCCACTGCCGGATTTAGCGTTGGAGCTAAAATCCGCCAGGGAAGACACAGGTGTCACTGCCACCTGCAGAAGCGCTGACTTGCAGCATCGCCCAGCAGCGCCATGCACACTTTGCACTCAACGTGACGAATCAGGTCGTCTTTCGTTCCGTATATGAATGACCTCTGAAAGTATATATATCACCTGTTGCGATACGTTCAGTGCTATATTCGCAAGAATACTCAAACGACGACATACAAGCCCGCTCGTCACCGTACCATACGCACTTACAATAACCTACACGCAAGTATGTAGCCAATGCTCGCTTGCCAAACGAAGTTCTTTCTTGGCTCCAGGCCAACAACGAGCTATTGGATACAACTGAACTAAAATGCTGCAATTACAAGGTCATAAGGACCACCGGGCGCTTTCTTGGTGGTGTGCATTTAGCGATCCGCGGAGTGTCTTGATGCTGTGCCTTAGCTACGGCGTGATCGATCACGATCAACGATACGGAACTTCAAGATCCGATTCCGTCTCCTTGGAGAATCCGCCAGATTTGGCAGCGGGTACGGTACCACTTACCGGTAATCACGACGATCTCGCTAAGATCTTGATACTCTCCACAAAGCATCGGAGACGGCCACTCAATTACTGGAGCGAAACAACGATCAGATCTTTTAGTAAAGGCAACAGTAGTAAACTCCTGGAAATTTGGACCTCGGTGGACAACGCTGGTGGCATGCGACTGACCAATAGTGAGAAGATGCAAAGCTTGGTAAGCAGGGGGTGTTTCCGCGCCGCGGAAAGTTCAGGGAAGCTGAACATCAACACGTGGACCGAGAGAATTTGGGAAGTACGTGGTTGATTCCTTCCAACCTCAATTCAAAGCTCGCAAATCGTAAACGCCCCATGTGGAACATGTGGTGCAATGTGGCAGGCCCCATTTGCACCACACCACAGATTCCGAGAGCACCTTCCCCAAAACCCGCCCTTGTCGGTGTCGCATGGCCAGGCGACAGGAAAAACGACCGGCATCCCGAAGACGTGGAAGAAAATTTGCTCGAAACGGCAGAACTAAGGCGCAGTCCGTCGTATTGCGTTGTGCATTGGTTTGGCAGGATCCAATGTTAGTGTTGAGTAATCAATCGTCAGATATGAAAGTCTTCGTGCAGCTTCAGACGCATCCAGAGCAAGCGAGCGAGCGCGAATATGTCCAAAGGGCATCAAACATTCCAAAGAACCTCAGCGTCTCTTTCCCATGTCCTCCACTCGTCTGTCTTCCTTTTGTGATCCATCCGATCAACCAGACTCGTCCTCTTCGTCATTCTCTCCCAGAACGTTCCACCTTGCTCTCTTTTTCCTACTTCGTCTCCCCACGTCGCCAGCCAAACTCCAGTCTTCGCACCCTCCTCCGTATTCACCGCAACCCACTTCTCAGTTGTTTTGAGCGCGGCGAACAGTGGATTGGTGAACCATGTTTGCCAAGTGACGTCCATTTTGCCGAAGATTGGAGTTGATGTGAAGCCGGGTGAGAACGCGTACGCTGTCCGGTACGTCCTTTCACCATCCGTCAGGGATGTTTGAGCGTCGAAATGCCGTTGCAGGAGAGCCGCGAAAAGCACCTGTTGCGCTTTGCTCAGAGCGTACGCTGGAGCGCTGCTCTCCGCCTCGAAACCCAGCATTGCTTTTACCTTGGCAATATATTGTGCGATGGTGCCTGGCGCTGGAGCCACCTGCCTGAGTGAGGCGTCATGGATGAACTGAGCAGAGTAACTGCCCGTTGAGCTGGTCATCACGACTCTCGCTGTAGAGCTGAGCTGAGGTTCGAGGAGATGTGTCATTAAAAAGCTGCCTAAGAAATTTGTTGTGTACATCGTATCCAATCCTTTCGCTTTTGTCGGACTTCCAGTAGGTAGTGCTGCGATGCCAGCGTTGTGCACCAACATGTCGATCTTCGTCCCTTCTTTCGTCCATTGCTGGCAAAAGGCGCGGACGCTAGAGAGATCCCCGACATCGAGGACGCGGCATATCACCCTTGCTTTGCTCTTGTCATCGCATTGAGCGACAATGTGGTCGACAGCTACAGCGCCTCGATCAGCATTGCGGCAGGCAAGATACACAGTGGCGCCTTGCTTCGCGAGCGCAACAGCGATGCAAAGGCCGATACCGCTGTTTGCGCCAGTAACGATTGCCGTCTGGCATGTAAGATCGCGCTTCGATACTTGTTGAGGGCTGTACAGGCGTGCGAAGGCCACACTGAGAAGTGACTTGGCGAGAGAAGTGTAGAAGGACAATGTAATGCTCAAAGTAGGCATTGTGAAGATGTTCCTGTAGCAAAGGTGCTTTTGCAGTAATAGTCGTATCCCCACATCTTGGAGTTGTTCAATAGTTTTATATTCAGATTGCAGCTCTGGCTGTTCGTGGCCTAGAGACTTGCGTTCAGCTACGAGCTTGGTGTGACGTCACCACTTCACGACAATTGCACCGACTCCGCGCGTCTGCTACGCCCGTAACATCTCTCCATTGCCCATAATCACAACGGGCCTTGTTGGGATTGCGAAGCTAGATTGAAGGAGGCACCACCCTACCGCAGAACGTGAACGACACCAGGCCTACCCTTGTAACAAACATTCTCTCTAAAGACAACTGCAAGCTCATAATCAGTTTATCCGATTTGATGAAGAAGTGAGGAGACAGAAACCTTGCGCCTCTCCCGATCAATGTGCCAACTCCCGAGAAAGGTCTATTTATTTTTCAGCTGATAGAGAATAGTTCAGTAACAGCTTGTAGTAGGCGAGCACAGCAGTGCGTCGACCAAACAGAGCCTGGACCACGCCCACTAAGTTGCCAGGAGCTTACTCTAACTTCACACCATGCTCGCAAAAAGACAGCGTACCCCTCAAGTCGTTTATTTCCCCTTCAAAATCTCATGCCAGAAGATATGTCCTCTAGCTGGACTCTGTAAGGCATCTTGAATACTTCACGTATGGTATCTCTCCATTCAGTCTTCGAGACTCTTGCTAGCTCATCTCGAGCCAAGGCTCCTTCACCAACACATGCTTTAGCTGAGAACCTCAACCTAGATCCCATTATTGCTTCCGGATGAGACATCCAAAATCCATTGGGTGGGTGGTGCAGCAGGAGCTCTGCGATACCGAAAGCGCAATCTCTAATTGGCAGTTCAAAAAGCTGTTGTAGAGATTTTCACAAGTGAATGAAGGTAAGAGCGTGGAGCATGGAGCAGTGGTCGAAGAACGAAGGATAACGACAGAAGAATGAGTAAAGGCAGCGTAGGAACTTGATAAAGCAGAAACAACAGGGAAATCCAATGCGCTACCAACACAGGCAAAATCACAAAGAAAAAAGGATGCCTAGATCTACGTTGATCCGAACTGGCACTACCTTGGTTTCTCAACCGGTCGACCCCGAGCGTCGCTACATCCGTATGCAATTCAGTGATTCAAGTCCTAACACAGTGATTCTCTGCCGAGTGCTCAGAATGTGACTGTTAGAGGGGGCATAAGGGCACGGGGTATTCGAAGCTGAAGACTTCATCAATATTTCGACCCGGCAAGTACACCATCGCATTGGGCGGTAAGTCGCGAGAGATATCATGTATCATTGACACCAGCTGAGACAGGACCATGGCTTACAACCCTCTGAATAGCTCATCGATGGTAATCGGCTTCCTGACGGCATTCGAAAAACCCTCGTGAAAGCTCACCCATATCCTGTCCTCATCACCCTCCCGCTTTGTCTTCTTCCTGATCTCACCCTCAACAGGCGGCTTCTCCTTGATAATTCTACCGAAAAAATCCCTCTTCACAGCCTTCTTGTTAGCCTCTTCCAGCTTCTTCGCAACATCCTCCTCCTTCTCCTCCTGTACCAGGACTTCCTCGTTCTCTTGCCCACCTCGCCGCTTCCGGTTCTCCATATTGATTCGTGCGGACTCTTTTTTCCACTCCATCTCTAGCACACTGCGCACTGCATAGCGAACTTTGTCGTCCTTCTTGCCGGCTAGTGTTTCGAAGCTTGCGAGTGTGTCGAGAGGAGGCTCCATGCGGAATACAAAACCACAACTGCGGTTCATCACATCTTCGACCTCTACTCTACTGCGCTCAAAGCGCACTCCTGTCGCGGCCATAGCCTCAACGGCTTTCTTGACAAGTGCTTTTTCAGAAGACTTACGTACTGCAGCTGTAGCGTTTGACTTCGAGCCTGCAGGGCCGCTATTGACGATGACAGGCTTCACGTCCGGCGAGAGCATACGTAATGTGTAGGGTATGAGTTCTGTTGCCATCTCTTCGGGACTCCTGAACAGTCTCGTCAGAGGTAGACTGAGCGACGACTGCAGACCCATAAGTTGTGCTCGACTGGCTTTATGTTGTTCTGCCGCTGCGAAGCTTGCGCCTGGGCCTGAGAAGGGTAGGGTCTGAGCATCGGGGTCGACTGTCGGGTTTGAAACTTCGTGGCGAGGAGAGGCGAACAGGTCGTGAAAAGCGAGGACGGATTGGGAAAGGTAGGGGAAGAGCTCCCATTCTTGCGAGCTGTGGACGGCGGAGGAGAGGGTATCGTGGAAATGGAGCCATTCGTAGGCGGCGGTGGGCTTGCTGAGGAGTGTGTCGTCTTGGAATGGCCTCTCGGGGTATGCGGTGAAGCAGTCTAGACGCTATCAGAATACGTTGGCAACGAGGTGAGTTATGCTTACCAGTCACGATGCGGTCACAGTCGCCGCTCGTATCGACCATTTCTCTCAGACGGTCCATTGCCCGCCGCTTCGCCGCTTCAGCAACGCCGACAACACCAGTCTTTGCTCGAGCAGCCGCCGTCCGCAGGTCTGTTGTCTCAGGTTGCTTGGGGAAGCCAGCTCCCTCCTTGAAGACTCGATCGACAACATCCTTCGCACCCCCTCGCCCTAAGCTGCGCGCAGCTCCACCGCCATGCTTCAAGTCGTTAATGAAGTTATCTTCAATCCATTTCTTTGTTAGATGTGGCCTTTCCTTTGACCTGAAATCGTGTGATGACTTCAGCCGTCCTGCTACCCACTCAGACATGACCATGACTCCACGAATATCGCCTTCGCCAGCGCCAATGCCTGTACCACCCTCCTTCTTCGTGCTGACGCCCCATGTAGCTTCGCAAAGTCGACGCACACCATCTGAGTCGCACTGGAAGCCCTCTTTGCTGAAGATATCTTGTATGCGTGTGACGACCATGTTCATGGCAGGCTGGCGGATGCGCACAATCTCAGCGAATGATGACTGCCGTAACGGTCGCAGTGAAGGATGGTACAGGTCGTTGCAGATCAGGATGAGTGGCCTCAGCAGCCGAAATTTATCGGCTTTCTTCTTCTTGGAACCTGTTGTTCCCTGCTGCTGTCCCACCATCTTCGAGTTCTTCTCATCCAGATGGATCAAATCAATGAGCGCTGTGATGAACCCACCTTCGCCGCCACCACCACCATTGCTGCTTCCGCCAACCACACCGTCGACCTCATCGACCACTACACAGACTGGCTTTCCAGCCTTGCGGACTTTGCCATTCGCTGTGTTCGAGCTGATGCCACGTACGTTCTCAGTCCCAACCATGTCTCGAATGCGACCTTTGACAACATCTCGACTTCGCTCGTCTGATGCATTGATCTCTTGGACTTCGTAACCGGCTTGTCGCGCGCAAACATGTGCAAGTGTGGTCTTGCCCAATCCTGGAGGTCCCGTCAACAGCAGAATCTTGCGATGACTCTGCTCATCTTCACCAAAATCTTTCTTCGTGCTCTTTGGCCTTGCCTTGCCAGAGCCCGGGAAGACGATAGGATCCCAACCCTTCAGCCACCGCAAAACTGATCTGTGTGTGCGTTCGTCTCCAACAAGGTCTGTGAACTTCTTTGCCCGGTACTTCTCAGTCCACATCAGCGTGCGATTGCTCTTTCCAGACTTGCTGACTGGCTGTTCGATCGACTGACGGGCCAGGTTCTCGAATGCTTGCGTACGGCTGGCTACTATTGCCTCGTCTTCAGCCTTGGCCTCGTATATCAGCGAGTGAATGTCGATGCCGTAATAGCTTGTCCGTGCTTTGCCTTCCACTGCCTCTGACCTCGCTGCTATCAGCTCCTCGAAAGACACGGCCTCCTTCTTCGCTCTTTTGGGAATGTAGATTGCTTTTCCTGCTGCATTTCGTGCTACTGTACCTCGCATGGGCTGTGCGGATGTAGGGGCACTGTGAAGCGGCAGGCGCTTTGTCTGTGGCCGCGTCTCGAAGTACTCGTCAAGCGCTTCGACAGGAACATCTTCAGCATCAGCGATCTCGTCCTGACTTGCGGGTGGGGTATAATCTGCAAGCTCTTCGGGCGCCGAAGGAAGCTCTCTAATGCTGTTGACTGCTGTCCTCTTCGTCGAATGCTCCTTTAGGGCCGCAATATCGTCCTCGTTGTCTGAGTCGTCGAGGAATCCTCCAACTTTGCGCGCAGTCTGCTTATTAGGCATATCCTTTAGTGGGCTGCGCACATCGATCGAACGCTTCCTCTTCTTTGGTGACGGCGCCTGAGGCATGGACGAGCTCGGCGGATACGCGATGGGTGACGAGATGAGCGGCATGGCGAACGTTGGAGGCGAGGAAGGTAGAGCTGGATCGTAGGTCGGAGTATCGGTAGGTATACGCTTGATGGGGAAGTGCGTCCGGCGCTTCAACGGTGTGTCTGAGGATATCAGTACTGATAGTCGCGCCTGATTGCGCGTGCAGTACCAAAGCTATGCTCTCCTTCACTCCTGAAAATATCCGCTAGGTTCCAGGCACGGTGTTGTATGACCACGTCTTCTTCGTTCTTCCTAGCCTTGTTTTCCTCAATGCACGCTTGCAATGCTTCAAGTTCGTCCGAGTGGGAGATGGAACTAGGTGCGTTCTGTGGGTGATCGTATTCGGAGTAAAGAAGGGCAGGATCGAAGGAAGTCGGAATGCCAGCTGAATAACTACTCATCGAATCTTGGGTATGACATTATGCTAAAGCAGAGAACGGTGGTGTTAGTGGGAAAGTGTGGATGCGCGTGTTGGAGATTCGGCGCGTCAACGCGTTTTAGCGCGCTTTGTGATTGTCCTAGCCGCCTTCATCTGATGCCCGCTCAGCTGTGACTTCCAAAATCATTCATAACAAAAACAACATCCCATGTTCTCAACGTCAGTTGTTGTACACCATCCTGGCTTACATTGTCATCTCTCGTCCTGTCTCGCCATGGCTACAGTCTTCAGATTCTCAACATAAGTTATTTGGGATCCATAAGCGAGCAGCGACTCTTGCCGACATGAACGGAGATAGTGGAGTAAAGTTATCGTCCCCGCCCCTTCGCAGATGTCGCACAGGAGGACCTTGGGCAGCAAGACCAGGAAAAGTAATAAGGACGAAGATTGACAATCTTAGTGGGAATATGTATACCATTTGTTTTTAGAATTCATCTATCGAATCAAAAGCTGAGTGGCGCAGCGGAAGCGCGCCGGGCTCATAACCCGGAGGACACTGGATCGAAACCAGTCTCAGCTATATTCGACCTTTTTGCTTTCCGAAACGCCTTTGCATCACTCTCGACACCCCGCATCTCAATTTGCCTATCAAACAGTCGTTCCACATTTTTGCTTGCGGTTTCACGGTAATCTTTTACACGTTGTTTAGCCAATCAAGGCGGCAGGCACAAAGCATTCCTGACGTACTTGAACATGCACCGAGCTTAGACACAACTAAAATGCGAACCTGGTTGTGCAAATGCTCTGATGAAAAAACAGGCACCTCTGCTTCTACGCCCACTGCCAGAATCAGAAAATGCTCCCCCTAACAAGAGCCTGCCATCGTTGCACCACCCTTTCGGGCGCCGCCCACGTCCAAATTACAGGTGTCTGATAGTGGGCGTCGTGAGAAAAGGCGTTGCTCCAGAATGGTTTCTCGAGGCTGCAGCAGTCGCGACGAAGAGCCACTTGAATGATTTCGACACTGTGAGGATTACATCGATCAAGGGCCTCGCGACTTCAGCTCCCAACTGGGACCGAATAGATTGAGCAACTAGCTTGGCTCTATATCTTTGTCAGAGACACTCCACGTCCTCCGTGGACCGTGAACATGGAATGTACGTGGTTTCTAAGTGCGTGTCCAGTTCCCTTCGCCTCAGACTATAATGTCATATCGTAGTATGCATTGCGATCGACTAGCCTGAGGCGACCATGGAGGGGACCCTCCAGTTACACGTTCCGAACGTCTAACCCAGAGACTCATCAGGCATGAATACATTGTGTTTGATGTCATTAACTCACTGGGCATGTTCGAGATTGGATTCTGGTGCAGCACCAGGACCTAACAACTCGCTCTCTCGACCTGGCCACCTTGTCCGCAGCTGTAGTCTCCAAAAGAACCTTAGTAAATCGATTGCGCCCGCACTAGCCGCTGTAGTCACCGGATCTCTTAGTATTCAGGAAAAGATTGGACCGACTGGTACAACCAGAGCAGTGTTGACGCAGGACACGTAGTATGATGATCGTCCGTCGCACCTGATCGAGGGTTGTCTCGAGGGTAATTAAGGGCCGGAGCTGTCAGTATCTGTCACTCAGTTACATAGCGTGATTGTTGTGACCAGGTCGATTCGACTGTATTGCTGACCCGGTCAGGGATTGTCACGGTTTGGGGTGCTCCTGCCTGTTGTACCTCACCTCCATGAGAGTGACTGCCACGTCACACTAGCGTTGTTTACAGCTACTCACCTATATATACTGTTCGTAGCTTCACCCAATACAACCTCAGTTCAATCCTTCAATATTTTTGCATATGCGTACTGATCACTCACAATCCACACCCTGACAGTATCATACCCTTGTATACCGGTCGTACCGAGTATACCGCTTGTGCTGAGTGTTGCTGACGCAGCCCACTGCTTGGGTCAATCGATACTACAGTTCCTCAGCTCCTCTTGTATTGTTGCGTAGTCCTGTTTGTTCAGTGTTGTTGCGGGTTGCCCTTTGATCGTAACACCAAGCAAGCCAAAAGGTATCACAGCTCACTCTGATAGTGAGCTCTAGCCAGAACAGTACTATATCATCAGCCAGGCCTGACAATTGTTACAACTGGCCACAATGTGCACACATGCACTGCAGAAATAGTAGATGTAGATGATAGTGACGCTTCTAATTAGTACTATAGCCTATAGTACGTGTTTGCGCAGTGTTGTAGTTGAGGGTAATAGTCCTGTAATTGTTGCAATGTTGGTGAGGGGGCGTGGCTTGGTGGTGCACGGCTTGGGGAGGAAACACGTTAGAAGATGTATCAACTTTTGAACTTTACTCTTTCACTAGTAAAAAATAATAACCTAGTTGAATAGCTGTATTATTAAAGATTTTTTTTTTTCACAAGGTTAAGATAATAAAAAATTGAATACTTTTTCAATACGAAGTATCTTAATATCTCTACTATTAGTAGATATATTCAAGATTAAACTTCTTATACTTTGTTGTTTTTCCTAGTAAAACCCGGTTGTGAATCCGGTCGACACGCGCACGGACACGGTACCATGCAGAGCCGAAGAATGCCCATCCGCAGGGCAATCGAGGCGCATGAAACTTGGGTATGATCTTCAGACTCTTGTGTAACAAGTCACCAAGGATAACGTGTCTGGTTTGGTTTTTTCGGATATGGAGAGAGTCGAGTCGAATTGTAAGAGCAAACCAGAGTTATTGTGACCACGGAAAGAGTGTGGCGCCTTCCCCATCTAAGGCTAAGATAGGCGCTACAAGCCACTAAACTGGCCCTGTGCACGTCGCGGAAGCGACAGTCGCAAAGCCCCAACACCATGCTACAAAAGCTAGAGATTGAGCACCGCGATAGCCACAATGCGGGGAAGATTCGGCTTCGTGATAGCTTGGCACACTTGCAATTGGTAGATCACCACACAACGACCAGCTTCAAAAGAGCCATGAGTTTTGGTGTTGTTCTAATTATCCGCCATATGTCGCCGATTCGACTGGGTTGACGCGGTTGATGTACCGCTGGCTTGGGTGGCCTTCCGCAGGTATCCTGTCACGTAGTTTGAAGGCCTCCAAGCTATGTGGGGATTGGCCGAGGTTGGGGCGGCAATGGGTACTTAAGATGCCGTCATGCCAGGTGTTGCACCTGACAGCCCATAGCACGCCAGTTTCTCCAGATTGTACAATACTATAGCCAAGATGGGCATCCACAACAAGTTAGCCGATGGTATCGATGAGGTAGACATTATCATCGCTGGCGGTACGCAATGTGCCCGAAGGACGTCGCAATGAGCTCGGAAACTGACTGAGTACTTTAGGTGGCACTGCAGGCTGCATCATCGCCGGGCGTCTTGCGGAGGCTCACCCCGACCTCTCCATACTGGTGATCGAGGGTGGTGCCAATAACAAGGATGTTGCCAGCATCGTGTACCCAGTCTTCTATCTGCAGAACCTTCTTCCAACACAGAAGACTGCACTGTTCTACAAGGGAAACAAGTCGAAGCAGCTCGCAGACCGAGAGCCAATCGTGCCATGTGGTGGTACCCTGGGCGGCGGTTCATCAATCAATTTCATGATGTACACGCGGGCGCAGCGAGAGGATTTTGATTCGTGGAAGACCGAAGGTTGGACAGCCGACGAGATGCTAGAGCAGATGAAGAAGGTTCGTAACGACAGGTGTAGCGTTGAAGACGCAGATTCTGACTTGATATGCAGCTCGAGACATATCATGGTCCGGGAGACAAGGCACATCACGGTTATGAAGGTCCCATCAACATCTCAGACGGCGGTTTCCGCGAAAAGCGTGTCGAAGATGCGTTCATGAAAGCAGCCAAGGAGGTTGGCTACCCAGAGATCGAAGACCTGCAGAACTTGGACAGCAACAACGGACTTCAACGATGGCAGCGATACGTCTCCCCAGATGGCAAGAGGCAAGACACAGCCCACAGGTACATCCATCCTAAGCTGGAGGACGGCCAACATTCGAACCTCCATGTGCTCGTCGAATCTAAGGTTGTGCGGGTACTCTTCGACGATACGAAGCGAGCGGTAGGCGTCGAATACACCCCAAATTCCGACTTCCAGGCAGTCATCGGCCTCACTGCACACCCAGTTAAACCCGTAAAGGCCCGTAAGCTGGTCGTTGTAACATGTGGCGCGTGCGGTACGCCATCAGTTCTTGAGCGCTCTGGTTTGGGTGATAAGTCGATTCTTGACAGAGCCGGCGTTCCAGTCATTGAGGAGCTGCCTGGTGTTGGCAAAGACTACCAAGATCATCACCTTCTCCTCTACCCATACAAGACAAATCTTGAGCCAGATCAGACGATCGATGGAATCTTGAGCGGAAGAGTGGACGCGACTGAGCTGATCAAGAACAATGACAAGGTCCTAGGATGGAACGCAATTGACATCTCATCCAAGCTTCGCCCAACCGAGGAAGAAGTAACTGAGCTTGGATCCGAATTCAAGGCGGCGTGGGACCGTGACTTTAAGAATGTACCGAACCGGCCGCTGATGCTCTGTGGTCTCGTTTCATGGTGAGTATCAATGACTCTTTGCGAAGATTAGAATGCTAACGTTCTGTAGCTTCCTTGGCGATCCAGCCTCCGTGCCTGAGGGTCAATACGTAACTGCAGGTACTTACACAGCTTACCCTTACTCACGTGGCCATATGCACATCACTGGAAAGGGCGTCGATGACCCTCTTGACTTTGATGTGGGCTTCTTCAACGATGCCAACGACATCGACATGAAGAAGCAGCTTTGGGCGTACAAGAAGCAGCGCGAAATTCTCCGACGCACCAACTTCTATCGCGGCGAATTAGCTGCCGGGCACCCTAAGTTTCCCGAGGGTTCCAAGGCTGCTGCTGTTGAGATCGAAGAGGCGTTGTCCAACGTCCAAAACCTGGTCTATTCGCAGGAGGACGATGCTGCCATCGAACAATGGCTGCGCGAGAACGTCAACACAACTTGGCACTCGCTGGGCACATGTAAGATGGCTCCAAGGGATCAGGATGGTGTCGTTGATGCTAGGTTGAATGTGCATGGTGTTACTGGACTGAAGGTTGCAGATCTGAGCATCCCGCCGAAGAACATGGGTGCAAACACCAACAACACTGCCTTAGTGATTGGAGAGAAAGCTGCAGATATAATTCTGGCTGAGCTTGGCTCCTCTGGTACTTCATGAGTGCCGCACCGCAGCTTTTAAGAAAAAATTTCGTTCTTAAAGCCTGCGTATACATTAGTTTTGAGCGAATTTATTTTACGAAGACACCATTCCACTTGCCACAGTTCAGATTGAAGACGCCTGTCTGTCTTAACCGCTGTAAGGGGAGTACTAAAGGAGGTTGTAAGCGCTTACACGTTGTATGATTGCCAATCGCATTGCTCCTTCCTTTTTTCACTTACTCAATGCCGCATACTGACTGCTGAACGGTTACAGAAAAACAATACCCTATGTACTCACAATATTAATTGGAGCGCCACGGTCCAGCTCTTGATATAGTCATCGGCCCAAAATCTTGCCATCAAACATCTCAAGGGCTTGTGGTCTAATTGGAAAGATGTCCGGGGTAACATCTCCATTCATGGCTATGCAGATTCATTGGTGGCACAGTGAATATGTGAATTCGAGTCGCGCTGGGTCCAACCTTTCTATTCTTATCATAGCCTCTATGCGCGCTGTTGCTTGTGCTAGAGTGTCTATGCTGTGGTGAAGGCGACACTACACCACTTCGCTTTTTGGACTCTCGTGCGCAATTCCTTACCATGACTCCTGCCTCGTCCTTACTATCTTAACTGTAAGCTGCAATCAAGGCTTTGTACACCTCTTTGGCAAGGTTGTCAACAACCAAAAATGCGTCAAAATCTTGTTTGAGTTTGTTTGATTTGACAACATCAACCAAACAAAAGTCTGCTGCTAACATTTGATTAGTCAAGTCTATCAAATGAGGTTCTAGCTGTCAAAATTTTTGAAGTTTGTTTGAATTGGCTAGCACACTGTAGTACTGAGTTACTTCAGAGTTGCAATACTCTCATGGTATTGAGGTATTAACAACTTTCCCAATGCCACAATTATATAGGTATCAGTATAGCTGATAGAGCAAAAAAGGCAGCTTTTCAAGAGGATCAAACTTCTTGCAAAAAGAACACCTGTATGGCAAGTGAGTACTTCTTTAGCCTACTCCCATAATGGTATAGGAAACAGGATTTGGAAGTCTCACTTGCCACCTTTGCCAATCCTGTCACGGGTATTTCCCCTTACATGTATTGGCCAGCCCTCAGATGTACTCCAGGGCTGGACCAGAAGCTCACAGGCCACCTGTATATATTCCTCACAAACCCTGAGGCTCAGCCATCAAGGATTTGTCTAATCTCATCCCATTTGGCCCCAGACGGCCCCAATCCATCCTGTGTCCAATTGCCTGCCTACAGTGACCTCACAGACTGGGTGGATTATTATTGGCTGCAAGACATGTCAGGATGACAATATAGTTGTGCATATTGTCTTTTGGACTCCACCCCTTACAATATATACACAATAACCAAATAGGGTAATATTACAGTGTTGTTGCAGCGCTGGCTCATTAATATTGGAGGTATGAGTGATGTACTGTCACGAAGATGCTACGAGTAGGCCCTTTAGGACTCGCTAGGAGTCTAAATCAATTACTACGTACGGTATCTAAGTAGGTACAAGACATTGTGTACCAAACAGAACTCTACCAGCAATAGTCTATATACTTACGTGTGGGTTCGTTCGGTTACCGGTTAATAATCAGAACTGAGTTGGATAGGTATCGGGGTTGCAAGTCCCAGAGCAGGGCTTGCAGAATTCTAATACTCCTGCTTTGGAGGTTGCAGGCCCGCTCCGGAGGTGACCGGAGGTTGTACGGTCAGGGACAGTACGGAGCGGATCTGGATATTGTCAGGGGATCTGGAGAGGATACCGTGACATGTACAGATATCAGCCTTCTTAAGTATTACTTCCAAAAATTCCTCAACCATAATCACATGTGGTAAAAAATGTATTCTGCGCATAGGATAGTTAAATCCACCCTGTTGGATCAATTGCCATCATTAGTTTTGCTCTATTTCTATTGTTGTAAGCTGCACAACATCTTGCAGCTTATGCTTGGCATGAGTTGATGATGTTGACTAGCCAATTGTGTACTTTCCACAAGCCTGTGCATCAACGCATACACACATCCTCTACTACAGCTTACCTGCCTATTGTAACGATGCAGGCCAGTAGGGAAGATGTCTAAAGTAAGTGTGAGTCCACTACAAGGCATATGGGAGTGCTGGGACGTTGATAACACTAGGATTGAATTCCCTACACCTATAGGTCTTGTACGAAAGGATACAGAAAAACTACTCTATCTAAACTACAGTATTAGAGTCATTAAGTATCCCATTTGGAGGGGAATCAGAAGTACCCTTGTCCAGGTGACAAAGAGGTAGTTCGCGACAGACAAGGAGCGGTGTGCTGAGACCTGTAGGAACCACATCGGTATTGGGGCAGATACGGTCGTAGGTGTTACACAGGGGGTCATATACCAGTGACTTCAAAGGAGTGGATTATTGTTGATTCTTTAAATGAGCTTTGCCACCCCTTCCAGAACATAGAAAAGAAGTCCCCCTTCTTAACTGGGAGTAGTGCTTGGCTTCTGTTGTGGAAAGCTGCAAGCTCTTTGGTATAGGCCTGTGAGAGAGGCTTGAACAGGGATACATCTAACAGCTGCAGCGTATGGGTTGAATGGGGAAGAAATACAGCCAGGAGTATCTTGTTCTGGTTACAATACTCAATAAACTCAGGGGTTATGTGAGATCCATGCCCATCAAGTATCAGTAGCCGGTGAGAGCGTTGTGCTTTGGCCTTTGTGTAGCGATCAAACACCTGTTCAAGCCAGGCAAGCCCCAGATTGTTGTTGATCCATCCTGAAGGGGTTGAGGTAACCATAACAGAGTGCTCCCCTGACTCAATTTCCTCTACCCAGCTCTCTTGTATGGTGTTGTTGGCTGATGAATATATGAGGCTTGGCGGCAATACTGATCCATTGGCACACACACACGCCAGAAGGGTAATCTACTCACATGAGCCATCTTGAATAGGTGCTCTAACCTGCTGTTGTATCCACATTGGTCGACTAAACACTCGTTTTGTGCGGCCAAGCACACCAATCATGAAGCCCTTCTCATCCATATTGTATGTGTGCCGGGGTTGTATATTGTACTCGGCAATTTTGGCGTGCAGAAGCTCAAAATAGAGCTTATATTTAGCCCCTGAATCAGCTTTGTGACGATTGCAATCAATCCCAGTGGCCCACTTGTATATCAATTGGTTGGTGTTACGCTTCAGGAAGCGACTAACCCAGGTATCACTGATAGGTTTCTTGCACAATGATGATGCGTAATCTTGGATTTGAAGCCTGCCTGGTGGTAACCCTTGCTCAGTAAGTGTATTGATGTGATTTATAAGCTGCTGCTCTTGTTGTGGGTGGAGCTTCCGTTGGTTGAGTACCTTCAATGCGTGCGGCTGAGTCTGCTGCTCCCACGTGCGCATCAACGTTGAGCGCACAACACCATGGTTTTTAGCAATTTGAGTATACGGAATTTGCTCATTGGGACCAAATTGAGCTACTTCTTTAAGGGCTTCTTCCATATTGATCGTGGCGTTGAGATATTGATGTGTGAATAATGGGTGCATTTGACGTTCGCGCGCATCACGCGATGGTGCGCATTACGCGCACGGACACGGTACCGTGTCCGTGCGCGTAATGCGCGGATTTGCGTAATGCGCTGAACCACCAAAATAGGTCCACCAAAAATGAGGCTGTAGAGCCACACACAATGGTTATTATCATGAGATTTTCTGGTGGAGTAGTCTATAGACCTATATGAACAAGTTCCTCACTCAAACTTTTGTGGCACTCTGATTGGGCGGCCGCGGCTGTTGTATTTTGCCGGAGGGGATGGGGAGCAAGGCGCGGCAGCAGCACGACTACGGGCAGCTGCACTACCACGATTCTGCTTCTTCCT